CTCTGCTCTAAGACAAAATTTATCTACCCTACTCTATAATAACCACAAAGACTTTGGACAGTCGTATAGGAAAAAAAAGAAAAAAACATCTGTAACGTCATTGGACAGATAGCCTCCTAGTTTGACTTCACACTTGACACTTGCATTGACCCTAACAAGAAAGAAAGAAAGAAAGCAATCTCAGCCTCTATATTTCCCGTTCCTTATTAGTAGGTAGATTTTGCCTTTGATGACATATGTAGGATAAACGAGCAGCTGGAGGTGCTGTTCTGAAAGCTCTCTTGTTGACCTTGTTCATGGCTAGCTCTTGGTCACAGTGTCCTCCTTTTGAGTTTTCAAGCAAGTACTACCACGTGGCAGGAGATGGTGGTGGCTGTGTGAGGCAAACCAGCTTCTTTGGAGGCAAACCCGTGCTCAATCAGGGCGTTGGTTATTCTGTGATTCTTGGCTTTGGAGCCTTCTTTGCTGTCTTCACATCTTTCCTGGTATTCGTCACTTGTTCATTTTAGTATGGACTAAAGGAGTTGTCATTATTTATTTATTTTTTGTCTGTTTCTTAAACCTTTTCACTAAATAAAATATAAAAAACTAAATTTACCTTTTACCCATGTCATTTACCATATCCCAATTTCTTGGTTTCTTTATATGTTCTTTTGGGACTAAATAGACACTTACGTCAATGGGTGGAGAGGCTCAAGATGTTATATATTGCCACGACGCTGTGACATATAATATTGGTTTACATCGGAGTTTTGGTCTAAATCCCTAACTTCTGAGCCCCTATATGTTGTTCACTAAACAGAATTGAGTTATTAGACATTGCAGGGATTTGGTGAAACTTGTGGTATCTAATTGATATGGATTGAAACTTTAATGCGTTGATTGAACATAGTAGTTTCATTTGTGATTCTAACAACTATCTTGATCATATTCTAGCTTCTTACAATTCAATTCATGTCTCTAATAAAATGTAAACTAAGAAACTGTTTATGTAATCACAAAATGCTGGACCCTTGTCGTGTTAAACGATCTGTTCTTTAACCTCCACCATTGTATTTTCGTATGCTTTAAAAACACACAAATTTTAGTTGGCAGTAACCAGAGTAGGAATTATGGTACTTGCCTGTTCCTGAAAACAATGCAAGATGTTGATGCCTTGATGTTTATCTGTGGGTCAGGTATGGCTGGAGAAGCGATATGTCGGTTCCAAGCACACATCCGAATGGTTCAACACTGCAGGAAGAAATGTTAAAACAGGACTCATTGCCAATGTGATTGTATCCCAGGTACAGTCCCTAGCACGTAAACCATTTACGGATTTTAATGGAAAAGTTTTATTTCTTGAGATGATTTTGGGGGTCTGATTGCTCTTACTTTGTGTTGAAAATTTGTGCAGTGGACTTGGGCTGCTACAATCTTGCAAAGTTCAAATGTTGCTTGGGAGTATGGAGTAAGTGGACCTTTTTGGTATGCTAGCGGGGCTACAATTCAGGCATGTCCAAGCTGTTTCCTTCTGTTGATTGTTAGAGAATATCAATAATATTCATATAAGAGAAAACTAAGGCACGTTAGATTAACAACTTAATGTTCCTAATAATTAGGTACTCTTGTTTGGTATAATAGCTATAGAGATCAAGAGAAAGGCTCCTCATGCTCACACTGTTTGCGAAATAGTGAAAGCTCGGTATGTGTGGTTCAATAAACCAAAAAGATAAGATTCATTAAGTTCCATCCCTCCCTTATGGGGACTTGTATTCTGAAGCTCACTAATTAATGTTATAACATTCCTCTTCAGCTGGGGCACAGCAGCACACATTGTGTTCCTCAGTTTCTGCTTTTTGACAAACATTATTGTAACTGCAATGCTGCTGCTCGGAGGTTCAGCTGTCGTAAATGCACTTACTGGAGTAAACATCTATGCTGCTAGCTTCCTGATACCTCTTGGAGTAATTGTCTACACATTAGCTGGAGGACTAAAAGCTACCTTCTTGGCAAGCTACATACATTCTGTTATAGGTAGTCATTTAAATTTCTTTTATAATGCCCTTGATGCAGTTGATATGTTTTCTCTTTAGTCTAATTCATGTCATCCTGAGATATGTGTTCTTGGTTTGGTTTCAGTTCATGTGGTACTAGTCATATTCGTTTACCTTGTATACATTGCAAGCAGTGAGCTCGGTAGCCCCAGCATCGTGTACAACCGTCTGGTAGAGTTAGCGAGTAAATCAAGGATTTGTAAGGAGCCTGTTTCTCATCATGGACAGTCTTGTGGACCTGCTAGTGGGAATTATAAAGGGTCGTACCTAACAATGTTAAGTTCTGGAGGGCTAGTGTTTGGGATTATCAACATAGCTGGAAACTTTGGCACTGTTTTTGTTGATAATGTAAGTTGATCAATAGATTACAAGCAACTAAGCAGACATCTTTTAAATGTCTTAAGTTCAAAATTTGTCACATTTTACAAGTTACATTGAAAACTTCAGGGATACTGGGTAAGTGCAATAGCTGCACGGCCTTCATCAACGCATAAGGGCTACCTACTAGGTGGACTTGTCTGGTTTGCAGTCCCATTCTCATTGGCAACATCATTGGGACTGGGAGCATTGGCACTTGATCTACCAATTACAGAAAGTGAAGCAAGTCGCGGACTTGTTCCTCCTGCCACAGCTATAGCTTTGATGGGAAAAGGAGGATCTGTGCTTCTTCTTACTATGCTTTTCATGTAAGTTCAAGCATAAATGTTTTCGAGTCAACGAACATAGCATGCCAAAACATAGAAGAATTGAACTGTAGTAAAGTATTTATCTTACTTGTCTTTCATTTTACTTGAATTTTTTATTTTTTATTTTTGGATCTGGAGACAGTTTATCTTGTTGTGCACAATTTAATACATTTACTGTCAGGACGTATTGAACACTTGAGGATTACCTAACTCTGTTGTACTTTCTGTTTCAATGTCTTTATGGTTTTGATAATTCAACTCTCTTGTATGTTGAGCAGGGCAGTGACATCAGCTGGTTCTTCAGAGCTTATAGCAGTATCCTCATTATGCACATACGATATCTACCGTACATACATAAACCCAGATGCAAGCGGGAAGAAAATCCTCCAGGTATCAAGGGGTGTCATCCTTGCTTTTGGATGCTTTATGGGGATGTTAGCAGTAATACTAAACAAGGCTGGAGTTTCATTGGGTTGGATGTATCTGGCCATGGGAGTGCTCATTGGTTCAGCAGTTATTCCCATTGCATTTATGCTTCTATGGAGAAAGGCAAATGCAATTGGTGCAATTCTAGGAGCAACTGTTGGCTGTGTTCTTGGGATCATCACTTGGCTATCTGTTACAAAAATCAAGTATGGCCACGTAAATCTTGACACAACTGGTCGAAACGCGCCAATGCTTGCTGGAAACCTTGTCTCTATACTTACTGGTGGAGCCATACATGCTATCTGCAGCTTCTTGTCACCACAAAACTATGATTGGGGCACCACTAAGAGGATCACTGTGGTTGAGAAAGAAAAGAGTGATCTACCAACAGAAGAGTACAAGGAGGAAAAATTGTTGAGAGCCAAGGCATGGATTGTGAAATGGGGTGTTGGCTTTACTGTGGTCATTGTTTTATTGTGGCCTCTTCTCACTCTTCCAGCAGGTAAACTTTGGAGAACTTATTAAGATTGCAGATAGTAACAGTTTATAAGAACTTAGATGTCTGTCAGAAGATGAATAGTGCATGGACTTCCCAAAATGTTTCTTATTGATATTTCATAAATTGTTTCTGAATGCAGGGGCTTTCAGTTTAGGGTACTTCACATTCTGGGCAGTCATTGCAATAGCATGGGGTACGATAGGTTCAATTGCAATCATTGCATTACCGATAGTAGAAAGCTGGGAAACGATCAAGAGTGTCATTCTCGGCATGTTTACAAATGACAGGCTCATGGAAAAGGTCGAGGAAATGAATTTGAGGCTGCACTCAATCATGCTGGCTATACCTGAATCAGAGAAGATTTACTTGCTTGAGAAAGAGAGGGCTAAAAGGAAAGAAGCATCAGAGCAAGAAGCCTCTTTTTCTGCTGCAGGACAAGCATGAGACTTGGTCAGCGGTTGAAGACTACATATAGTGGCAATCAAATTGGCTTTAATTTAACAAATCATATGAATGTGCTTTTTCTGGGGATAATACTTGGGTTACATAGGATCAATGTTGAGCCTCTTAACTCCTTTCCGCATTTGTGAAGCATTTAATCAAACTGTAATCTTTGACAACAAAAAAATCAAGCTGTAATGAAGAACTGTATTATCAAGCAACAGCTTTTGAAGTTCACTGCATGAAGTGGATGAATTGGTATCAGTCTTCATTTCAACATTTTCAGCATCTTTTGGACTCATCAGTTGTAAGGTTGCTAGGGTTTTGAAATGATAATCTACCACTTTGTATGTTCTAAAAATCATCGCAGTTTTGAGCTCAATGTCATTCTTCAAGGCAATCCAAATCCAAAACTTACCAACAAAAAATTTGTACCTGTGACAAGATCATTGATAATCAACCTCGTAATCACAGACATCAACCAATTTGGGAGGCACAAAATTGTGATTGTCTAGTACAGGGAGAAATTGACATAACACGAAATCAGATTAGATGCTAGAAAATGTTTCAAGAGATGGGAGGAAAGGATTACAATGCTAGCATCTGTTCTTATAATATTTACAGCATGAATACAATTGATCCATGGGTCGAGGATGTTTCAAAGAGAGAAAAGGTCAAGTTGCCATCTGGCTGCCATCTCGACCTAAACAGCAGCTTTGGAAAAAGTAAAAACCTGCCTCTTTAAAAGAATTGGGCACACATCAGAATTTCGACTTGCACTTGTCAACCTTGTGTAAATTGTTGGTCGAATTTGGGCATGAACTAAAAGTCAATTCTAAAATTGACCGCCTGTTTCTGCAATATATTGACTTTACCCACCAAAACATAAACATGTGTATATTTCATGTTGCTCTATTTAACACCATCTTTCCTTGCAGATGAATTAGTTACAGTTCGATCTTTCATGGCTTCCTTTTCAAGCTTCCTTTTTTCGACGTCAGCGAGTCTTTCATTTTCCTCTCGTGACTTGTTGAACATCTTGACAAAAACGAACAAGACCTGTGTCACTGCAAGGCCAAGACATGTCAAAGATCAAAGGTTTTAATAATTTGACATGAAAATCAAAGAGTTCATGAAATAAATTTTGGATGAAATTCGTATAATCTCTGGAAAACTAGAACTCAAAAAATTGCATCACATGATCGATTGAATTATAACCACTACATCCATATTTTTTTTCCCTTGAATATTTAAATCAGTACTTGGAAAACTATGAATGGATTTCAATCATTTTCCACCACCAATAATAAAGTGAAGAATGTGTTGTGTATTCATGAGTTGAAGATCATAGCAGACCTTGTTCAAAAGGACACCGAGCTGGATCTTCCCCAAAATATTGAGACAAAGAATCTGCATTTCTTCCCTGGAAAAAATGAGTTAAGACATTATACCATCAGTAAGCCTGCATAAAACAAAGCCATCAATCAACAAGATAAGAACTCTGGAACTCTGGACTGCACTCACCACTTCAGAGTACAGGGATATTAGTGACCTTACTTCAGCTTCAGCAGTATCAAGAAAATGTTTCAGGACCTGCAGAGGAGGAAGTTCTGCTTCTTAAGTTGAAATATAAAGGTAACAACTAAACTTATCTCCTATGTTTAAATGTCTCGAAAATATCCTAAGCCTTGACCAAAAGAAATAGAAAATATCATAAGCAATTTACTTCAAAGAAACAATGAATGAGAAAGCTTAAAGTAAAAAAAAAACTCATGTTTTTTCTCAGTACTTTCCAGGACATACATTTGTATGCACCAGAAAAAGGTCTAAAGGAAATTCCAAAAGATCCCTCCTAGGAACAACATTAGGATGATATACTTGGCAGTGGGTCCCAACTAGTATGGACCTCTACATCGCTACTGTCTGGTACAAACCAATCAGATTATAATCATTATATCGATCGGGTTGCTGCTGAAACTACTTCGGATTGTTATGTGTTATAGAGGTGACGGAGGTGTTATTTCAATTTCTATTGGGAGGAAGAAAAGGGGATATATAAAAGGGGCCTGCCCAAAAGGGTATACTAATCACACTTTTCTTGTTAATTTATACTTCAGAACAATAAATTATCTTAACAGAAAGAGGAGAGCAAGAATTAAACTCTTTCTGTGGGTGTTAGGGTAAAGTGTTGTACCATTGGAACTACACTCGTTGATTGTAACACATTTAGTTTGACAACATTCTTCTTTCACTTCAAACACAAGAATATGATATAACTGAAACATTTAAGAAGTGTGACTAGTTTTCAAGATGAAGTTGTAGATAACAAGTATTTAATTAATGTCAAGGATGAAAATGTCAGCCATGCAGATAAAATCAGCCCTCCAATTTATACATATTTCAGGGATATCGATATCATTTTTTATATAAGTGAAAATGGACAAAAGGGTTAATTTGATTAATTGGCTGGGTTAGTACATGGGTAATTAATTAAGGCTTGGTGTGGTTTATATTTGACTGAATAAGAGATTCTAAACAATGATTACAGTTTCTTTTGTTTGAATTTGCATCTTCTTCCTCTTTTTCCTTCTATTTCGGATGAATACCTTCACAAATCAAGAATTTTTTTCTCTGGGTTTGTAGGGAATATCAAGATATGTTGGGATTATCGTGAAATCTCAGCGATGTTGGGGAAATCTCGCCAACATGGGAGAAGAGATGCTTTTAGCCCCCTAGTTTCACTGTTGACACTTGAAAAAAGGGACACTTCGGCCGAAATGTCTAGTTGTTGGCTGACATTTTCATCCATGATTAATATTATCTTTATAAAATAGAAATTCTAAACTGGTATATGCTGTTTATTTGAGAAAACCAAAATATCATCAGTATTTCTCACCTTTTGGAAGCCAGCAGAGATTGCACCATCATTTTCTGAAGCAGCAAGTTCTTGCTCAACCTTTTCAAGACCTTTACTCACGGCTTGCATTTCTTCAGCCAAAGCTTTCAACTGAATCTGATTATTTGATGTTATGATCAAACATATGCAAGCAAGGAATTGGACAGGTCAGCTATGAAATGGTTACTAATACAGGTTACAAACATCGGAAAGGACGAATTCTAGCAACATAAACAGCATACCTTAGAGGCAGCTTCTAAATGAACAAGATCCTTATTAAAATCCAGCAACTCTGGCATTTTCTCAGCAATGAGCTAATGAAGACAAAAATTGATAAAGGCATGACATGAATATCCTTAACAACACCAAAAAATTGCAAAATATGAATGATAAACCAAGACATCTGCACAGATGGATATTAACACCAACTTTGACAAGGCACTAGATGGCAGAAAAATCTTACGAATCGATATGGTTAAGATTTTCAACTGCCATACCTTACACAAATAATGCATTAAAGTCATTTTGTTGTTTCTTGCACGGGTGTCAGACAATTTAAGAAGGCTGTCCAATTTGAATCCCACGGCAGATCCTGCAAAATCAAAACTAAACATTTAGGCTAAGGAACATAATGGTAATAATGTAAATACCAAGAAAAATAATGGCAACAGAATCATAGGAAGAATTAAAACAACCATTAGACAGTAGTACCTCGAGCAGTGCCTTGATTCAAGGCATTTCCCAAAGTGAGAATTGTCTGCATTATCTGTCGTAGTTTCGCGGATTCTTTGACCTGCACATACTTGTGAAATCAAATGGAGGCCAACAATATGCTCATATGTACTAGTCTAATAACCACTGATTCTCATGATACCTCTCTAGCAGCACCATTGATTGTATTCAGATGAAGTCTTAAGTCATTCACCTAATCCAATTCAAGCACCAAAATGCTGTTAAGCATATACCACGCAAAATCATATAAAGAAAATAAAGCTCTACAATTTACCTGACTAGAAAAGGTAATTTTGAAAGCAAATACTCGCAACTTGGATTCTACTCGTGGAACCTTCATCAGCTCTACAAAAAACTGAAGTACTTACTAAAGACACTGTTAGTAGGAAATCAAATAGAAGTTAGAACAAACTTGCATTTAAGATGTTGGTATTAGAAAGAACCTGTTCACATTTTCCTAGCATTTCCTTGTCGCCTGTATAGTTCTGGAAGGAGGAAAATGGAATCAGCAATATTAAAGAAGTAACAACCTTCTAAACTAGACAATCTCTAGTAATTCAAAGAAATCTGTAATCTCACCATATTATTAATTTTTTTTTTAAAGAAAAAATTTATTGATCAATCTCAAAAGCATTACAAGTTGTGGACAAAGGGGTCAACCTCAACACTACAGCAAGAAGACAAAAACGCTATCAGAAACATTAGGTTTGTTTAATTCACAGTGCAGCTTTCTTTGTTGGTTTGTTGTGCTGATGTAAACTCATATTGTGTCAACCTTAGGACTGTTTAGAGTCTTATACCGTTTTAGTGTGAAAAAGGGAAAAATCATCTCACTTTGTTCCAAGTTTGAGTACAAGAATACTGGCAGGGTACTATAAACTGAAGAAACTTTTTTTATTGGGAATAAACTACAAAAACTATATGCAAACAAGATTCTAAACCCATTATCCAGAACACTAAGATATTACTTTTCTTTTTTAAATACAAGTGAAAATTCATGAAATCTATGTACACAGCATCGATAAAGATCAAATTACTGGAGCAAGGATAACATTAGTATCAATCAAAAAGACATGTACATGCCCAACATATAGAAGTATGAATTGCTGTGGAAGAGGAGTGGGAAGGAAGAGCAACTTACCTTCAAAGTTTCCATTTCTTCTTTACTAGGACAAAATTTAATGAGATTCTCAACCTGGTCAATGTCAAGAACAGAAGAATCCAGGGCCAGAACTGCATTCTAGAAGCATAAACACCTAAGTTTAGCACCATTATACGCTAATAGCCTAATAGGCATTATTAATGACCATATCCAACAATTGGGACATGACACTATCCGCAATAAACATATAACATCCATGCAACAATCACAAAAGATGCCAAAGTTGAATTTCCTTCACTAATCTTTGTTATAAGATAAGATGACCATGAATTAGAAGAATGGATGATTTTCACACATGAATGAGAGAAATGTCATCAGATATGAGGACATCAACGTCACTAACTATGAAAATATCAATGCTCAACATTCATGTCCTCAAGAGTAGACACAAAGACTTAATGTGAACATTCATCCATCCACATTTCCCCAAGCCATGCAAATAGAAGGCTATGAAACCAGAGGAAAACACTTTTTTTCTGATGATATCTGTGAAATTTACATGAGTAGAAAGAAGAACTTACAATCATATCTGGCAAAGGGATCTTTACTTTTGAGAGCATGATTTCACAGTTATATGCTCGTCGCAAGTCAACCTGATAAACAGAGACAAAATAACAAATAAGTCTACATACATATCCTAAAGATCACACTAGAGGGAATCAAGGCTGGAGATATCATAAAGCATAGGTACCCTAAGGAACATGATTTCCAACTTTCTTGAAATTTTGCTGAAGTTTCTGCTTTCCATACTTATAATTTGTTCAATTAGGGATTATGATTGAAATCTGGAGCCAACTAGGCTATTTGGAGAATTCAGACTCTATCCTTTCCTAGGATTTTCCTTGATATCAATTAGACAAAACAAGAATATGTAATACGTGGTCTTGGCAAAGGATTAAAATTTCATTGCCAGTAGATATATCGGTACTCCGAATTTAAGAAAATAACATTGGAAATATCAATGTCACTGGAAATATTGATGAAAAATAAAAAATGTACAACATGAAGATTGTGAATGAGATTTTAAGAAATGCTAGCAAGCCATATGTATCCCTGCTACTAAATATATGGCATGTATAGTTGAAAAAACTTACGCAGGTGACCTATACTTTCATGATTTATGTTCATATTTTATATTAGATCTATCTCAACTCATTTTCTTTTTAGCTTTATATAGAGCTACTATGTATTGAATTGACAAATGAGTTTTATTGGTTAACAAGGATTATATGTGTTAAGATTATTTCAAGTAACATGAGTCATTTACTTATATTTACTCCTCTGGAGCAGTTAAAAGATATTGTTCATTGGCTACATTTATCAGTTGCAAGTTACAGCCTAGCCCGGAGCTTTTATCAGAATTCAAAGCCCATTTAGTCTACTGCTTTTTGCAATCAAGGCTAAAGGCTAGTTGTCAAAGCTAACTGATTAAAATGAAAATCCACATGGTTGGGTAAACATGGTCACTGGGTAATTTCACTCAAATTCCACCAAATTTCAGTATTAAAAAAAAGACTGATATACATAGATATACCAATACTATGTCAACATTACTGAAACTGCTGAGATTTCTTCAAAATTTCTGCAACTGTTTTAAGATGCACCTCCACCCTTATCTAATGTTGCACCCTGATTTGACCGAAACATCAACAATGTTGCCAATAACCTTGGTCTTAGCTTAGGTTGTCAATTCCGTTCCTTAGGCACAAGATTTAACAAACAAACAAATGCCTGCTGTACCCCATCCTCCCACTCCTTGGGTGCTTATGTATGATTGAAAATTGACATACAAAACATGTGTGATCAAATTAAAATCGGAAGAAGTTAAATTCCCAATCCTCCTACTACTTGAGGCTTCATGATTTTTTTTTATAAAGGCAAAGCAACAGAGACATGTTTGCATCAATTGAACAATTTATGAAGTAAAAACTTATCACTGAAACAAATAATGATTAATGAACCTACAAGTGGCAAAGCATCAAGCACAATAAAAGCCTAAAGCAAACCAAAAATACTGCATGGCAGAAGAAAGAAAGCTCACCAATTGCACTTTCTCAGGTTTGGTGATGGTAGAACCGCGTCGACCTCCACCCCTACTGCCATTCCCATCTGAAGCAGAGGCTGCTGAAAACAGACTTTGAAGTTCTGTCATATCTATTTCTGGAGCCCTGAGAAAAAATCCCACAATGTTACATCAGAAGAGAAACGGAGAGGAACTGAGGAAAGAGAACCAAGAAGAAAAAAGCAAAAACAAACTCAAGACAAATTAGCATCACATGGAAAGAATGAAGAAAAAATAATGTGACAATGCATAATGGATTCCCTTAAGCTCATTTCAGTGACAATTATAATCCTGCTGTACACTAACAATGGAACCTAATATTTGACAGAGTGACTTTTCATAGTGCTTGTGTCCTTTTTTGATTATTAAGAATCAAGTGTCTAGAAGAATTCCATAAGAATGCACCTTGACTGATTTTCCTGTTGCTGAGAATCTGCCCATAAACTCCCTTGCATTGCTCGAGTAACTTTGACCCAGTGTAAGGGCTTTAACGAATTTTTCTTCGGGGCATTAGTGGCACCAGTGCCACGACCTTTTCCAAGACTTGTCGGCCCAGAAGAAGCTCTGCCCCTTCCAATGGCTGGTGGTGGTGGCGGTGGTGCATTGGAGCCCTTTGCTCCAGGTGGTGGAGGAGGTGGTGTTGCACCATGACTTGAGGGTGGAGGAGGAGCACTTGGGGGCATTGGTGCTGGTGGTGGAGGTGGCGGGGTTGGCCTTCCCGGTCCTAAAGGAGGTGGAGGTGGGGGTGATGGCCTAGTATTATTACCAAGGCTACCACTCATAGGAGGAGGAGGTGGAGGAGGTGGTGGTCCACGACCAGAACTGGAACTGGATGGTGGAGGAGGCGGAGGAGGCGGTGGTCCACGACCAGAACTAGAATTGGATGGTGGAGGAGGTGGAGGAGGCGGTGGTCCACGAACAGAACTAGAACTGGAGGGTGGAGGAGGTGGAGGAGGCGGTGGTCCACAACCAGAACTAGAATTGGATGGTGGAGGAGGTGGAGGAGGTGGAGGAGGTGGAGGAGGCGGTGGTCCACGACCAGAACTAGAACTGGAGGGCGGAGGAGGTGGAGGAGGCGGTGGTCCACGACCAAAATTAGAAATGGATGGAGGAGGAGGAGGAGGAGGTGGTTGTAGCTTGTTAGTGGCAGGAAGAGGGGGCGGTGGCGGTGGCGGTGCTGCTATTGATTGTACCTTGTTGGGTGCACTTCCCAAAAACGGAGGAGGTGGAGGTGGGGGTGGCGGCAAAGACTCTTGACTAGATTTAGGAGGAGGTGGTGGTGGTGGGGGAGGACGTAGTGGTGGACCAATGGAAGGAGGTGGTGGTGGTGGTGGTGGTGGAGGGTGAAGCGCAGGACATAATGGTTCAATTGATAGTGGTGGGAGTGGCAATGATTGAGGGGATGAACAAGGTGGAGATCCATTACTTGTATCTAATGATTGTTGATGAAGAGAGTGCAGAACAGGTCCAATTAACTCTTGATCAGGAGACTCTGAAGCAAGGTTCGCTTCTGGTGGACCATCATTTTCAAATGATACAGGCACTGAATCAAATGTGTCCAGCATCAATGCTTTCGTTGAATCTGCTGAAGCCTTGGAAACAGTATCAAACGCTTCATCAGCACTGTCAGCAGTGCTAGATGCATTATTTTCTTCTTCAGAGTCAGCAGGTGACGAATATAAATTCACTTTGTTTTGCAACCTTGAAATTTCTTTTGCATCACTTAGTACAGAGAGCTGTTTAAGCAACCACAAGGCTGCATCATCATTGCTATCAACCCACTCAACCCCATTGAAAAGTTCTTGAACCCTCGAAAAAGCTTCAAGGGGCAATCCACCTTTCTCCTCCCCATTTAAAATTGTAGTTGGAGCTTTAGGAGGAGAGATGCTCTCAAACTCCCCAAACAATACCTGAATAAATGAGTTCATTCAATCAGATGGATGGCTAACTTATATGAAAATAAGAATACGCAAATATATGTTATGTTTTTTAATATGGTGTATACATAGAGTAAGTTCTCTTGCACTGTCTGGCAACATAAGACGCCTATGTTGCCACACTGTTAATCTGGACCATTGATCAGGATGATTCTTACTAAAATGTGTGCTCCAGATCCTCAGTCTGACATAATAACATTTCCTTGCAAGTATATACATGTCTATATTCATACAACAAAAGGCACCATGTTTAATCATTTTTCTATGAAGATCAAAACAAAGGGCTCACTAATAGTCACCTCAGCTCGGAAGCCTTTTGGATAGCGTTCCTTTGAATCCCATAGAATGTCTAAGTTATCCGAATTCAGCATCAGTATATTGGAACGAATAAATGCAGTGTTGAACATAATACGGAACATCATAACTTCCCTCTCTGGATCCAAATCTACATGAACACACTCCAATACAACATCTCCTTGCACTAAACACTGAATGTCAATTTTGATGACATCACAGTCTTCCTGCAAAGAAAGAACATTATAACTGGAGTAGTGATATAAGGAACATTGACCAATGCAAAAACATAGAATGACAAACATCAAGTGGGAAAATTCTTAGAACAGTATAAATCTTACTTGACGGTAGTTCCGAAGTGTCTTCTTCCTGGGCATGGAGAATATCATCTGGGTCGAAAGCCCACCCTTACTAAGTAGATTCCTACCAAAAATACGGATAATTGGAGTGCAGCCTTTATGGGTATCGAAGTTTGGAATGGCTCGAAGAATGACACAGTCTAAAGAAAGTGCTCTCTCAGGAGGTGGCCACTCTGGAGCTATATTTCTTCTTGCCACATACTGAAGGTATCGAAGCTGAGATGGAAGAGGATTCAAAGGCGACAAGAGCTGCAAGAAACCTTTAGGAGCTTCTCGATGCACAATTTCAAGAGTCTTTCGTTCACCACTATGCAATTTCCTAAAAATGAGAAAGCTAGCTAAAAGAAATGCCAAGAGTGGCCAACCTCCCCTCTCACAATGGAGAAGAATAACATTCTGTTGCTTGTCAAGCAAGAGCCAACTCTCACAAACACGGAGAAAATGTTGAATGAGAGATAATGGGAGGATTGGACAACCCTCGTACTGCCGCGGATAATCCATAACTGTAACATCGTATTCGCATAGTATCTCAGCAAACTGGCTACGTTTCTCACCCTCACGAAAATTGAATGCAAGGAAGGATGAGTCCGGGAATTCTTCATGTAACTCAGTAATAATTTCATCTAGGTATATTTGGTACATTTCCTCAGGCAAGACCTCCGTGGAAAAACACGAATCAAACACTGCCCCATATTTAATATCATGAAACAAAAATAAGAAAAAAAACAAGTTATGAAAACATATGATTTAATGCAAACAAATAATAGCAACACTAGATTAAAGGATGAAGAAAAGAATGTTACCATATACTCTCTCTACAAATTCAAGCAACCCATCTGGGGGTCTTTTGTAAAAGAATCTACTTAGAAGCGTCATTTTCCTCTCTTTCTTGAATTTTACCAACTGAACTGAATTGGGCGTAGGATTTTGCCAATGAGCTAAACCTGAAAATACAAAGTTCAACAGAAAAAGGTGATCACTGACACTTTCAAAACTCGCACTATTTGGGCCTCGTCAGCATTCACTCAAGCAACTCCCTTAATCAAGCTAATCTTATTCCAATTGTAAAACCCCATTAGACCTAAATTTCATCATTTCCTTTCAGTTTCTCAGCATTTCCTTTCAGTTTTCTCGGCAACCAAACAGAGTGTGAGCTTTAACCCGGATCAAAACAAAACGGCAGGCGTGAAAACTAACGAGTTACATGAAGGCTTGACACGAACCTGAGAGATTAAACGGAAAGTGGAAATTCTGGCAGGTATCGACGGGCTATGGAAAGTCCCTTCGTGCCTCGTAGTTTGAGTCTTGGAGAACCATTACACCTTCAATTTCAATTTTGAACTCTTTTTTCTCGCCTTGAATTTCAAATTTTTAAATTTAAAAACTCCAAATCCATCCAATATTTTCCTATTTTTTTTTTTTTTTTTTTTTTTTTTTTTTTTTTTTAATCTATTTTATTTATTTATATAAAAAATGTTTGAATTTCGGTGGAAGAAGAAGAGAGCACGTGTTTTTTTTTTTTTTTTTTTTTTGGGTGGGTTGGGGGGGGGGTTTTTGAGGTTTTTCTTTTTTATAAGACGACGTCGTATTATATGCTCGGCTTTCTAAACCTAATTAATGCAATTTATTGTGGGTAAATAACTTTTAAATTTTTGGAAAGAAAACTGATATGACTTCAGCACCACCAGTACCCTTACCAATCCCAACTAACTGAGCATTTGCATTTAGAATCGGTGCATTTATACGTATTTAAAGGAATCTTAATTATTTGATTAATGACTAAAATTCGACCACGTCAGCAGAATTATATGAAATTAAAAACTCACCTTATGTACTGTATCAATCATCCAAATTATTTGGATCTTCAAGCAAGCATGTACTGTATAATCTGAATATTCTGGCTACTGGCATTTGAAAACAGCAACTTGACCATTGATAATTGAAAAATCGACAACGGAGGATTTGTAGATGCTTGCTCCTCAACTGTTACTTGTTTTTCCCCAAAGATTTGAATGACCCAATTGGCATGTACCCAATTTTCCCTTTAAGATGTGATATGAGAATTATGTTTTAATCATGAATGGTTGCTTAGATAAATTCTTCCCAATATCCAATAGAATATTTAAGTTTTCTTTTAACTTTCTCCAGTAAATTCTTCATTGTTGGGTTAAAGAACAGTTAATTCAAATTCGCGTGCAAATGAGGTTTAGAGACAAAAGATGAAATTCAGACCTAGAATTAGAGTATATGCAATGGCGCAGATCATTTCAATTTTATTTTAATAAATTGAACTTTTGACTTCTTGTGGTAAAGTTCAGTTCACTTCAAAGATCAATATTTCATTTCGTGGATCAATAGTTCATTTTAGAGGTCAATAAAATGAACTCTAAAATGAAATTCATTTCAATAAATTGTCCCATCATAATAACTATACGGCCTCTTTCTTATTGACATATGGACAACATTACTTTTTAATTTTTCCATTAAATTTAATTAGTGTAAACTATTAGTTACTTTCGTTTCTAATTTATTTCACTGTGAATAAAAAAAACATTAGTTAATATCTACTAGCCATTACTGTTTTCTTTTCCAAAAAAAAAAAAAAAAAAAAAAAAAAAAAAAAAAAAAAAAAAGGAAAAGGGGAGGGGGTAGCTATTATAGATACTAGCCATTGCTAATTTATTTCAGTTTTCAAAAATACAAATGGCTAGTTCCCTTTCAAACGACTAGTTACTTACCTATAAATACACAAATGGCTTATTCATATTCAATTTTGTTATGTAATAACCTGAAAAATAGGTGCTCTGATATGTTCTCATTTAATCTTATCTTCCAATTCTTTAGAAAACAAAATGTTAATATAATATTCTCACCAACCAAAGAAAAAAATTTATTAATTTTTTTATATATATTCAAAATTGGTCTCTTTTCAAAGATCTCTTTGAAACCATTTTAATTGTATATCTCTTATCCTAATTAACTTTATTTATTTTATTTTATCCAATCATTTAAAAAATATTGTTTTTAATTTGTAAGCTATTGAATTGCACCACTGCAAATGAAACTGCACAATAATTACCAAAAAAGTTTAATAAATTGAACTGAATGAATTGTTGAACAACCATTATAGATACTCTTAGAGACCCACAAACAAATGCCATTCAATCCATTCAAGATTTTAGTTCATATAGTTTGGTTTTTTTTGCTATGTTCAGATCTGCTTGGGGGCGTGGGGTGTGGTTTGGAGACAGTGGAAGATGATGAGGGGAAGGTACGTGGGTAATGAGGGAGGAGAGGATGGGGTGAGGCAACGGCGGAAGCAATGGCATTGGAAAGGAGAGTTTTCCAAATGATGAAGACAATGGAGGATACAAATGCGAGTAGTTGATACAGTGCATAAGGTTTTTAATATAATCATGCTGATGTGGTAAAATCGTAGTTATAAGATTAATCAAATAGTTAAGATTCCTTTAAATGCATACATAAATGCACCGATACTAAATGCAGAAACTCGGGATCCATCCCAGCACAGTATCACACATTTTGATACCTCCTAGCATAGTAAAAAATCAAATACTGAAATGGAAATGTAATGAATAAAAGAGTGAGATGATTCTTTTGTTGGTCGAAAAAAGTTTGATAATTAATAACAACCAAATTAGCTAAAGGCAATCCCAAAAGCAAATTGATGATGATTTTTCCCTCTTTTCTTTTTTGTTGCCAAGTTTGAAAATGGGACAGAACTACAAGCATTGGATAAGAGATTTTCAAGGAGGAAACAGATCCACCAACTCTTGCTAGAGGATAAAAAAAAAAAGCATAATGGTAGTTTCTCTTTTAAAAATTATTTAGCCAAAACAAATTGCATTAATTAGGTTTATTGTTCACACTGATGTTCACCATTGGATATAATCCAACGGTAGTTGACCCAAGACAGTCCCTAGTCGACGGGAAATTAATTGATACGTTAGTTATGATAAGAAATCAATTGCTAAGAAAACAAAGAAACAAGAAAAAAATTAAAAATTAAAATGAAAACTAAATAACAATAAAAAAGAAGATGGAAAATTAATAGTAATTTTATTTTAGTTAACATCTATTTTCTAATTTTCTAATTTCAAGTCCTCTCAATTGCATATACGTAAATGTGACTCCTAAATTAAACATGCCTATATGACATGGGCTTACTCGTTGACTCATAACGTATAAATCCACTTGATGAAGCCCAAAATTAAAATAGTTCATTTATTTAAACCTAAATTTTATTTAAAAATTAGGGTTACATTTCAAATTATTTTAAATAGTATAAAATAATTCTCATTAAAATATATATATATATATATATCTCTCTCTCGCCCAATGGCAACACCATCACCCAATCTGTTCACTCGTTTTATGTTTGTTTCTGTGATAGTAGGGTAAAGTTCCCCATTTCCTTGAAAACCATTGACTGGTCAACAAGTCAACTTTCTTTAGTGTGCGAGCATGCCACTGATAGCAATGAGAAATCCTAGCAGACTTCTTAAAAATAGATAACTTGCGCCCCAAGTTACTTATTTCTAAACAAGCGATTGTGAATTTGGGTGAGGAATATCTCCCAAGTAAGTTCTTTTCTTGCCTCAGACTAGTGAGGACTTCACAATTTTTCACAGTACAAAATTGGTAATTCTAGCTAGAATAAATTATAGGAAAGTGAACTGTTTTTAGGCAGAACTGCCTTTTACAATGCTTAAAAAGGAAAATCTAACTCTAAAAAGACAAAAAGAAGGCTAGACTTCCATTTCCTCCTGGATAGATGCTTCTGATCCGGGCTGGACTAGATATGCCTGTGCTGGACTGGACTATCAGCAACTTCAATTGTTAAGTTTCAGCTGTAAATCGATATCAACGTTCGAGTTTGGCAGAGCTTCAATCTATTTCAAGCCCTGGAAGGCTTTTTGGATGGGCAAAATTGGGACCTCTTCAGTCTGGAAGGGGCAGAAGTGGCTGGACTTGATTACTGAGCTGGAACTACACTATGGTACATGTTCTGCTTGATCAAGGCTCTCCATAAATTTGTTGAGGTTTTCATATTTGTAAAAACCTGAACTCTGCTTCATTTGGCTTTTGCTGAACCAAATTTGTAACGAGAGAAATCTCGTTTTGAATGACTTATTTCTCTAAGTCTGAACTGAAACAAGAGGTTTTGATTTGTAGCTGGCTTCTTTCTTGTGGCTCAATGAGCTTTTGATTGCTTCAGTTTGTTTGAAGGCTTTTTGAGATCAAGTGATCCTTTTGAGTTTTGTCTTTAATTGATTTTTTGGCTGTGTTTTGATCTGTTCACCTCCTTTTATATTTATAAGAAATGCTTTGAGTGGGACTATCTTGGGTCCCATTCTTCCACCAAGTTAAACAACATATCCATATTATACCTTGAATGCACATGAAATGTGCGCATTTTGCTAGTCTAATCCAGTCTAATCTTGTCCACCCTATCAAACAAGCCATAGTGGTGTTCTTTTGTACACTTGGCTTGCCCCCTCTTTTTGATGTTATTTAATTATTTTAGTGTTTTTTCTACTAATGCTTAGTTATTATTACCAATATGCAAAATAAATTTTGAAACAAAAGAACTATGCATGTAATTTAATTTTTAATATAATATAATATAAATGGTGTAGTTAGAAATGTATTTTTTTGTGCATTCATTTATCTTAACCAATTTTGTTTTGTTCTTAGATTCTTGGTGACCATCTGTCGCTGCTGAGTGCTATGCATGTAGAATTGTAGTTTTGATGATCCTAAATTTTAATGCAGCTTGTTTTCGTTGTTTCCACTGGAGAGGCTTGGGGCTACCTTGGTAGCAGGAGGTTTTTGTTTGAACTTGATCTGCAGTCTGATGCTGTTAGTGGCATTAACTACTCATTGATTGAGAAGGTATACTGTGCTCTTGCAATGATTGAAGTCATCTACTGTAATCTCAAAGGTTTCTTACAGTAATATTACTCAATTAGTTAAATGTTACACGGCCAGTATCCTAGCATTACAAAATTACAAGTTACAAGACCGTCCAGACACAGAATCATCAAACGCATTGGTTAGAAGAGGATTTGAGTTTTCCAGTCCCCTCCCTCCATTTCTGCTCTGGGAGAAATTCGGTTATATGAATCGAGGGCACTGCAGTTGCATGGCATTAGTTCAACATTACCAAAACTTGTAAGAGTTTCAATAATGGAATGCAGGAACCAGCTTGAATTCGACCAATACCCAAATACATTAAGTTGCTTTTAAAATCTCGGTCACACTAGCCTAAACAAAAATTTAACTTCTAAAAGTTCTAGCTTCTGCTAGTATACAAATTAGCAACAGAGATGTCATATCAAATCTGCAACGTTCATCGGCATTTCATCAATCTGGGTGCTGTAGTACTGTTCAATGTCTCTTAAGATCTTTATATCATCGCTTTTGACAAAGTTTATTGCCACACCCTAAAATTAATCAAATACCAAATTGTGATTAAAACTTGCGAACATAAAGCTAATAAACAGTAATCAGCAAAACATACTTACAAATGCACTCGCATAAGAATCAGAATACATGCATACCTTGCGCCCAAAACGACCAGAACGACCAATCCGATGAATATACAGCTCTCGAGTGTTTGGAAGATCAAAATTGATAACCAAGGAAACCTGAAAAAGGGGGAATAACACCAAAATAATAATTAGAAAATCAGTGTCTGTATACGTATAACATGGTAATTGCTATTAATACCAGAACGAAGGAGAAATTAGAAGCAATGTCATGAAGAGAGTTTAGATTAATCTGATGGGTGTTAGACAATTAGAAAAGGAAAAAAAAAATTTAACTTACCTGCTGAACATCAAGGCCTCGTGCCCAAACATCTGTTGTGATGAGGACACGAGAATTGCCACTGCGAAACTCTTGAGTAATAGCATCTCTCTCCTTCTGAGGCATGTCTCCATGCATTGAAGACACAGTAAAGTTATTACTCCTCAACTTTTCGGTGAGCCAGTCCACCTTTCGTTTTGTGTTGTAGAAAATAACAGCTCGTGTAATTGTAAGAGTCTCATAGGGATCACATAATGTATCAAACTTCCACTCTTCTCTTTCAACCGAGACGAAAAATTGCTTGATTCCCTCCAAAGTCAATTCATCACGTTTGACAAGAGTATCCTCACAGGGTCAGTCATAAACTTGTTGGTCATCTCCAATATTTCATGAGAAAGTGTAGCAGAAACTAAGCAAACCTGCAAAAATAAATTACAACTGAATTCAGACAAACATACATACTAGTTTTGAACAAAGTCTGGGAACATGGTACAGAAAAAAACCGATATCTTCCTTGACGTGATCTGGTTTATGTTTAGACTAGAAGAAAATTTTACAAGACAAAGATAACTGATACACGTGAGAAAAGAATGCTATTGGTTAACTGGTTAAACACTATTAAATCTATGAATTTAAATTGGTTAACTCTTATTGTATTGAGATGCTATTGTCAATAATACTGAATACATATTTGGGTTTCTTAGATCTAGGTCCGAAACGATTAGCTGTCATTGGGTTTAGTCCACGCGTTTTTGGTTTTAAATGTAGGTCCTTTGACTTTTATTACTCTTTTTATTATGTCGATTTTACCCTTGGAGGTACATAAGGAAAACATTGAAAATCTAAATTTAATGAATTATTTAGTTGTAATTTAATTTTAGAATTTAAATTTGGAATTCTTTCATTGATAATATTTACCTAATATATGGGTAAAGAATAATACTAGTCTTACCACATTTTTTATACCACAATTTTATACCACATGATGTGGCGGCTGATGTGTACATACCACATCATGTAAAATACTAGTTTCTGTTTTTCTAATTTTATTTATTAAAATACACTTTATTCATTTAATTGATATGACATATGACATGGACATGTCACATCATGTGGTATAGAAATGTGGGATAATAATGTGGTAAGTGTAGCATTACTCTATGGGTAAAATACAAATTAATCAATTGACGTAAAAGCCCACATATTATACTAATCAATTAGGCAAGCACCCACATTAAATTATGTACCTAACATACATGTAAATAGTGTTCTTATTAGCAACGAAAAAAACTTAGTGATAACTTGTGTTACCTATAAGTCATGAACATAAATTAAAATACTACCTATAAGTTAGGAACATAAATTTGAAGACTACCTATAAGTCATATACAAAAATAGACAAACAAAATTGTATGTTACCTATAAAAAATGTAAATAAAATACTATTATTCATTGTCTAAAATATGAAATAACAAATATATACCTATGCAATAGGCAATATGACAATATACCTACACCATAGGATAATTTATCTACAAGAGTATATACTATACCTCTACCATAGGGTGAACAAAAATAAAAATAATGGCATATAAATTCTCATCTTACTCATTTTAGACAATAGGGATATAATAGGAACAAAAAAATTTAAATACAAATCAGTTAAATACAAAAATTTTAACCAACATGTCAAAGATGAAATGTAATCTACATGGCAAACTAGTCAAATGACTTGTATCAATAAACAAATAATTCGAGGATTAGACCCAATTATTGGTTGGATTTTTGGACCTCTATCAACTTTTCTAAATTAATAATTAAAACTCATCGGAAAATTCCTAGTCTTTAGTTAATTACTTGTCTCATCATTGAGCCTTGGTAAAACTGTATAATGAGTGGTAAGATGTGAGATAATTTCTTGAGAATAGTCTGCAGGGGTTGGTTCAACTAATCCATTGAACATGTTCTTCAAGCTTTCACTTTGCATAATTTGATGAACTTTGAGGCACTGAAGATATGATCTTAACAAGGCTCGGAGGAATCGGGTTATGCTTGTTGCCCTGATGAAGGATGGGAAGAGATTTTTTTAATTAATGGATTGCAGTTGTTGATTGCTGTTGGCATTCTTGATTGATGTAGTCAATGGTGGCCATGGAGGAAGAGGGATAGAAGTAGAGCCAACAGTGGACACGGAGAAGAGATATAGAGAGAGAATCATGGGAACTGTGGAATTCATAATTAGTCTATTAAAATAATAGTAATTTTAGGCAAAAAGTATTATTAAAAAGATAGTAATAAATAGTAGTGAGATTTATCTACTCCATGGGAACTGTGCAACGATATTGTCGATAATGCATCAGTAACGTGTTTACATTGATAATTGATATTGTGTCAAAACGAAATCTACTCCAAGCTTCAGTGAAAGGGGATCCCTTATGAGAAATTCATCCCATTTATCTGTCCTTGGAACTTTAGTAATTTGCCTCCCCACTATTCAACTTTAGTATTGACAGCTTACTAATTGGCTTCCCAGCTACTCAACTTAAACTATATACTGTAGGGTTTCTAATTTCTAATCAAGTTTCCAATGCTTGCTAATTGTGAGATTTTTTTAAGGTGAGAGACAGTTAAAGAAAACTTTATCAAATTAATACAATTATCTTCTAATCAGAGTCAGACTCTCCATATATAGTGCAGACTAAAAGAAACACACCCCTCACTGGTTCATCAGGTGTACTCAAGGTGAGCAGCCCTGGAATTCTTGTCCTTGTTGACCACAAGAACACTATCAATCTATTGGTAGTCTTTAATGAAAATGTCTTGTTCCTGTTAGTTGGAAAGAGTCAATTTCCCCTCTCATTCTCTCTGAGTTTCTAATTTTTTTTGTTTGGCCTGGTTCCTAGCATTATATGGTAGTCTTTAACCCACCAATGAATTCTCCAGGTGTGGCTGCATCAAGGATGAAGCCTCCCCTAAAGAAAGAAACATCAATGAAGCTTTTGAGAGCACCTAATTAACTTGATATATGTAAATATGTAAAACAGCAGCCATGACAAAACAGTGCATTCAGAACATCAACATAGGATGCAAAAGCGATCCCACAGGAAGATTTAAGTTGAAAAGAAAAAAAAACCACACATATTCTCAAGCAACATTTTTCTGATCAACTTCTAATACCAAACAATATATTAACTCTAATTCAAATCACAACATGAGTTGTTGAAATCGTGACAGAATAAAGGAACAAACTTTAAGTTACACAAATCACAACATGAGTTGTTGAAATATTTCCAAAATTCATACGAATGACAAAAAAAACGCTGGTCTCTTTGCATTGAGGGCTCTAAAATCTAGCAAGGAATTCTTCATGGGGTCTTGGACACACCCAATCTGCAATCTGCGTTTCATTTACTTTTAATGACCTTGAACTTTCTCCTATCACAAATTATGTTAAACCTTCTATATGATAGAATTTTACCACTCATCTTTAGGGCTGTAGTACTAAATGGACAATGCTGACTTTCGTGATCTGCAGATATCCGTATCGGTGGTCTTCTTTTGTGTGTCTGTGTGTGAATGCTCAAACGTCCAGTTTCATCTGTGTCGCATATCAAACCTTAGTTGATTGTATAACATGAATTTATAGTAATGTATTTTATTAATATCCTAACATGATTTTGATAAGTCATGGGTTATGAGAAGACTGTCTTTTGCAGCACTGGATTAATTCTTAGTTGTGGAGCACAGAGTCACTGCACCATGATGTCAAGAGACTGTTTTCTAACTGACTGAGGGTTATCCGTTTTCCTTTATTGTTTGTCCTTTTTTAACATTGTCAGGCTTGTAAACTGACTTTTCCCTCGCAGGGATATGTGAGTTGCAGAAAGAGAATCGTGATATGTGAGCAATTTATAATTTTTCTTTTTATAAGAAACACAAATTTAAGTTACAAACTTTCATTAAAACAAAGAAAGAGAATCGTGATGCAGAAGACATTGTTGATAATAATAGTGAAGATTATTTGTACCATTCCTTATACTCAGTTCTGATTATTTGACTTTAGTAGCAGGCAAAGTTGCATCTACTAGATGGCCACTGGAACCATATTCCTTTGAATTCTGCTAACCAAGAGGAGCCTTTGGTTCTGACGAAGACATAAGAGCAACCAATTGCACCACTAAGAGTATATCAAAAAGCAAAAACTTTCACTATCTAGCATGTACTCAATCATCCATATATACATGGGGAGAATGGAGATTGTGCGGCTCATAGAATCAAAGAATGATAGGTAAAAGGGAGGGTTTTGTTAAGCATATATATAGTGTGATCATCATATTTTGCTAGAATTGAAAGCTAAGTTTATAGAACATCTGTTAGACCAGCCATGCTATATGGGACTGAATGCTGGACAGTTAGAAAACAGACATATTCATGGTTCCTGTAGGTAAATATTAGCCAAACGTTACAACCTGCACAGTGATATGCACACCTCTATCTCTGTTTCTCTAACGGCATATTAGCCATTATTAGACACAAATTGTTAAGAGATCAGATTAAAATATTTGCCACCTTTCGAATCCTTCAAAATTGGAGATGTTTGCTGAATAATCTTTGCTATCCTTCAAAATCGAAGGGTCACTGCCTCAACCTGAAAAGCCAGGTTTTTATAGTGAAAGCAATGTCAATGAACTCGAGGTCAATCCTTCTTCTAAAGCATTTTCAGCTAATGAAGTCACAGTCCTTTTACACTAAGGGAGGATTGATAAACGATATTTCATGTTGGTATGTTAATCTGGTGCTTTTGAAGTCAGTTTGAAAAGTTAAATATAATGAAGAGATTCCCAACCCATGCGTTAGGAATGCACCCTCTAATTTTTTTTATTTGTTTTCTTCAGAGTTGAGGTGGAGTTCACACAACAGAAACACAGATGCTGATACAAGAACAAATATAAAAGCTTAAATGAATTAGATTTTTCACTTGAGGTGGTGTAATATTTCAATTTTTTTTTTCTGTCCTTTGGTGCGTTGGGTTTGGGTTCCTATGCAACAGGAGGAGGAGCCAAATCTTGCTTCTTTTTTCTTTTTTCTCTCAGCAAACAAGAGGCAGGCAACAGAAATGATCAAATGTCAAATATATAACAGAAATGCAATATCCAAAGAATGAAAAGCAGTCCCACCAAGAAGAAACTATCAAATATTAGTGAATCAGCAAAACTTATGAATTTAGCAAATAAAGAACCTGAAGCCAGTTTCAAGCCGAAAAAACTTACTTGTGTAATATGAAGAGCCTGCCCAAGCCGCTGAATTTGAATCCATTGTTCTGTAACAATGTCAGCCATCTGAAAGCAAAGAGAAAGAAGCCAATGGCAAAATGAACACCACACTAACAATATCACACACTCATAGCCATAGACCAAAGATGGATTGAGTACATCAGTGCATGACCTTTTGAGACTGAGAGGCAACCGTTTCGAGTCTATCCTCGGCATCTTGTGCTTTAGACTCTAAAACATGAAGATTGAAGTTGTACTTTCTTGATGCAGCCCACAGAAGCCGTACCTAAAAAGCATTGCAAAGCCCATTTCTCAAATCCAACAAACCCTCTCTGCTACTTTTTCATTAAATTGAAAATTGCAAAAAATAAATTGAAAAAGATGTGAACCTCTCCTTCTAGAGCATTAAGCCTCTCATCATTAGCCAATGAGTCTCTGTGACATGCAAATGCAACCAAATATTATATATTTGCTTTCACTTTAGCATATACTTGGAAGCTGAAGATTTTAAGCTGAAACGGGAAACAAACCTTAAGAGTGAACAAAACAGACTGCAAATGATGGATCTTCTGCAAATGATGTATCTGGGTTTAACAGAAGTATGGAACTCAAGGAATGTGAGATGTTGTGCATGAAGAACTGCTCTTGCACATCAGTGCATGACCTTTTGAGCCTGAGAGGCAACCGTTTCGAGTCTATCCTCGGCATCTTGTGCTTTAGACTCTAAAAAATCAGCCTAGGCTGGCGGCTAGGCAGCTAGGCGGACGGCAAGACGGCTAGGCGAGCGCTAGGCGGCTAGGCGGGCTCTAGGCGGCTAGGCGGCTGGGCGAGCCTCCTAGGCGGGTTGGGTCATTTTTCTTTGCCGAACCCGGAGGACGAAGCAGCCGAAACCGAAGAAAACAAATCCAAGCTTGAGTTGATAGAGAAGCGAAACTTCGGCTACAACCTCCGTCCTCTGCGTGTGCAAGCTTCGCGTTTGAAATATATTAAAAGGGTATAGCCGCCCGGCTATACGCTTAAAATATTCGAATATATTAACATTATACATTTAAAATATTCGAATGTATTTAGAAAGTATAGCCGACCGGCTATTCGTTTAAAATATTCTAATATATTTCCCGAGTATAGCCGCCCGGCTGTACTCTTGAAATATACAATTTTGTAATATCATTTTAAGGTTTGGGGAATGTGAATTTAAATTCTTTCCAATACATCACATTCTAATTATTTTCAGCTATTAGCTCATTGGGTAAGAATAAAAAAATGGATTTTATTTATAACAAATAACTTGGGTTTAACCCATAAATTCAACAATAAAAAATAGGATGTCAATGAACTCGAGGTCAATCCTTCTTCTAAAGCATTTTCAGCCAATGAAGTCACAGTCCTTTTACTCTAAGGGAGGCTCGATAAACGATATTTCATGTTGGTTGTGTTAATCTAGTGTTTTTGAAGTCAGTTTGAAAAGTTAAATATAATTAAGAGATTCCCAACCCATGCGTTAGCAAATGACCCTTTAAAGAAAACCTAGGTTTTATGTCTAACTATTTCCCGTGTTTTATATGAACTAGCCTCTCCACACACATTTTCGCGCCTGCGTGAAGCTTTTTTTAAAAAAATTTAAATTTATTTTAGAATTATAAAAGATAATGGGTAGTTGTATTCCATAAAAATAGAAACTTTTATCTGATTTTTCTTTTAATTTTTTTCAATGTGAAAAAGTATGAATTTACCATATTATCCTCATTTAATTAATAATTTCAATTGTTAATGTTTGCATTAACCAAGGGTATTTTCTGGTATTTTGAATGTTTTACCATTCTCTACCTTTTGCTTTATATATATAGATTATGGTACTTTATCATTTATATGTCCTTTTATTTTTGCATTATTTATGTATAAATTTATAATTTATAATACAAAATAATTATAAATAAATAAAATGCCTAGTCGATTACTCCTCTAGGCACTAGGTCCATGCCTGTCACGTAGCTATTTTTAGAACATTGGTCAATCGACGCAATCTTCAATTAGTTACAACTTACAACATCGTCGAGTGTACAGAAACGACATATCGACGACTTTCGAATGGAATCCAATAGAAATGTATTCTAATAATAAACACGACAAGTAAATTACTTTAAAATTAGCTCTTTTCTCTCCTTTAAGTAATTAACAACTAAATTGTTTTATTTTATTTTTTTGGTTTGAAAAGATGTTTGAAAGGTTAAGCTCAATTCTTTTTCTTTTACTTATATAATATGTTTGATAAGTTAAATTTCTAATAACAATAGTATTCAAACGTAATAAAAATATAAAGTTAATACCTTCGTCCTTATTGAGAAAACAAAATTAATAAATACATTGCTGCGAGATGATTTGAATTTTATGAAATGTTGCCAATAAGAAAAAAAAAAAAGGAATTTTATTGATTATAAAATCAATAGTCTTTTTCTCAAAGTAAGATCAGTGTTCTTCTTACTAACGGCATCCCCGAGGCACACATTACATCCCTTGGCCGTTAATGCAAAACTCAATAAATTGTAAACGTGAAATTTACAGCTTACAGTCTTTACTTGAGGCGATAGGTATACAACCTATAGTTATTACAGTTTGAATTGATATAGAACTATATATATATATATATATATAGAATCTTGTCTACCCGTTCTTTTGGAGATGCAGGTGCTTGTAGCAGTTCTAGCCATAGAACCCTAAGGGTTAAAAACTCTCTAGAAATAACCATGTGGGACGTAGTAAAGGAGTTGTCCAACTAGGATATACCCAGAGTACCCATCATTAATATCTACTATAAAGGATCTTTCAAATTTAGATCTGATTATGCAATAAAAACTGTTGAAAAAACCATATCTGTCATTGAAAATTTCTTTTTGGATTACTAATTCTATTCGCTGAAAAGGTTAGGAATAGAATTAAAGATAAAAATGGTGGTGTCATTCCTTATGGGTCATACACCTATGGGGAATTATCCTCTGAGATTTGTGTAGAAGGATTAGCTCTTTGCACAAACATGATATTAAAGAAAAAGCTTGATAAGTAGAAAACTCTAGGAAGAAAATAATTAGGAGACTTCTGTGAACAATTTGGTTTTGAACCAGTGAAATCTTATTCACATAAACCACATAAAAAGGGAAAGAAATTTGGGGGGCGTAGGAGCAACCTGAAATTAATAGGTTAATGAATAAACAAGATAATGATCAGAAATTTAAAAGATCAAAGCCAAAACCAGGGATAAGAATATAACGAAACTAAAAACGATATAAACGATAACATTAATATTTAGTAAACTTTATATTGGGGGTGGATCCATGACACTATATTTTTGACACAAGTCCTAACTCATGTGGATGGGCTACCATGCCCACTAAGAAACTGAAGACCGAACAAGGGCCATAAGTCAGCTGTATTTTTTTTCGCTGCTCTGTTTTGGTTTATGTCTCCTGTTGTTTTGGTTTTGTTTCTTAAAATGAAAAAAACTTAGTGATAAATCGTGTTACCTATAAGTCATGAACATGAATTAGAATACTACCTATAAGTTAGGAACATAAATTAGATGACTACCTATAAGTCAAATACAAAAATAGACAAAGAAAATTGTATGTTACCCATAAAAAATGTACATAAAATACTATTATTTATTGTCTAAAATATGAAGAAAAAAAAACAAATATATACCTATGCAATAGGCAATATGACAATATACCTACACCATAGGATAATTTATCTACAAGAGTATATACTATACCTCTACCATAGGGTGAACGAAAATAAAAATAACGGCATATAAATTCTCATCTTACGCATTTTAGACAATAGGGATATAATGGGAACAAAAAAATTTAAATACAAATCAGTTAAATACAAAAATTTGAATCAACATGTCAAAGATGGAATGTAATCTACGTGGCAAACTAGTCAAGAAACTTATATGAATAAACAATAATTCGAGGACTAGACCCAATTATTGGTTGGATTTTTGGACCTCTATTAACTTTTCTATTTCTTAGATCTAGGTCCAAAATGATTAGCTGTCATTGGGTTTAGTCCACGCGTTTTTTGTTTTAGATGTACGTCCTTTGACTTTTATTACTCTTTTTATTGTGTCGATTTTACCCTTTTAGGTACATAAGAAAAACATTGGAAATCTAAGTTTAATGAATTATTTACTGGTAATTAAATTTCAGAATTTCAATTTGGAATTCTTTCATTGATAATATTTACCTAATATATGGGTAAAATTCAAATTAATCAATTGAAGTAAAGGCCCACATATTATACTAATCAATTAGGCAAGCACCCACATTAAATTATGTACCTAACATACAGGTAAATAGTGTTCTTATTAGCAACGAAAAAAACTTAATGATAAATCGTGTTACTTATAAGTCATGAACATAAATTAGAATACTACCTATAAGTTAGGAACATAAATTAGAAGACTACCTATAAATATAGACAAATAAAATTGTATGTTACCTATAAAAAAAAATGTACATAAAATACTATTATTCATTGTCTAAAATATGAAAAAACGAATATATATATATATATATATATACATACCTATGCAATAGGCAATATGACAATATACCTACACCATAGGATAATTTATCTACAACAGTATATACTAGACCTCTACCATAGGGTGAACAAAAATAAAAATAATGGCATATAAATTCTCATCTTACTCATTTTAGACAATAGAGATATAATATGAACAAAAAAAAATTTAAATACAAATCTGTTAAATACAAAAATTTGAACCAACATGTCAAAGATGGAATGTAATATATGTGGCAAACTAGTCAAGGAACTTGTATCAATAAACAAATAATTCGAGGACTAGACCTAATTATTGGTTGGATTTTTGGACCTCTATAAACTTTTCTAAATTAATAATTAAAACTCATCGAAAAATTCCTAGTTCTTTAGTTAATTACTTGTCTCATCATTGAACCTTGGTAAAACTGTATAATGAGTGGTAAGATGTGAGATAATTGCTTGAGAATAGTCTGCAGGGTTGGTTCAACTAATCCATTGAACATGTTGTTCAAGCTTTCACTTTGCATTATTTGATGAACTCTGAGGCACTGAAGATATGATCTTAACAAGGCTTGGAGGAATCGGGTTATGCTTGTTGGCCTGATGAAGGATGGGAAGAGATTTTTTTAATTAATAGATTGTAGTTGTTGATTGATGATGGCATTCTTGATTGATGTAGTCAATGGTGGCCATGGAGAAAGAGGAATAGAAGTAGAGCCAATGGTGGACACGGAGAAGAGATATAGAGAGAGAATCATGGGAATTGTGGAATTCATATTTAGTCTATTAAAATAATTCTTGTCTTTTCCCAAAAGCTTTTAACGTTCTAAGTATTGTGTGAATAATTCTTGTAGCAGTAGTCAGTTGTTGCAGAAGTTTGAATTTTGATTGTATTCCTTTGTGTAAATATTACAATATTTATAATTGCACAATAAAGATATAAACGGTAAAAGCCTTGAATGGTAGTAAATACAAATTAATTGGAGAGCAAGTCAACTATTGTGATTAAGAATAACCCGTTTCAAATTCTTCTTCCTTGATGAGTGCATGTGGTTTAACACACCCCCGCAAACTGAGCGGCCTTGGACAAACAAGTTTGGAACATAAGAGATGGTGGCGTGGCTTGTGAAGTGGTTTAGTGAGAAGATCCGCGGGTTGATTAACATAGGGGATGAAGCAGACTTGATGACTCCCAAGGGCCACCTTCTAGCGAACAAAGTGCCAGTCAAGTTCAATGTGGTGGGTAAGAGCATGGAATACCGGGTTTGCCACCATATAAGTTGTGTTGAGATTGTCACAATGCTTGAGAACTGGAAAAGGCAGTCGAACGCCCAATTCATGTAACACAGAACAGAGCCAAGAAGATTTGGAGCAGGCATGAGCAAGAGCATGGTACTTAGATTCTGCACTGGAGAGCGAAACTATTTTTTGCTTTTTGGAGCACCAGCAAATAACCCAATCGGCATCTGAGTAAACGATGAGACGTGTGGAAGGACTTTAGGGTGTAAAATGGAGGCCAAAGTCAATGGTGCCCTTAACATAGCGGAGAATCCTCTTGAGAGCAACCATGTGAGGAAAGCGAGAAGAGCTCATAAACTGGGCCACAGTGTTGACCGCAAAGGAAATATCTGGGCGGGTAAGGGTGAAGTACTGAAGACTCCCTACAAGTTCACGGTATTCTGTGGGAGAAGTGAGCAAGTCACCATCACTGGTAGTTAGAACAGACTTGGCCGCAAGAGGAGTGGAAGCGGGCTTAGCATGTAGAAGATTACTCTTGTGTAACAAATCAAGAACATACTTGAGTTGATTGAGATGAAGAGCACCATCATGAGAAACAACCTGTAAACCCAAGAAGTAACTAAAAGGACCAAAGTTCTTCATGTCAAATTGGCAGCTCAAAAGAGATATAAAATTCTGTAAAAGAGAGGAATCATTGCCAGTAATCACAATGTCGTCAACATACATGAGAAGAAAGATGGTGTGGGATCCCTGCTGAAAGATAAAAAGTGAAGAGTCTACCAAACTTCTTGAAAAACTAATGGATAATATGAAGGTGCTGATACAATTAAACCATGCACGCGGAGCCTGTTTGAGGCTATAAAGAGACTTGTGAAGTTTACAGACATGAGTGGGATGAGAAAGGTTCACAAAACCAAGGGGCTGGACCATATATACATCTTCTTGAAAGAACCCATGAAGGAAGGCATTCTTGACATCAAGTTGCCGTAAAGACCACCGGCGGGAAACAGCAAGACTAAGAACATTGCGAATTGTGGCTGGTTTGACAATAGGGCTGAAGGTCTCAAAGTAGTCAATGTCAAGGCGTTGATGAAATCCCTTAGCCACTAGGTAGGCCTTGTAGTGTTCAACAATGCCATCAAAGTGACGCTTAATGCGGAAGACCCATTTGCAACCGACTGGAGTATGTGTGGGAAATGGAGGAACAAGAGACCAAGTCTGATTTTGCAGCAAGGCATTGCTTTCTTCAGAAATTTCCGTGCGCCATGCAGGATGTTTGGAAGCTTGAGAAAAACAAGTGGGTTCAACATCATCAATGACAGTTAAAAAAGCACGAGGGACCTGGTATCGAACCGTGCCTTTGGTGCGGTTTTTAGGTTGAAAGATGCCATCAAGCAGACGTGTGCGCATGGGATGAGCAGGCGCTGGTTCAATAGGTGGTGGAGGAGCTGGGTCCGTAGAGGCAAGGGGAGCAAGGACTAGCGGTGCTTGCGCAGGTTCCATAGATTATGCGAGGTCTTCTGGAATATGTGTGGAGCAAGGGCTGGATTGGCTCAAATGGAGCTGCATCAAGTGGATTAGAAGGTGCTACTCGGTCGGGCCGATACTGTGCTGTAGGGTGGGGACTGCGGCTTGTGGAAAAATGGAGGTGACGAAAGCTTGTGGAAGGATGGAGGTGCCGGAAGCTTGTGGAATGATGGAGGTGCCAGAAGCTTGTGCAAAGGTGGAGGTGCCGAAAACTGGTGGAATGATAGAGGTGTTGGATGCTACTGCTCATGATAGTAATGTTGACGTAGAGGTTGAAGATGTAGCTACTGCTCATGATAGTAATGTTGAGGTTGATGTTGAGTCTATTGAGCCATCTTGAGTAGGTCCCAATGATCCATCTTCACTTACGAGTTTTAAAACTCACATAGCAGCTGCAATTTGGAATAACCAAGTAAGTTTTTTTACTGTAACAATAGAAGGCAGAATATAAGTCAGGTTCATGGTAATTAACCTTTTTTTTTCTCTATTTTACTAGGAACATGAACCCCTTAGGTGCATGTCAAAGACATCTACCCTTAGTGAGTGGAATTGGCGGGCTAATTCAAATAATGGTATATTCAAAGGGTACATTCAAAGGTCTGGATTAGAGCAACTTATTAGGAGTTCTTATCATAATGCAGATAAGATTGTGGTATCTATATTCGTTAAGATGTGACATCCCGAAATGGACACCTTTCACATGCCTTTTGGTGAGATGACCATCACATTGGATGATGTGTCATCTATTTAGGCATTCCTGTGTCTAGTGCAGCAATTGCTCTGTTTGAAGATGATAACGACACAAATTTCGAGTTGTTAGTTAATTACATAGGAGTGACTGATGAAGAGGCTACTGGACAATTGCACCAATACAGTGATGATTATGTGAGTTTTTCATGGTTACGAGCGTGATTCTCCAATGTTTCAGACACAGATTCAAAGGAGCACATCATGTATTCGGCCAAAGCATATTTGCTAATATGCCATCTACATAATAAATATCGTGCTTTTGAAAATATAGACGTAATAGAATTCATGAGTGCTAACTCTCGATTGGTGATAATAACACCATGAAGACAATTATCATCCAACAAAATCCTCAATGCAGTTAAAGCCCATATGTAATTGTCTTCATTCTCGGCATTCATATACACATACACAACAGAGAATGTCATATTAGGAGATATCACCCCCACAATTTGCAATAGTGGGAAACGATACCTATTAGTCTTATAGGTGTCACAACCTGACTCCCCTAGCAAGATATTGTCCGATTTTGGCCTCCCCCCTCAAAGTCTTGTTCTTGGGCTTAAGCTAATGTTATTTTGCCCAAAAGGCCTCTTTCTAGGTAGAGAAGTGCCCACACATATAAGGCACTTCACTTTTCCCTCCCCGAGCGATGTGGGACTGCTCACCGTTCTTTTTTTTCCAAGATACGGGTCTTACAATCCACCCCCCTTGGGGCCCAGCGTCCTCGTTGGCACACTTCCGATCAGGGTCCAACTCTGATACCATTTGTCACGACTTGACTCCCATAGCAAGATATTGTCCGCTTTAGGCCTTCCCCCTCACGGTTTTTGTTCTTGGGCTCAAGCTAATGCTATCTTGCCCAAAAGGCTTCTTGCTAGGTAGAGAAGTGCCGATACATATAAGGCACTTCACCTTTCCCTCCCCGAGCGATGTGGGATTGCTCACCGTTCTTGTTTTTCCAAGATACGGGTCTTACAATAGGTGCAATCCATGATAAGTATATGTGGAAATGCACGCATAATCTCAATATTAATGGGGTATGTCCAAAACAAGTCAGTTACAATATCACCAGATGTCCTATGTCACTCAATATAATTGTGTTCGGATAACTTAGTAAGTAATTGTTGCATTTGTGTTCTCCTAGCAAATTCTTTGGTTCTATTTCGGATCCTAGCATTGTATATTGTCTTCATAGTTGAAACATTCATTGCATTTCTATCCTTCAGGAACCAAAATATCTTTGGGTTTCACCAAACTCTTAGACATGTCTACCAATATGGCATTCTCCTCTTCAGAAAGTCACCTCACAAATGAATGACTTTGAAGATATTCTGAAGTATGATGGTTCTGTACTCCGCAAACCACCTCTAACTTCCAATTATCCTCATCACTAATATTGACACCTTTTAATAAGAATGGGCATCCACATTTCTTCGTATCAGTGTCCCTAGCATACTTTTCATATCCACATTTAATTGTAGACTAAATCATTAGGTCAAAATATGAGTAATCATTAGGTTCGAATCCAGACATCCTTCCTTGATTGGGTTTTATTATTTTATATATAAGCTCACATCTATAAATGTTTATCCATCAAAGCAAGGCTAAGACTCAAAGCAAAACTCTTCATCAATAACCAATACACTTTCAACCATAGTAGTCGAGGTTTTAGCAATGGCAGCAGAGACAGCAAGAAGGCAGAGCGGCATGTTACGGCAGGAGAAGCTGGACTTGGTGATGTTAGATGATATAACGAGATCAAGTGTTGATCGAGTATGAAGTCTGTTTATGAGAGAAAAGCTATGTGTTGAAAGTTGTGCTCTACATCTATTTATAGGCTACTAGTTCTTGCACGCTTGGTGAAGAAATGGTTGAGTCTGTGTCAGTTCTTTCTTTGTAGTTTAATTGGTGAACTAGTACATTGATTTCGGCACCATTGACGATGGTATTTCCAAGCTTGACATATTCTTCAACAAGTTGGTGCAGTAGAGCCTCATGGTTCAAATGGAATTTACTACGGTTGCTCAATCTTTCCCTTCACCGTATGACTTTCTCCAACTATCGAAGTCAACTTTAAGTTTTAACTTGGGTAGTCGCACTCGCGCCATTAATCGAGTAAAAGCAATTTTGAAATATAAACAATAGCTTTATTTGGAAAGTTAGAAATATTGGGCCTGTTTGACCTTGGGCCTATACCTCAGGGTACTTGATTTTATGAATTCAAACAGCCCATGCCCATCTTGATTTAAAAATCATTAAATGTGCTTTTTTCCATTTTAGGTCCAAACACAAACTAGAATGAAGTTGAGATACCCTATGGAAAAATGAAAAATAAAACAATTTTGAAAAATAAAAAAGAAGTTAAATTAAGAAAGGTAGAGCTAGAGGTGGGTACAGTATGATTTGGTCCGATTTTCACCTCAAATCGGAATTGGAATCGGCATTATTCATCTAGTCTTGTTCGGTTTAATTTTGATGAAAAAAATTATAAAACCAATTCGGTCATATTTCCAATTATTTTAGTTTTGGACCGTAATTTAGGTGATTGCCCAACTGCATACAAATTGAGGTGATTGGGCCTAAAAATGTGATTTGGAGTTAAATTAGGGGAAAGATTATTTATGGGCTTAAATATTTTATTTAAAAATAAAAAAATAAATAACCAGTTTAGTTTGATTCGATCCAATATTTTTACAACAAAAACCGAAACTGAAACTGGACCAAACCGGTCCAGTCCTGTCCAGTATTTGGTCAATCCAATTTTTTTCGATTTTTTCCGGCCCAATTCCGCTGGGTTTTCCAGTTTTCGTTTTCGGTTTGAATGCCGACCCGTAATAGAGACAAATTTCATGTCCTATACGGCTATACCCAATCCCAGAAACGCAGGGTATACTGCCCAAAAGCTAAAAAGGCTCCTTTCCCCAATTCACAAACAGAGACGCACCAAAAAGCGACTCGCTTCCCAAACTCACGCAGTTCCAAAACCCAAAAGCTCCCTTTTTCCCTCTCCCCCCTTCTCTGCCCAGCAGACCAAGGCCACCAAAAACCTTCCTCTCACAGTCACAAACAAACACTCACACAAACCCAAAAGCGACTCACTTCCCAAGCAAAACCCAAAGTTCCTTTTCCCATCTCTCTGTACTTTTCTCGCCGTACCAGCCATGGCTCAAAACAGACCCAAACAACAAGAAGTAGAAGAAGATGAACAAGACGATTTGAAGAAGCTTATGAGCTCCTACCTTGGTCTGAGCTTGGGCATTTTCTTGGCTTTAGCTCCAACCAAGTTCCAAGAGCTACAGACCCAAGTGAGCGAGCTCTCTGCGAGGCTATGGCAAGCGGAAGAACAAGTGAGACAGATGAGATCGAGAAGAAAAGAGGACTCAAAAGCCAACGCGAGGGTTGTGGAGATCTTCGCCAGCCACCGCAACGGTTGGCAGGCGGAGGAGAAGCGGCTGCTGAACCAGATCGACGCGGCCCACCAAGAAATTGCTCACCTCCATGGAAGGATTGTGGAGCTGGAGAAAACCCAGGACGAGTCGAGCGCTAGGATTCAAGATTTGGAGAGAGAGGTTGGGGAGAGGGACGACATGATTGGGTTCATGGCCAGCAGAGGCGGTGAGGCTGAAGAAGACGACCACTTTGGCCTCCTCCAACCACAACAACAACATCAAGTCAAGGATGATGTGAATGTGTACGACAATGCCATTGCCTTTGGCTTTGATTCCCACTTGGTGGCCGATGCTTCCAAGCTCTGGCAGGTTTGCCTCCATTTTCACTTATTGGGTTTTCAATGTTTGTAAATTTTGTTTCAATTAAGACTCAAAAAAATTTCCATTATATTTTGCTTTGGTCATTGTGTGTTTGATTGTGATGTTGATGTGTCTAGCTCACCAATCATCACCAAAACTTATTTGCTGTTTACATGAACAAAGACAGCAATTGAGTGAAGCGAAAGGCATTATTAGCATCTTAGCTTAACATTATTTAAAAACGAGTCAAAGCATTTGGTAAGACACAGGTCCATTGTCTTCTTCAGCACTAGCAAACAAGTTGCATTTTGGAAGGCATGTGTTGTTTCCATATGTAAAGTGAATAGTTATCAACAAATTATGTGACTTGGCATATAGTCTTTGGCCTCTGTAGGAGATAGGTGACTTATGGCTGTAATAAGTTCAACACCCATATTCTCTGCCAATAATTTGATGAACTATTGTAGCTTTTAGAAAAATGAAAAAAAGAAATTTATGTCTTCTCCTTTTCCCTTATGTTTCCTTAAATTTCTTTCTTTATTGTGTCTTCAATTTTTTTTTTCCATAAAATTTTAACTTCTTTTGGATAGCATTCCTTTTTCTATGTGGCAACACTTTATTGTTCTTTTGTCCCTTAGAAATGGGTTAGACATGTTGGACCATCTGAGCCATCAAAGGGACCTATTAAAAAGCGATTCCATGTGATCTAATTGGGACCTATTTAAAAGCGATTCCATGTGATCTTCTTTCACCACATTGCTGGTGTGAATACTACTTGTACTAGTTAAATTTACGTACTTATTTAGCTTTGGAAAAGGCAGATTAGTTAACTTTGTTTCTATAGGATTTATTTATTAAGGCCATTTTTTGAACGTTTTTTATTTAAATATTTGCCTAATTGATTGAATTGATAAGGTATTTAACTTGTTTGATCTGTTTTCATTCTTTTGCAGGATGTACAGTATGAATCCCTTGAACCATTGTATCATATGAAGCATTTTGTACCAAGGTATATATTTAACATTCTATATACTGATAATTTCTGAGGCAAACTCTGTAGCTAATGAGATCAACATGTCTTTCTCGCCTAGAAGGGAGTCCCCTTGGAAGCTAGATGTTGAATCGACCAGAGTATCCTCTAAACTAAAATTATTTGAACAAGAATTGCTAAATTTGGAAAATATTGGAAACAGTGATCTTTCCAAGGTACCTTCATTGATGAGGAAGCAGGCCAAGAGGTATCAAGCTCTTGCAGGGAAGATAGATGATCTGTGCAGAAGAATGGTAATGTTTAATCGCCCTTGTTTTACTTGTTTTATGCTATTTTATTATCTTATTGGTCTGTTATTTCGTTTAGAAAACCCAAGTATTAACAAAAGAGGGTACAATAGAAAGAGAAAAAGTAAACACAGAAGGAGAAGAAAGAAAAGAGAGTTCTGTGTATATGTGAAGCAAAATGCTTTGTTATTACGACACTTCTGCCTTACAATATGTCTGAATATGCAAGCATTCCTTTTGATACGTGCTATATTGGAAAGTTATTAAGGTTAAAATCTTCTATTAACAGAAGAGAGTACAAAAAGAAAAAAAAATCCGAAAAAATTAGAAACAAAATAGATTTTTGTATGCAAGAGATTCGCTGTCTATTTTTTTTTCTTTTTTTTTTGGGGGATCAGCAAGAGATTTGCTGTCAATGCCTGTTATATTGGGAAATTGACAAGGTCCTGTGGCTCTGACTTTTCTTCAAGCCCATCAATTAGTTAACCATACACATATTTTAATTAATCATCATGTACTTAGTTATTGCTGCTAGCACCGAACAATCCTTTGTTAAAATTCGAGATATAATAAGCCACTATTTCAAAATGCCTGTGAAATTAACGAGTTTTTGATTCCCAAATATGCAACTGATTAACGAACTCTTCGTACAATATTCTAGTTTTTCTATGTAGACTTCTTTGAGAAAAATAGTCTTTTTTGTGTAATTCTAAATGTGAGGTAATTTGGAAAGTGCTTTGTAAACATATGCAAAAAAATGACATATATCATTTAGTCTATCCATGCCTAATCTAGCTTTTTGATTATAACCTCAGCTTTTTTTTACCAATAAGAAGATACAACTTATTTGAAATTAATTAAATTAGCAATTCATAAAAATTAAAATATAAATCTTTCTGTGGTAGTTGATTGCCCCTTATCATATCAAGTTCAAGTTCTTGGTCATGAGTTATACCTGAACTGTCTTTTTTGTTACTTGCATCTGTTTTTACTTTTGTAACTTTTATCAATTGTCTCCAAAGGTAGTTGACAGATTAAATTTGTTGTTGTTTTTACAGCAGGATAGTGATCCCTCTGAACCCACACTCAGTCCAGAGTTTCGTACGCAAAGACAAACAGAATTTTTACTTGAATCATTTAGACTTCAGCAACGTGCATCAGAAACCGCACAGAAGCTGATGGCAGTACAAACAGAGATTGGGAAGAGTTATTATGGGGGTGAGGTGGGGAACCAGGCCAAACTTACCACTCGACGGTCTTTGGATTCCATCAGAAACAACTTCAAAGAAATCCAGAGAAATTTGGAGATATGGTTGGCCAGAATTATTGGAGATCTTGAAGGTATTCTGGCCAGAGACGGTGCTTCTCGCGTAAGGGAATACTATATTTCTAGGTATCCTTTTGTTCAATAAATCTCTAGACTTGAATTCAAATCTGTCCACCAAATTGTTTACTCTGTTTGTAAGTATCCTGATCCAAGCCATAAGGGTGGCGGTTTGATGTCCTCAATCCACTTTGTTTATAGTAGCATCTGTATCACTGACGGATCTAGTAAGGCGCAAGGAGGTGCGGCTGCACCTCCCCTCGCCGGAAAAATCATTGTAGGTGCTTCAAATTGCCCCTTTGCTCAAGTGGTGTATAGATTACCTTATTTCCATTTTCAATATTTAAGTAAATGTCTTTATCCTTTACTTTTATTTATTTTTATATTACTCCATTTACTTAAGTTTACAATGTAAATAAAGAAGTACTCCCCATTTGGATTCAAATAAAAATACTAGAAAATCAAATTCCCACCAAATCAAAATATGAAAATTCGGTTTTAGTGCAAAATACGATTTAGGCTAAAAATGATGGCTCATTAAGTCAATATATACTTCATACTAAAATCCCATAAAATCAAGTTTTCTTATTTGATGTGTAAGGAATAAAAACCGCCAAAAATTATCTTGAGAAAATGATTATTCCGAAAAATCATTTTTCATACTTAGTCAATATTGCACCTCCGCTAAAAAATTTCTAGGTCCGCCAGTGATCTGTATATATGTTGTCTATTTTCCTTTTCGTTCCATTCTTTTTTTGGCGTGAAAATCCGTTGATTAATCTTTGAAAAAATCATCCCAACTGTCAAAAGAGAACAAAACTGTTGGGGCTATAATGGGTTTTTTACTTCTTATGATCATCTTTGTATAATGATTTTCATTTCGAGTCATTTGATCATTAAACCAATGTCTTATCACTAAATATGTTGAGCACTAGTCTCATAAAGATACGCACATCAAAACGCAAGTCGTCTTATATGTCTCTTAAAATTATCGTAGAGCTCTTACAACTTTATCTATGTTAGGATTTGAAGTCTACAAATATTTTGGTTTTGCATATTATATTATATCTTAAGGTTTGAACGCTCTGCGTATTTTAAGGTTTCAAGCATGCCAATTCAAATCAAATCTACACTCCTGACTATATACTGCTGAAAGTATATAACTGAACTGAATAAAATAACACAAAGTGTCTCGCTTAGAGGTGGGCACGGTCCAGTCCGGGTCGCTTTATCCCCAAACCAAAAATTAAACTGAATAAAATAACACTAAGTGTCTCACTTAGAGGTGGGCACGGTCTAGTTCGGTTCACTTTGAATAGCATGTGGGGACTTTCCGAGGGTTTGGGCTCTCATTTGTTCTGATACGTCAAGAGCCCTTAAAAACAAGTCACGTACGTTGTGGGTACTTGTAGTTTTGTGGTGGGAAGTTCACCCCTACACCCTATATTAGAGTTCGAATGTCCTCTACCCCAAGAATCGGGAGAAAAATTTAGTTATCCTTATTTCATGTAAGTCTTTCTCCAAGATCAGAGTTCAAATGTCGTCTACCCTACATTTATAGGTGGCAATTTGTAAGGTAGTATTTCTGCAAATTGATCTAGGGAACCATTTACTAAGATCATATCTACTTAAAGCAAATCATAGATGAATCACACACAAATTTAGATATAACAGAGTACCAGTGCGAAAAACTACAAAGTTTATTTTGAATCAGACAAGAACACCACAGGAAAACATCAAGTAGAAGCTCCAGCCTCTTCCAGCAACTGCTTCACCTTTGTAACATAGTCTCCCATGGCTTCCTCCTTGGATTTCCCTGCCACGAAGGTTAAAAAAAATGCAGAATTATGCTAGAGTATAAGAAGATTGACATGAAACGGTAAAAATCAATTTGCTCAGAAGTATTACCTTCAACAGCCTTCCATGCATCCCATTTTGCTCTGTCCCTCATATTGAATATTCCCGGGCGGCCTGCAAGTTAGCCACGAAGGAACAAACATGAAGGGAAAATTTAGAGGACAGGACAGTTAACTATCTCTAGTTTGTAAAGCAATGAGAGAATGAAAAATAGTGGACTAATCATAATTTTAGGGAGCATTATACTTACTAGTGTTCACTGCACCAACAGTGGCTTGCTTGTACAGGCCATAGAGGATGAGCTTGTTCTCATTGGTTGTTGACTCTGGAAGAGTCTTGGCTTTTTCAGCATACTCATCAAACTCCTCCTGCAAGACCCCATCCCAGTCAAATGTGATTCAGAACATAACTATTCATCATCATTCCAAATAAAAACATAAAGAACTAAGTTATAAGGGAACTATAAAAGCATTGATGCCAAGAACTACAAAAACATTTGAATTTCCCCTTTGGCTAACCATCTGTAGTTCATAAAAGCAATGGAGCAACGAAATAATTCAGCAAATAAAAATAAAATTTACTTCATTGCAAGTGAAGATTCTGTCAGCTACTAACTAGGTATGCCTCAGACCTATGTTCAAATTTGCAACTTTTCACAGGTAGTAAATAACAAGCTAATTCACAAATCATAAAGCCATACTCTTGCTAAGGTGTAGAACACTAACTCACAACTCCAAAATTAACATATGCATAACTTAGGGAGCATACCAAGCTTCTTTACACGATAAAGTTTAGGAGTACATGCAGTTCCAAAGTCCAAAGTTTATGGGGAAGTTTATTCACCTAATTAATATCATAATATCATAAGCAGAAAAGTTTATCAGATGACATTTTCTTAAAATAATTATTGGGAAGATAGGTAAGGTAGTGGAAATCTTCGACATTTCTTCTCCCTATGTTCAGTTAAAGAAAACAAGCAACCAGAATGTAATGAAAAGGAGTGAAAAACCTCACTATAGGATTTGCATTTTGATAATAACATCTGGATCTGAACTGAAGCTCTGATCCATGATATGTAGATCAAGAACTTCAACCAAAATGAAGATCAACAGTCCAAAACAGAGAAAACGAAGAGAACCCACTACAATTAACTATAATTCTTGCTGAATTTCACCAATTAATCAAAAAGAGTAACAGATTCAAGCCCAACATATTACACACAGATCTGAACTAATTTCTCTACAGTAGAAGAAAAATTAACCAAAACAGAACCTACAGAAAGGCTGATTTTCTCAGTAAGTACAGATTAAAATTGAAAACAATGGAAGCGGAATAGAATTAAGAGCATACCTTCAAACCCATTTGCTCGATCTGCGAGATTGAATCTGCTGTTGGTTCAACGCACGGAGTCGCAGTGCCGTATGCGTGTGTGGTGGTGGAACCGAGGTGGTGATATATAAGCAGTCTCTGATTCTATCGTCCCATCGTCTATTATTAATAAAACGCCACGCAACGTTTGTGTTTTTTTTTTTGGGTTTTTTTGGGTTTTTTCTCTGGTTTTTTTTTTTTTTTTTTTTTTTTTTTTTTTTTTTAAAAAAAACTTAGGATGAGGTGCTTTTCTTGTTCTTGATTGTCACGTTTTTGGGTTATAGATTCTGGTTATTCATTATACACATCTTATGATATTATTTTAATAAAATGTCTTTCCCAATAAAGAAATTTTTTTCATTATTTCACAACAATTATACGTGATATTTGAGCGAAATGCTCGATTAAGGATTTTATGGTAAGGTTCAAATTTCAGTTATTTGATCTCATGTATGATGCATATTAAACTCATTAACACGTATAATGGATACCTAAGATTAAAAGTCATTAACCAGTCGTTAACTTAAAATTCTCAATGTAGAAGCTCTTGATATTTGAACTCACATTACAAAAAAAAAATTCTTCAAAAAATTTGGAATTGGATTGTAGTGTTACAAGTTATAATATTTTTTTAATATTTGAATTATTGTCTGGCCTTTGATCTCCATATATGTTATCCTTCCCTTTACGAAAGCATATTCCGTGTGATATTAATTAAAGATGATGGTGTGAGTGAGAGGTGAGAATAAAAAATCTCACACAGTCAGAGAGGTCCCATTCTCAATATTTAGGTAGGCTTTTATGGGTCTTAACGTTGTGTAACAACTAACTACCTTAAGAAATATCTGAATATATTTATTATAAATAAAAAAATAAATAATAAAAAAGATATTGCATGCATTATATCACATCGCTTGTACGACAAATTTTATTATCATTATTAAATTTTAGTATATGTGAAGCTATTATCTTTCCTTTCGACCCAAAAAAAAACAAAAAAAAGTATTATCTTTCCTCACAATCTTTTTCTCTCCCCCAATACCGGAAATCCACTTCTCTCTCTGCTACCATTGTGAACTCCATTATTGCAATTCTCTCAAACTTTCCCACATCTCAAAATTGTCTAATTTGTCTATTTTACACTTGGGTCAGACGTGGTTAACGTGGGTTAAATCATTTGGTCAAGGCAGTTCACTGCCTTCTTGCATTCAAGTTCTAATCTTCCTCCCAGTTAGATTAGATTAAATCTAGACTATCACATTAAAATAAAAAAAAAAAAAAAAAAAAAAAAAAAAGTTAGACATACATCTCAGGACCAATTGTTGGTTTGGGTGTAGACTTTCGTAACTTTTTAAACCAGAATTGTGAAGCAAACCCACTTGGATTAGCCCCTCTTAACTCTCCCAGGTTGGCTTGTTATGTGGATTGTTGAACTCTAGATTGGCTTCCTCCAGAACCTGGAAATGGCCAGCCAAATCTTCAACCGAATCAAATCGAGCACCATAAGAAACAGAAGCATTGCAAATCGGTGGTTGTAGCACTAAACATAAGTGCTTTAGCTTAAACAACAGTACGATCACTTCTTTATCATGTTTAGCTTTTGCTTCCGTTCATGATTCAAAAACTAGTTTTGAAACCAAGATAAAATTTGGATTGTATACATATCTGAAAATTGTTTTTGAAGTTTTTGGCCCAAATCATAGATTTATTTGTTTATGACACTGAATGGAGAACTCGAACGATTAGAAGAGTAGAGGGCTCTTCAATAAAACCATAACGAAAGGAAATGAACTCGGACTCCCAAGAGACTAACTCAATCAAGGACCAAAAGTAACAGCAACAGTCTTAAGATAACTGTTAAAATCCAAATACTGAAATGCATGATGGACAGATAAAATTTCTCAACATTCCAACCAAAATTTAACACCTGCCGATGGCAGACTAATAAACTCAGTACTCCACCTATTTCTTTTCTTCCTTCTCTGCCTCGGCAGCCTTCTTCAGTCTCGCACCAACATGACGTTCATTCATACGCTCAACGCGTAGCTTGTCATAAGCTTTAAATGCCTTCATATCATTTGTAACCTTCACAAGCTCAACAGTTGGCTTCTCCCTTACAATGGGCATGTAAGGGCCTTGAATTTGGGTAGCATTGGCAAGCTCCTCAGGACTTGAATCGCCAGCCTAAGACACAACAAGTTTATGAAATTAAAGGTTGCAACTTGCATACAGATAGCAACAACGAGAATATCACACTTCATATACATGTTGAATATATTAAAAGAATATTATTACCTTCAACTTCTGTGCACGTCTTGGGAAGACAACTAACTTGGCCTTATATGTTTTCAACCTCTGAACATTTGCTTGAAGACCTTCTAGAGATCGATTCTTGCGGCGATGATCAACAGCTATGCCAATGGTTGGAGCAAGCTTCTTCGGGATACCAGCAGCCTGTAATAGATTACAAATACATCAAAGCAAAGGATACATCAAAGCAAAGGATAAGCGAGCATTCCATAATTCCAACATTTTCCTGAATATAGGTAATATTCAGAATGTGCAGAAAAACTGCAGGAAACTCCAGTCATCCTATCAGAAACATTCAAATTAAAGGCAAAAGGGTATAAAAAAAAAAACTGTTGAAACCACAAGTTTCCGAACGTTAATAATAGTTTATTATATGACGGACGGAATTGGATTCCCCAGACCTCATTCGAGGATCCATTACTAACCTAAAAAAACATTGCTAAACTTTTGTATATGCAGAACCATGTACCCTACTAAGACAAAACGTTAACATGACAAGCACTAGAAATTTCCATTCCCTTTTTGAGATGAGCAACAATTATATAAAAAACAATAGTCTCACCTTCAGTTCTTCAAGAGTAAATCCTCTGCCAGATCTTACTTTCATATTGTATTTTAACGTTTGGCCATGAACGATAGGTCGCAGTGGTCCAGATGTAGGGCGAGGAAAAATCTTCACAGCTTTCTCTTGACGGGCTGGACATGGTATCAGCCAACATAGAGAAGAAAAAAGTAATAAGAATATCTGATTAACCCAAACAATGAAAGGAATACACAAAATTAACAAAGATTGGGTAATCAAAGGTTTTTTTTATTAGAGGTAATCAATTGAATATCTAATTTCTTACCCTTTCTTCTCCGTGTTTTACGCGCTGGCTGATTAAACCACGTTTTCACATAATTCTGCCAATGCTTTCTGAAGTGCGAGCTAGGAATGACATTGTTGTGCTTCACCATGACTTACCTGCAATAGAGATTTGAACAAGGGAATTCAACATAAAGCAATGCACATTCAGTTCTTTTACATATCATCCCAAACATGTAACAAAGAAGGGTACGAAACAGCACACAGATTAAGATAAACAGTTTTAAAGCAGGTAAAAACAACATAAAATACAAGCCATTGTATGAACAAGAAACTAAGAAAGCAATTGCAATTAACACATACCCATTCAGAAGCTAGTGGAAATGGTCAGAGACAAAGGGCAAAAATTACAAATAGCCATACTGTTCTTCAATTGAGTTAAAAGGGAAATGGGTTCTGCAATTTTTGTTTATTAGCTCGGCATTTTATCAATAAAAATGCTTGAGAGTTCACAACAAAGAAACTCAGCTTGCACATTTTCTAACTTGCCAAAAACAACAACAACAAAAAAGTTGCCACATTTAAAAGTTTGTTCTTGTTTTTAGAACCGGCATACAACAGAAGCTACAGAACCCAAATTGCAACACTAGAAGTGCTTGAGAATCCAAGTTCGAAAAACTATTATCCTCAAACAGTGATCAATATAATACAAAAGCATAAGCTTTTCATCTGGCATCAACTACACCAATGACAAACTTAAACTTCAATTGCACTAACAAGCAGAGGGGAATTTGACAATGGCTCCACACAACTAATTGACCAGGTAAACCAGATTACATCATACCAACATCAAATGGATATAAATCTTCTACAATACCCACTTGGATATACCCATTAGAAATCAATTTTAATAACATTTGCTCATAAACGCAACGGACAATGATACAACTGCATAGATCAGTATAGTAAACTGCGAAATCAAAGAGAGAGAGAATGGAAGTAGGGAACGTTACCGGCTATGAACAGATAGTAAACTGCAGGCTGACTGCTGAACTAGGGTTTCCTTCGGCTTTTAAAACACCTGCCCCTCTCATTTGGACGGCTCTGATTTTTTTTTTTTTTTTTTCTTTTTTTTTTTTTTTACAAATTTTTTTGGTCTTTCTTTTTCCACTTTGATAACTGTCATTTAAATTGTGACAATTTAATCTTGTAACTTTATTTGAGCTAAAAGTCACTTTTGGTCCCTATAGTTTGGCACTTCAACCACTTTTGATTCTGTAGTTTCAATTCCGTCAATTTTGACTTTGTAGTTTCAATTCCGTTAATTTTGACTTTGTAGTTTCGTATTTGTAGCAATTCAAAAACAAGTTAGTATTCCTGTCAATTTCTTTGACGGTGTAAGGGACAATTTCGTCAACTCATAAATCCTTGAGCATAAAAGCTCGTTTGAAACTCTCATAATTTCATATTAAGGCTTGAAATTGGTCATTTGGGTTTAGGGTTCTTCAAAAATTAGGATTAGTGGTTGAATTTCGAGTCCTAATATGAAATAGGGAGAATTTCAGACAAGCTTTTACGCTCAAGGGTTTTGGGTTGACGAAATTGCCCTTTGCATCGTTAAAGAAATTGACATAAATACTAACATGTCCTTGAATTGCTACAAATACGAAACTACAATGGCAAAATTGACGGAATTGAAACTACATGATCAAAAATGGTTGAAGTGCCAAACTACATGAAGCAAAAGTGACTTTTGACCTTTTATTTAAGTACCAATCAAGTCCTTCAAATGTAATTTTACTCGTTTAGGATTCTTTAGAAAGAACATCAAAATGGCCAAAATAAGGCTAGACATGCATTGCTGCAGTCTGATGGAGTGGGCCAAAACTTCAACTTCCAGCGCTCAAATCAAGTTTCGCTCCTCATGAAAGTTGTTCATCTTTATGTCTACTGAAATATATCAAAATTTGGGTTTATTCGGACAAATTTTGAATCCTAAGAGCTGAAAATACCAGATGCACAAAGCCAGTAAAAAGCTTATAGCAGCAATTCGGGCCTAATTTGGGCCCAATTCGGACCTAATTACAATGCTCTAATGAATTTTATTTCTTCATGAAAGTTTTTCATTAGAATGTCTACTATAACATATCCAAAGTTGGGATCATTTGGATAAATGTGGAATCCTCACGACATCAAACCTCAGAAGCATACCAGCAACAGCGAAAGCTGATAAACAGTGGCAATTCGGGCCTAATTATGGCCCAATTCGGGCCAGCTTCCAGTCCTCAAATGAACATTCGTTCTTCATGAAAGTTGTTCATTTGGATGTCTACTACGACATATCCGAATTTGGTGTCATTTGCACAAGTATTGAATCTTCAGAGCATTAATCATGATTTCTGCTCTTGACAGCAGTCTGTGACGACCAGTCAGTTGCAACCATGCTAAATCAGATTTTCCATTGCTCAAATGGAATTAAGTTCTTCATGAATGTTGTTCCTACTTATGTGGAGAACAACATATCCGAAGTTTGCAGCAATTGGATCAATCTAGCATTCCCAGTTCATTATGCATCAAGGCATGTTCGGAGGAGAAACTTAGTGGCTGCAAATCAAGTTTCACTTTATCAAAGGAGGGACTTCATCACAAGTGAATTGATTCAAAGAAGAATAAAATGAAGATGTGGTAGATGGAAACAATTTAATATTGTGGTAGATGGAAACAATTTAATATTCTCTATGAAGAATATTAAAACAAAGCCAAAGTTCAACACGTGAAAAGTCTACACAAAGGTTGAAAGAAGTAGAGATGGTGGTCATTTATCTCCATTTCTTTTTGTCTTTTAGTCAGCTACTTTTGGCTTTCACTCACCAATCAATGGCAAGTGGACTAATATTTTAGATTTCTTTAAGTCTAATAGTGATAGCTTCTATCAAATCACATCAAAGCCTCTTAGCAACCTTTTTGGGTTTACTTATATTTGCACGCAACCCACTCACCAAAACCAATGGCAAGTGGGTACTTCTAATTGGCTGCTGGTCCACTCAACGACCTCCATTCTCTATAAATTGAAGGAGAAATCATGAGCAAAGGACACACAACTCAACCAACAAAAACCAGACTCAACGTCTATAAACCCAGCTCAAAAGTTTGAAACAGCCTTCCTTTTTCATTATCTGAATTTCCCAGTTGACAACTGCTGAGGAATTTTCTTTATTTTGCTCTGCCAACTCTTGGTATGATTTTTCCTTGTACAAGATTGAACAGAGAAATCTTCAATCTCCATTTTAATTTTATGTACCAGGTCTGAATAGAGAAATATTCAAGCTGTGTTGTTTATGTACTTCCTTTTTCTTTCAAGTTTTCTGAATAGATAAATATTCCGATAAACTTATGTCATTTCCATTATCTTTCAAGAAAAAGTCAATATCGGTGCGCATTTTCTAGTATTACCATTTTCAGTCTGTTGGAGTTTTTCACTGCCACAGTGGCATGCCTTCGCAATCGCAAAAAGCAAACTCCATGGTCAAACCCCAAGTGAATGGCCGGCGGGTCCTTTTCGGGGTAAACAGTTAGTCACATGAGCCAAATTGCAATAAAATTCTAATTGAGAAATTTCATCTTTTGTTCATTTGACAAATTGAAATGAAGCCTATAACTTTTCTTTTTGTTTTAAATCAACGTGGAAACATAGACATAAACTTGAGATCTTTTTCAACATTGATAAGAGACCCGAAATGAGAGATATCACTTGACTAAAGTTTGGTAACTATACTTAATAGTAATGTGGTAATGTTCCGTTAATTATATAGAAATAATTATTTTTAAAAATCATGAAAAAAACTGCCAAGTTTGGCGCATGCGTTATAATTGTGACTTTTCCTTGTCCTTATATGCCCATAATATATTGCCGTGCACGTAGACACCAATAATTGGACATCGATGGAGCAAATACAAATGCAAGCAAAAGAACAAGTTGATTGAAAAAAATAACTTCACACTTCTTCATACCAAAAAGAAAATGGGAGAGCAAGCATTGGAATTACATGTATTCCATTAAAGGGAATTCATTTCTTTTAAAAAACTCAATTTGCCCATTTTATTTCATTCAAATTCAAAACTGCTCTTTGTTTGCAGGGTGGCTTTCCTTTCTCTCTCTCTTTCTCTTTCTCTCTTTGTCTCTGTTATCTTCTTCTCTTCTCTTATTATGCAGCAAAAATAAGTGGGTCTTCAATTCTGTTATTTGAAATATTTGAGATCATATTTTTATTGGTGGTGCAAAAAGATGATGGATGATGGTTCTGCAAAGCGGCGCGGCAACTTTATTGGTGATGATCAGGTAGCTCATCCTCCTCCATCTCAGAGTGCTGGGGAGACAACTGATATTCATAACTCTGACGCCACTCATCACCAGGTAGTAATTACTAATTAATTTGATTCTTAAATATATAGGGTGATTCTAATCTTCTATGAACAACATATATCCTTGTTAAAGTGACTAGATCATTTTAGTTAATTTATATTGTTTTTTTTAATTTTATGTTCCTTTTGGATAGGAAGAAAGTGGGATACACGTGTGATTGGTTCATGGGGAAATGAGACTTGGTAATGAGAAATCAAATTATTTTCCATTGTTAGGCCGTTATCCTAATTATGACTGCATATAATTGCTTGCAGCTGTTATGCTATTATTATTATATTGTAGTAACTGATATGGCAGCTGTTACTCTCTATTGTAGTAACTGATAGGTTTACGTTTATGTTCCTGTGTATAAAGAGATTGTAATATCAGTTTTGATAATATAGAAAACTATGTTTCTACATGGTATCCAGAGCCTAAATCCTTTTTTTTTTTTCTTTTTTCTTTCTTTCTTTCTTTCGATGGCTTCAAGCAGTGTTCCCACTATCTCCATTCCCAATATCTCTCACCTTGTCTCTGTCAAATTATCTGATACCAACTATCTTGTATGGGAAAGCCAGGTCCAACCTTTCTTACTCGGCCAGAATCTTTGGCGCTTTGTTGATGGCTCTCATCCTTGCCCCTCCCCTACGCTTCCTCCTTATGATAAGTCTGAATCCTCTACTCCGTCGTTGGCCAATCCTGTTTATGTCTCTTGGTTTCAAACTGACCAAAGCTGATTAGTATTCTTCATGCTACGCTGTCTGAGAGTGTTCTTCCCCAAGTTATTGGGTTCTCCACCTCGAAGGAAATTTGAGATTGTCTCAAACAAAATTTCTCCCAACAATCCCTTGCCAATTCTGCCCAGCTCAAATTTCGCCTCTTCTCTATTACCAAAGGTTCCAAATCCATCTCTGAATACCTTGCTCAGGCCAAGAGTTTGGCTGATGAACTCACTGCAATCCAGGAACCTGTCTCCAACTCTGACCTGGTTACTTATGTGCTTCGTGGTTTGGGTATTGACTACCAAATGATTGTGATGGCAATTTTGAATTTCCCACCACTTCCATCCTTCTCAGACCTCCGAACTCGCCTTCTTGCTTTTGAAGGGCAACAGCCTTAGCGGCTCAGATGGCTCATGTGGCTTCCCTTGCTGCTTTTGTAGCTGCTCGCTTCCCCCGTGGCCCCCGTCACCCTCGTCCGCGTGACCAATCCTCTCGTCCCTTTGGTGGTTCGTCTTCAGCCCGTCTTTTCTCTAGCCCGGGCCAGCCTTCTCACCGTGCTCCACGTCCTTCCTCCTTCTCTCAAGGTCTTTTGGGTCCTCCTCCCTCTCGCCAGTCAATTCAATGCTGGAATTGCTAGCAATTTGGTCATGTTCAAGCCAAGTGCCCTTATCCTCGTGCTTTCGCTGGCATGCATGTTGCGTCCTCTTCCGATCCTAATTGGTATTTGGACTCCGGTGCCACCAATCACATGACCCATGATGCGCAGACATTCCACTCCGGCACTCCGTATGCTGCTTCAGATCAGGTTGTTGTTGGTAATGGTGACACCCTCCCCATCACTCATTCTGGTAACCTTTCCTTTTCTTCTGGTTCCTTTGTCTTTCGTCTTTATGATGTTCTCCATGTTCCTTCCCTTCGTAAAAATCTTTTATCTGTCGCTCAGTTTACTCGTGATTTTAATGTTAGTATTACCTTCTTTCCTTGGGGATACCAAATTCGTGACTTACAGCGTGGTGTTGTTCTCTTTCAGGGCCTATGTAAGGATGGTCTTTATCCTATCTTTCCATCGCTATTGTCCAGTTCCAAGCAAGCTTTTTCTTCTATCGTCGCGTTGTCCTCTTTGTGGCATCGTCGTCTTGGTCATCCCTCCAATACAGTTCTTCGCACACTTGTTTCTCGGTCCTTATTAGGTTCTCTTTCTCGTTTATCAACTTCCCCTTGTAGCCACTATGCGTTATCTAAATCAATAAAACTTTCCTTTTCGTCTCATGACCATTGCTCTACTAAGCCATTTGCTTTAATCCATTCAGATGTGTGGATGTCTCCTGTTGTTTCTGTTTCTGGATATCGATATTATGTCTTGTTTACGGATGATTACACTCGTTATTCATGGATTTTCCCTATACGTCTTAAATCTGAAGTTTTTGGTCATTTTTCTACTTTTGCTATGTATGTTAAAACTCAATTCTCCTTGTCTATCAAACAATTTCAAAGTGATGGGGGGAAGGAATATGATAACCTACAATTTAAACAGTTTTATGCTACTAATGGCATTGTGCATCTTTTTCTTGTCCTCATACACCCCAACAAAATGGGTTAGCAGAGCGAAAACATCATCATATTACTGATATGGGTCGCACTCTCTTACACACTGCTCACATGCCTCACAATCTTAGGTCGAAGCATTTTGTATGGCAGTTTCTTTGATTAATCGACTTCCAACCCCTATCCTTAAAGGGACTTCTCCCTATAAGTTATTATTTGGCATTTCCCCGGATTACGCGTTCCTTCGTGTTTTTGGATGTATTTGTTACCCATATCTTGGAGATTATGTAACTAACAAATTACAACCTCGTTCTCTTCAGTGTGTTTTTGTTGGCTACAGTGATCGCCATCATGGTTACCGCTGTCTCCATCCTCCTACAGGTCGGCTCTACGTTTCTCGCCATGTCATTTTTCATGAAGATCAACTCTATTATGCTGCTGTTTCTAAGCCTGTTCCGCTCTCAGACCTTGCTGTGGTCATCGTGGGCCTTCTTCATAGTCCACCAGCTCGGCCCAATCCTGATGTCAATTCTCCAGACACAGCCCGGTTCTCCAACACCACATCTGGGTCAACTTCCTCTCAATCTTTTCACGTCCACCCTAGCTCTCCACAACCAGCCGAAATCTATTATCCCCAATTAGCCGTCTCGCCCCCATCATCAGCCCCCTGTTCTCCAACACCACCAGACTGCTGTTCTCTTCTCCAACACACTGCCGTCCCCACCTCTTCTCCACCACCAGCCGTCTCATCCCCATCCTTGGTCCTAAATTCTCAAACACCACCCGACTGCCTTTCTCTTCCTTCACAGCCAGCCGTCTCCGCCTCTTCTCCAACAACTTTGTCGTCGTCTCCTCTTGTTCATTCTCCTGTCCCTGTCATCGGTCCTCCACCACCAAGTGCCCGTCTCAGTCCTGTGCACACCCGATCCAAGTCTGGAATTGTCAAGCCAAATCCCAAATATCATGCCAATTTTTCTACTCGGTACTCCGTTCCTCATGCTTTCTCTGCTTTGGTCAACACATACGTAGAACCCACCTGCTACACACAAGCATCTCGCTATCTCGAATGGAAACAGGCCATGCTAGATGAGTATCATGCCCTCCTTCAGCAAGGCACCTGGTCTTTGGTGCCGTCATCCCCTTTACTCAATACGGATGGTTGCAAATGGGTCTTCCGAATAAAGCGGCGCTCCGATGGCACAATTGAACGATATAAGGCACGCCTTGTTGCCAAAGGCTTCCATCAACAATTTGGTGTCGACTATTTTGATACATTCAGTCCTGTGGTTAAGCCCACAACCGTTCGCACTGTTCTCTGTCTGGCTATTTCTTTTGGATGGCCTCTTCGGCAACTCGATGTCAAAAACGCATTCTTGCACGGCTCTCTATCTGAAGATGTTTATATGCGGCAACCACCCGGCTTGGCTGACCCTAACCGGCCCAGTCATGTGTGTAAACTTCATAAGGCCATTTATGGTCTTAAGCAGGCTCCCCGGGCATGGTTTCGGCGATTTAGTTCTTTCCTCATGAGTGTTGGCTTTCCTCAAAGTCAGGCTGACACTTCTATGTTTGTTTATCATGATCACTGTTCTGTTATGATCTTGTTGCTATATGTAGATGACATCATTCTCACAGGCAGTAATTCTTCTCATCTCCTTCCTTTCTCCGCAAATTGGGTGCTGAGTTTGACATAAAAGATTTGGGGCGTTTGCATTATTTTCTTGGTGTGCAGGTCCATTATCACCCTACTTCCATCCATCTTACTCAGAACAAGTACACCGTTGATCTTCTCAAACGTAGCAATCTCTTGGACTGCAAACCTGTTTCTACACCCATGACTTCCAAAGGTACTCTTTCTCGGACCCATGGTACTGTCCTTGCGGACCTTACCCCTTATCGACAGATGGTTGGCACCCTACAATATCTCACCATGACTCGTCCTGATATCTCATACGTTATTCAACATGTCTCTCAATTTATGGGATCACCCAGTGATGTTCATTTTGAAGCTGTCAAACGGATTTTACGTTATCTAAAAGGCACCCTTGGAGTTGGCCTTCCTGTTCGCAGGTCTCCTGACTGTTCCTTCTTAGTTGCCTATTCCGATGCAGATTGGGCTGGATGTCCTGACACTCGCAGGTCTACAACCGGGTATTGTGTATTCTTGGGCCCCAACCTCATTTCGTGGAGTGCCAAGAAGCAGCCCACCGTCTCCCGTTCTAGTGCTGAAGCCGAATATCGAGCTCTTGCCTATGCCTATGCAAATACTTTGTGGATTCAAGGTCTCTTAACTGAACTTCGTTGTCCGCTTACTCGTCCAGTTTTACTTAACTGTGACAACCTGTCTGCCACATACTTAGCTGCTAATCCTGTCTTCCATGCTCGTACAAAACACATTGCTATTGATTATCACTTTGTCCGTGAACGGGTCGCCTCTGGCAGTCATAAAGTTCAGTTTGTTCCTTCTTAACTTCAGCTTGCAGATGTCTTCACAAAAGGGTTACCAGCTGACCGTTTTGAATGTCTTGTTTCCAAACTCGTCACCTATCCGGTGTCCAGTTTGCGGGGGAATGTTAGGCCGTTATCCTAATTATGACTGCATATAATTGCTTGCAGCTGTTATGCTATTATTATTATATTGTAGTAACTGATATGGCAGCTGTTACTCTCTATTGTAGTAACTGATAGGTTTACGTTTATGTTCCTGTGTATAAAGAGATTGTAATATCAGTTTTGATAATATAGAAAACTCTGTTTCTACATCCATGTTTGGTAAGTCTAGACATGAGAAATAGTTGCCTAATACTTGATAAAAATTGACGGAGGAGAGAGGGGGGGGAGGGTGGAAATGAAACCCTAAACCCTTTTGGTTTCAGGGAAAAATAGGCCAACATTAAATATACATTTTTCATGACCATTTTGTCCCCATTAACAATTTAGAATTGCAATATAGCATTAAATGCATTCTTTTTTATTTGATTTAATATGGGTATAATTGAAAAATTAACCAAACTTTGTTTTACATTCCTACGCAAACCAAACGTGGGAAAGGAAATAATGTGGTAATTCCTGGTTACTTTCCCATCATTACCAAACATGAGAAATGAATGTTCCATTTCTCATCCCTTTGGAAAAAGACATGAAAAATTATTTCCCTTCGAATATTTTCCACAAACCAAACAGGGCCTAAATGCATTTTAATTTGGTGGCTAGTTTTCATGTATTGTATGATCTGTTGGGTTGTGTGTTGTGCCATCATTTTGAGTAATTCTCATTCCATTTTGGTCATTTCACACATTAGTTTCATGTCATAATAATAAATCCTGTCAACTTGGGTAATGCCAATTGGATAGGGTAGTGAGCCCGCCCTGAAGTTCGAATTCCCCTCCTCATAGATTAGATTGATGTAGAGTAGATTATCGCTTGTATAAAAAATTAAATCCTTTCTCCATACTTTTTTTAATAGGGTAGGGGTGTTCGAACACAAGATCTTAGGTGTATGGGTAATTGCTTTTAACTATTGAGGTAAAAACCCCTTGTAATCGTCCCTCCATTGGCGGAACCACATAGTGGGTTGTAGCCTTTTGAAGGTTTGGGGAAAAAAAAAAAAAAATATATACCTATATTATCCCATTATTAAAACAAAAAAAAAAAAAAAAAAAAAAAAAAAAACACATTCTATACCTTACCAACACCAATAGGTATAGTCAGAGGTTTTCCGCATTTGTATTTAGTGTCAAACATTGTCGCAACACCAATACATGCGATAAAGTTTGTAGCTCCAACTCTCCAATTTTAATCTTTTCATTAATTTGTCTTAAAAAAGAAAAGCAATTTTCCAAATGATATTCACTCTTTCGTGAATAATATGACTATAATTTCTTTTTTCTTTTTTCTTGTCTTTACAACTAATGTGGTTTATATGGCTATAATTTTATTTTATTTTATATTGTGTTTACAACTAGCATGTTTTATATGATTTAATGTATACTTTTATTTATAGAAAAAAAAACTATATATAAACTGTAAATACAAAAAAAAAAACTAAATACTTTTTTTTTGGGTCCAAATCGCTGGAAAATGTTATTAAAGACGAATAGTAAGGTTTACATATGCTACAAGAATATTAAAATGCCATTTAGTACCTATTATAATCCCGAACATGATTACCCACATGTTTATAAACAAAACGAGCTACAACGTGTGCAGCCTGATTGCAATGTCGGGGTGCAAACACAAAGGTCACTCGAGTAAGTTGAGACATCAACTGCTGAATGTCAAAGACAATCCCTTTCCAAGATCAGCATCCACAACAATCTGTCCGTTGAGTATCGAGATTCCTCTCTGAGCATCGGATTCTACCATCAGATTAGTAAGTTGAGTTTGGACACACACACACACACACACACACACACACACACACACACACACACACACACACACTCAAGGCTTGTCTAATAGCAAGGATTTCCATCATCAGGGCAGATGAGCCGTGTAGATCTCCCTCTCCACCAGCACCTAAGAGCAGACCATGAGAGCCGATCCCTCCTCGCTGCTGTTAGGCCGACCAAGCTGCATCACAGTTTAAGCTAATAACTTTAGCTAGTCCACCCGTTGAAAAATTCCAGGTTCCGCCCTTGCCTCCCTCCATACTTGACTAGTGTTACAAGCTAAGGTGGTTTTTTTTCTTTGAGAAGAAGATCAAATCCATTAATATCCGAAGAACATTACAAAAGAACCTGCAAGTTAATAGTGCCCTAATTAAAATCTTCTCATGAAATCTTGAGCAAGGGAAGAGTACCACACATGCAATAGACTAACAAAAGAGTCCAGACAAAATTAGAATCACAGAACATATACCTCTAAAACAAATCTACCCCACCAACAAAACATAAACTAAGAAAAACCCATCGAAAGAGCACACCAACGCCTCTCATGTTCTGTTAAAAAAGGTCTTCTATGTGAACATAGTCCTTTGCATAGCACAAGACTTATTCATCATGCAATGGACAGAACCAAAAGAGAACCGAAACGAACAAACCACAGGAACAAAACACAAATAAACAAACTGAAGCAAAAGAGCACTGATACGCCTAGCCCAAGCCTGGCCCAAACCCAAAAATTCCGGGCAAACCTAACTTGCCCCATCTTGGCCTAGTGACGAACCCTAATCTCACCTACGTACCGTTCACACTCTCATAATTAATTTCTTTAAAGTTTTCTTTGTGGGTTACAATTCTAACAGTCCCATTTTAATTTTTGGTACTTCCATTGTGAGTGCCAACAACATCAATAGCTTCCTTTAGTTATATTTTAAAGGCTGATGTTATCTTGACACAGTTCTTAATTGGAACAAATTCAAACTCCAATAATAGATTTTTTTTTATTGTTACCAAATTAGTTCCACAACAACCCTGGGTTGTCGTTATCAGAAAAACTTGTCTATTACGCGAAAAACACTGTTTTGCTATCATTTTAATTAATCATTTTTCGTCACATGTGATGATTTTTCCATATGACGGAACGTGATTGGATGAAAATAACAAAACAATGTTATCCTCGTGACATGCAAGTTCTTCTTCATCATAAGAGCTTTAATGATTTGTTAAGCTATCAGATCGCTTCAACTTTGCAAAGCTCCAATTTTCTTTTAGTAATAATATTCAACGCTAGTTTTGATTGGATTCATAGTCTCTTCCTTCATGTGTCCAAGTTTTCAACCATCAGAGGCAGAATTTTTGAATGTTGCTTTCTTTTATTTATAAAACCTTGAGGTGCAATGAAACCTTGAGGTGAGATTGACCCACCCCCCAAAAACGCACAATGAAATAAAAAATATTCCTATTCGCTTAGCAAAAATGAAATAGAAAATATTCCTATCTGCATTTTTTTTGCAGCCCACCTGCACGGCTGACTTATCGTTCATCTCTCTCTGAGCCGCTGAGGTGTAAAGGTTCGAGCTTTCTTTATTCTTTAATGGCGGAGATTGTGTACCGCAACCCAGCTGGAATTTTTTCCTTCTTTTCCAATTCATGGTTTGTCCATTTTCCATAATATATCTTCTATTTCCCTCCCGAGTCTCACCAATGTTTTATTTTAATTTTATTTTATTTTATTAATTTATCTTTTGGTTTTCGTCATCCTCTACCCATAACTTGTAAATACTCAAAGATAATCTTCTCACCCTCTCATTAGCTATTTAAGTCGTTTTTGTAATAACTCAAATCCTGTATTTTGTTCAAGCATCCAATTTCTTTGCACTTTTGAAGTCTCATCTCTACTTGTGAAGTTTACTGTGTTTGATTGAAAGTACCTCTTCTCTGTATATGCATGAATGATTAATGTGTGAATCCTTGTTACTGAGAATACCCATTTGTTAGTTTAATGTATACTGCTCATCAATTTGTTTAAATTGAAAACCCCTTCATTCTACATGTAAGAGATTTTTATGTTTGCTTTGAGATTGATGCCAACAAAAAACTGAAATTAATATTTTTGTGTTGAAAACTTGCACTAATTGCAGAAACTGAGAACCACAGAGAATAGGCAAGGTTCCATTGCAATGGGAGAGGGCAATGGTGATGCATATGTTTCAGTGGGTGAAGTGGATTCCCCTAGGATAGATAACTTCAAGAAAGTCTCACTTCTGCCCCTTGTCTTCCTCATCTTCTATGAGGTTTCTGGGGGACCATTTGGTGTTGAGGACAGTGTCCAGGCTGCTGGTCCCCTTCTAGCCCTTCTCGGATTCTTGGTCTTTCCACTAATTTGGAGTGTTCCTGAGGCCTTAATTACCGCAGAGATGGGTACCATGTTCCCTGAGGCTGGCGGTTATGTAGTTTGGGTTTCATCGGCTTTGGGTCCCTATTGGGGGTTCCAGCAAGGCTGGATGAAATGGCTAAGTGGGGTTATTGATAATGCTCTGTACCCAGTTCTGTTTCTGGACTATTTGAAGTCGGCGATCCCGGCTTTAGGTGGTGGCCTTCCAAGAATCATAGCCGTGTTGGTTTTGACGTCGGTGCTTACTTACATGAACTATAGGGGTTTAGCCATTGTGGGATGGGCTGCTGTTCTTTTAGGGGTTTTCTCACTCACTCCTTTTATGGTTATGGGACTTGTGGCAATTCCCAAGTTGCAGCCTTCGAGATGGTTGGTGGTAAATCTACACAATGTGGACTGGAATTTGTATTTGAACACTCTCTTTTGGAATCTGAACTATTGGGACTCGATCAGTACACTTGCCGGGGAGGTAGAAAACCCAAAGAAAACTCTACCAAAGGCTCTGTTTTGTGCCTTGATTTTGGTTGTTGTTGGGTATTTGTTCCCTCTTCTAACTGGTACTGGGGCTGTTCCCCTCAACCGAGAGTTGTGGACTGATGGATACTTCTCAGATATTGCTAAAATTATTGGGGGAGTTTGGTTGAGATGGTGGATCCAAGGGGCTGCGGCAATGTCAAATATGGGGATGTTTGTGGCTGAAATGAGCAGTGACTCCTTCCAACTTCTTGGGATGGCAGAACGAGGCATGCTGCCCGAGTTTTTTGCTAAAAGGTCTCGCTATGGAACCCCAGTGATTGGCATTTTGTTCTCAGCTTCTGGAGTCCTTTTTCTATCTTGGCTGAGCTTTCAAGAGATTGTAGCTGCAGAAAACTTCTTGTACTGTTTTGGAATGATTCTAGAGTTCCTATCATTTATACGGTTAAGAGTGAAGTACCCGGCAGCATCTCGGCCTTACAAGATACCTGTTGGAACAGTTGGAGCCATTCTTTTGTGCATTCCTCCAACCATACTGATTTGTACAGTTTTGGCCTTTTCTACTCTCAAGGTGGTGGTTGTGAGCGTCGGAGCCATTATGATCGGCCTTGCGATGCAGCCATGTCTTATGTATGCGGAGAAAGAGAAGTGGATCAAGTTTTCGACCAGCGCTGACCTCCCAGATCTCCATGGTGCTAATCAGGGGAGTGTTAACTAATAGATTAGTAAGTCCTCAAAACATGGAAAGGCAAATGTACTCTCACTACTATTGTGTTCATCTCCCAAGGCAGTAAGGTTCGCTTTGCTCGTGTTCATGTTGGTGTATCTGATCAAGAAGTTTGCAATAGTTGCTCTCTAACCTATGCATTTCTCTTGCTTAAGTGCATAGCAATTGACCGAAAGCTATTTATCATATATATATATATGTATATATATATATTTTAAGACGATGATAGATGGAAATGCTTTATTAAATTAATTCTCTATTGGAATATGTGAATTTGGTTTGAGTAGATTTTGAAGAAATGTCACATATTGACAGAGATTTTGAAATGTAAGACGCAGTTAGATTTTGATTGCAATTTTAACTAATGCCTTTGTTATTTGTTGTCTATCTGATTGGCATGTTGTAATGGACTAATACAAAAATCGCGCTATGTATGAACACATGCGAAATCTATGCAAAAAATTAGCAAAATCAGAAACCATTAAGACATTTAGTTGTGATCAACAATCGACGATCCTAGTGGTTCAAGAAAACACTAGAAGTACAACCATCAATTGAATGATCAAATGATTTCGGATTCAAGTGATTTTTTGGTTAGGATGATCGTTGAAGGAATACTTGATTCATATTATAAAAATACAATGTGAATGGGCCCCACATGGGTATCTCACATAAATTTATTTGAGGAATCCCTCAATTGAAGCTCCGCTTTTACGAATATCTATCAATTGCTATAAGAATTCAAGCGAAACGTCCTTAGGATGTTTAAAAATTCACACTATAAAGTTTCATCGCACGTTTTCTTATTATGGCAACCACCCACATTTCACACATGGTTTCAGAAAACGAAGAACTGTTAAGTAAAACAGTGCCCAACGTAGCAGAGCTGGCCGTAAGTTTTTTGAGGCCTAAGGCAACAAAATAAAAGGTCCTACATACCTATATTTCCCGATGAACAATGTAACACGGTAAAAGATTGAAACCAAGATCATAGTGTTAGTTAGTAAAATAAAAACAAATACCAGGCATTAGAATCAAACCACGTCCCCCCAGAAAAACAATGTAATACATACAAAGAATAGCTTAGTTAGTAAAATAAAAACAACTTTCAGGCCTACAGTCAAATCAGGGCGTCCAAAATATGTAAATATAAAAAGTGAGACCAAAGTCACATACCAATCTTATTACAAGCAATTTAATGTGAAATTTTTGAGGCTTTAAGTATGTTTAAAGAAGAAATGAATTTTTTTTTTTAAAAGTTGAAAGTAGAAGATGGATTACTAATGAAAAAAAACTTATTGTATCTAATCCTCACATAATGGTAGGATAAGAATATCTTATAATTAACCCCTCAGAATCCCCTCAAAATGGAAAAATCATTCATCTTTACCTTCATTTCCTCTATCAACATACCTTAGATTTAATATCCAATCCAATCTAATTTTAGGCACCAAACGAGCCTCATCTTCGTAAGTAAAAAATTAAAAAAAGGTTAGTAAAATCTCTTGAGAGCCGGGCACAAGTTTTTCTCATTAAGCCCAAAATGTGCAAAATAAAAGCCCATATATAGCCACCTGCCAAGGCGCCAAGTCTATGCTCCTAGAAAATTAGAAATTTTCAGACACAAAAAGACTGAAGGAGAAGAAGATACTCGAGAGACTGAGCAATGAAAAGAGGCGGTGGAAGTGGAAGTCGGAGTCGGAGGTCTTCAGCTGCGAAGTTTCTGGAAACGCCATTGCCGTCGTTGCAAGTAGCTTCTTCTCCTGAAAACCAAACTACTCCCAAATCGGCGACTTTCAATAACAGCAGCAAGCGCAAGAGGACGACTGTCACTGTCGGAGCAGCCATTGGAGGACCTTCAGCCTCTGTGGCCGCGCTCATGGAATCGCCTCAAACCAATATTTTGGCTTCGATTCCTGATCTCAAGCACCTCGCCTCCTCTCGCCTCCGCGATCTCAAGCTTCACATCGATCACTCTCACTCTGAGATCCTCAAGGATTTCGATTCCTCTCATTCTCGCCTCCACAAGCGGTTCAAGGTCTCTCTCTCTCTGGAATTGATATCCTGTTGTACTGATTTGATACTTATTTGCATGATTGAGTTTCTTGATTGATGAACTATTCTTGATTGATGAACTATTGTTTGTTTGGTTACTGATAAAAATATCTAAGAAAGAGAATTTAAATTGAATTTTCGCCAAATAATAACAATTTTATGTTCATTTAGTCTTGCTTTGATAATAATTTGAAAGCAGTCAAATCTCATTACTGTTACAACGTTTGGTAGAACAATGTAATCTAGTGAATTCCTGATTATACGTGGTTATAAGAAAGAAAGAGAACAGAAAATTGAATTTTCGCTAAATAATGGCAAGTTTAGGGTGATTTAATCTCAATTTCATATCAATTCCATATGTTGATGACAAGAAATTCTCAATGCAATTTCAAGATTTTGTCTGATGTGAGTTTAGTAGTAGTGCTAGTAGAGGGAAGAGGAGCATTAGAATTTAGAGCAGGGATTTTTTCGCCAATTTATTTGGCTTTCTGTGTTATTAGATTCAAAGTCAAGCATGTCACCAAGTGCTGGATGAGACAGACAAGGAATACAAGAAGATGACCCAAAGGATTACCGAAAGTCGGGAAGCAATGATGGTATCCTTCCTTCTAATTCTATGTCCTTAGTGCTAATTCATTGAGTGTAACAACCTACTGCTTCTTTCTCAGGCTTCATATGCAGAGTTCATGGCAGATGCACAGACCACTGCTTCTCGTGGTATGTCTTCAGTTTAAATCTATCTGACCTGCTTAAAGTATAAGATTTCGTATAGGTCATGTCTTGGTACTAATGCTATACTGGAGTCTGGACTCAATATCCTTATTGATTAACATGCCATGCTACGTTGTCGTTAAAACACTCGAGATGGAGTCCATATTGATGCTTTGACAAGTGATAATTGTGTCCCATATGTGGAAATCGGTTCTATTCCCATGTCAGCTCGGATAGCTTTTTGACCTGTTCAGTTTCACATTGTCATATATAATGTATTACTGTGGAGAAGAGAAAAAAGATTTAAAAAACCAAGAAAAAGATTGGCAAATAAAAAATTGTCTCCTATGTATCATTAAACTGACTTGTAAGTACTAGCAGTATGCAACAATCTAATTTAGTTCAACAATTTATAAATTACGTCTGATTCATTCTGAGTACCAATTTATAAACTACTTCTGATTCATTCTGAGTACCAATTTATAAACTACTTCTGATTCATTCTACGTCTGATTCATATTTTCAGCTTGCAAAACATCCATAACTGAGTTTTCACAGTCCTTTGAGAAAGCAATTGATGCTCTTCGGAGCCGCTACGGGATTTCAACAAATTAGCCATCAATTGTTCATGCCATATGATATGCACCGGAAATTTAGGTGAGTGCTTTACCGTTTAATACCGTTTACTAGTGGTGGGATTATTCAGTGGTCTGGGTTGTTAAGCAACTCTGGTTACTCTGTCTCGCATTATTTCATATGCTATACATAAGTTCACATTCATTACAACCTGCACTAAATTTGAAAATGAGAAAAAGAAAGAAAGAAAGAAAGAAGAACGAAGGTAGTTCGTTAGTCGTAGAGTATATAGAGATAAATAACCTGGATACAATCTCAAAATCATTTGTAAGATGAATACAAAGAAAGAAAACCTGTAGAACCATGTGACATTAATGTTTTGTTGGCAGATTCCCATGCTTTCATTAAATTGCTATCACTAGAACAATGGTACGCAAGACAATTGTACTTTGCTAGGTTACTTTCTTTTTCGAGACATGTCCTTTTACTGTATCTAAAGGAGTTGGGATGCTCATGATTGTTCCATTTTGGAGGAACATTGATGGATCCAATTGTCTTCAGAGATTAGGATTTCATTATATTATTGTATAACTGTTATACGTACCCATTGCCAATAAGTATTTCTGTACTTTCATTTGTGCAAATTTCTTGTTCTGGTACTAGTAAATGCGATTAAGCAGATATAGCGTCTCATAAGCAGAATACTTTACTTGTATAACCCCAACCAAATTTGGATAAGAAGTATGACAATCTTCTATATGTCCAACTAAGTTTGGGTAAGAAATACGACAATTAACCTGCAGCCTTGATACCATCTCGACTGTGCCAGTTAAAACCTTTACTGGAACTGCATTGCATGCAATACTTATATGAATTATAAACTGCAAAAACATTTATATGAATTATGGTACTCTCAGCTCATCATCTCGCCAGAAATCGTAGACACGCAATTGGACTGTTGACTCTATTTTCTATTTGTATTCTTTGTTTAGACATATGGTTACAGTTTCAGATTTTTGGTTCACATTCCCATTTATTTTGGTTTTATTTAGTCGCAGATGTCATATTTTTGAGTAATACCTTCATGACAAGCCCTCCTAGTTCCATACACTGAGGCTTTTACATTATCTGTTGGGTTATGTTTTCAGGGATGTATAGTGGAGAAGGTAGCAGTATGGATTCCAAAGGATCTCCGATCTTCTACTTCAGACTGATACGATGACAGGGATTTAGAAACATAATACTCTTGACCCTCTTGCGGTTTCAATACTAAGCATCATCTGAATTTTATAGCATTTGTTATGTGATGAAACAAAAATTCATTGTTCTGGCCGACTATTACAGTACATATTTGGCCCCGTACTACGCTTTTGCGCGATGAATATTAGAGCTGGATATATATTTGAACTCTACGGAAATTACTTTTCGGATATAATATGTAAATTCCATTGATCTAGTACCTTAAAATTTAAGATATTAATTGCCAAAATCAACACCCAACTCTTCAGTTTCATCAAGAATCCCATGGTTTCTCATGAAATGCACCCAAATAAATTTCCTATTTTAATGTTGAACGACCATCTCAGCTACAACTTTCGAGTTCAGCAAAGGAAATACCAATCACTTGAGCATTCCAGAAAAAAATAGTTGGCCAAATGCAACGTCGACATACAGAGCTTTTGCAACAATGAGGCATGAATGACTGAGTAAACGCTATTTACCCTGTCCTGACCGTGAAACCAATTCAAGACATGACACAATCATGCTGGCAAGCAAAGTGAAAGAAAACAAAGAATGACTGGAAATTTTTTCAATTGGAAAGATGGGAGAAAAGAAAAAAAACCAATATACTTTTCAACAATCATTAACTGATGAAATTATATAACATAGTACAAAGAGCTACATGTTGATATGAGTCAGTATAGCAGTTAGCTGCTTGATTAAAGTCATTCTACCATACTAGTCTCCTTTAGAAGCTTCATTCCTCGTCTTGCGTATCATCAGCACTTAGAAGATGACTCAATACAACTCGTGGCTTTTTCCGTTCCCCTGACGCTTCCTCAGAATCATCTTTTTCTGTCTTCCTCTTCAGACTTCCATCTTCAGCCGGTTTATCATTCCCAGAATTTGCAGCTTCACCTTCCGATTTCACTTCTTCCTGCAGGGATGTATTTGGATCAGATTCTTCATCTTTCTGTTTTTCATTCAGACCTCCTTTCTCAGATGACGTTTCACACTCTTTCAAACAGGAGCGGACTTCGTCACTGCTAGCAAGATCAAGAGGGGTCTTCCCTGCTTTTGTCTTCGCACTGAGATTTGCACCTTTCTTTACCAAATACTTGATAAGCTCTACATGGGCCCCTTGAACAGCATAATGCAATGGAGTGAGGCCTTTGCGAGTGTAAGCTTTGACAGAAGCCCCAGATAAAAGGAGAGTGCGAACAACCTCTAAATGTCCCTTTTGGGCAGCAAAGTGTATAGCGCCCATGTCGTCCATAGCAGCAGCACCAACATCAGCCTTGTGGCTACACAGAAAATTCACCACCTCTGTTTGCCCAGACCATGCTGCTAAATGTAGTCTTTGATCAAGATCACTTGTCAAGGAAACATTAATCTGAATTTTACATTGTGAACGGTAGGGAGTAAAAAACAGCAGAACCAAGTGATTTCGAGGTTTAGACTAGAATCCCATGAATAATGTCGTGACTAGATACATCTTTTCGGGTGACTCTGTGGAATGGATTCGGCCATCCCTTACCACAGCAAGATATCAGACACTCACTAGATACCAGATGAGAAATGCAATCACACATTTACTACATAGCAGATGGGTGAAATTTTCAAATGACAAGAAACAAGTTGAAACAGATTTTTGCAGCTACACTTACTGTAAAACAACTCATCTTTTGTATGTTACATGGCATCATATTTTAACAAAAAACAAATTAAAACTGTTTTATAGAATTTTTAATCCAAGTCATCCCCACTGCATATATCAGTTTTCTGTTATATAGGGCTAAACCCTCATGATTAATTTTAAAAAATAAAAAATAAAATGAAATGTATAGGGCTAAACCCTCCTGATTAATTATACAAAAATAAAAAATGAAATGTATAACGACTTAACCCGAAACTAGTTATTGGGCTCTTTTCTCAGAGGCAAGAGCTCCTCGAGTAATTGAAGCATACCACCAAATATTTCTCGAAAAACAATCATGGAAATAACAAATCATAGGAAGAAGAATTCAATTGGAACATAAAAAAATGCATTGCCACATTTATTTTTTGTAAGGAAAGAAGAATATAAAATCTTCATCAAGTTGAGAGAGAGAGAGAGAGAGAGAGAGAGAGATTTGTATAGAGGGAAAAGAAGGATACGGAGTTCTGGAGTGCTTATCTCTAGAATTGACGGCCAAAGGATTGGAGCTGAGAATTGACTGTACTGCAGTTAGATCACCGGACCTTGCCGCTGTATGAAGGTTTTGGCTCCAACTACTCGACTTCTGTGGATTTCCCATTTCCCTTCTCTCCAGTATGCGGATGCTCCCAAAAACAATTGAATTTGAGTGCTGCAAGATGTCTGAAACGCGAAACCCTACTATTTTTTTCTTTTTTTTTTTTTTTTTCCAGTGGATGAAAACAAGAAAAAGAGGCAAAAATTAAAATAAAAAAATATAACAAACGGGTAAATTTGGTGGCACGTGCATAATGTGTTTTTTTTTTAATTATTAATTTATTTTTAATTATTATGGAAAATAAGCTTTTCAAAATTTTAAAGACTTCACTCTCCCGTCGAGTCGGGTCCCGCCCCTAAAGTAGGGAGATTTTGGGCCGGGAACGATATTATTATCCCCATTCTGAACCTAGCTCAATAAATGATATAAGAGCTGTTCCAGCCATAGAGCCCAGCCCGAGGGGAGGGGGGAAAAAAACAAAAATCTGGTTCCAGCGGGAGAGCCCAGGCCCGGGGGGGGGTGTGGGACCCACCTACCCGGGCTGGCCCGAAGGCAACTTTCGCCCCAGGTCCAAAACGCGGGGGGGGTGACGTCACGACGACGTCAGGCTGACGTCGTCACGCGGTTTTCAATTTTTTTTTACCGTTGGCGCGTGCAATGCACGCGCCAACGTTAAAAAAATTTAAACCCGCGTGCGCTGACGTCAGCGCGACGCCAGCCACAACGGGTGGAAGCCACGTGGCACTCCCCCAGCGCTCCGATTTGATTCCAAATGCTAATCCAACGGCTGGCGATTTTTGGACAATAAAATTATGAAAAAAAATCGAAATTTTTTTTAAAAAAATACTAAAAAATCCTAAAAAATTCTGATTTTTTTTCCTATAAATACCTATAAATACCCTTCACTTTCAACACCAATTCTCATACATTTTATTCTACTTCTACAATTACTCAACATATTTTTCACTCTTCACTCAACATTTTCTTCACTCTTCACTCAACATTTTCATCTCTTTCACCTTGTAATTTTAGTTATTATTTTTATGGCTTCTTCTATTGAAACCGGAGGGGCGTGGAGCACCATGGAAGATGTTTCTTTGTGTGAGGTTTGGCTCCGAGTTTGTCATTGTCCCTTGTCAGGCAATGAGATGAAATTTTTCCATATGTGGAAAAAAATTCATGCCGAATTTTGCGAAAAAATTCCGGACTCCACTCGTACGGAAATGGCATTGTCGAGTAGGTGGAAACTTCTCAACAAAGAGATGGCAAAATGGAGAGATGCCTTGGCAAAAGCGATGAATTTGTATAGAAGTGGGGAAAATCGTACTAACGAAGTAAGTATTTTGTAATTTTCGTAATCATTAAGTTTAATGTCCTAATATATATATGTTGTTAATATTTATTGCATTGTCAATATTTTGTTAATATTTCTTGCATTTCAAATCTTTTGTTAATATTTCTTGCATTTGAAATATTTTGTTAATATTTCTTGCATTTTCAATATGTTGTTAATATTTATTGCATTTCAAATATTTTGTTAATATTTCTTGCATTTTCATTATGTTGTTAATATTTATTGCATTTCCAATTGTTTCTTCATATTTCTTGCACTTCCAATTTATTTGTAAGGTTAATTGCATTTCCATTATTTTTATTTTGTTACTTGCATATCCAATATATTTTAAATAGTTATTGCATTTCCTTTTTTTTGTTAAATAGCTCATTCAAGCACAGATGTGGTTCGGTGCAACCGGGGGTGGCAAAAAAAAGTTCACCCATCATGAATGTTGGGAGGTGGTGAAACATTGTAAACGGTTCACAATTATTCCGACGGGTCCCGAAGTTGTGTTAAACGAGACGCCTCTCCGTGATTCAACGACATCGGATTCACCTCTCGATTCCCCTATGAGTGAAGACTCACCCATCCAAAAAGAACCAAGGCCCATTGGCCGAAAGGCCGCGAAGGCAAAGAAAGCGGGTAATTCAAGCAATTTTAATTCAAAGTTTTTGGAGGAAATTGCAAGGCAAAACTCCGTAAGACTTGAAATGGAGCAGAAACGCCAAGATATGGAGGTGGCAATTCAAGCCGAACAATCACGAGAAAAGGAGTATTTGCGCAAAAAAGATCAGCAGAAGACGGATCGGGAAACCATGGCAATGGATACAAGTCATATGTCCCCCGAAACAAAACAATATTGGAAGCTAGAACGGAGGGATGTTATGAGAAGAAGACTTTTCCAAGATGATGGGCCTAGCAACACCGATTGGTTAAATGATCAAAACCATTAAATTAGTTGGCATACCTTTTATGTATTTTTATTTTTCATGTTTTGTATTAAAGTTGGTGTACTTCATGTTTTATTTTAGTAGTAGTAATTCTTAATGACTTGTATTGGATTTCTTTATTTAATAAACAAATCATTCAATAAAAGACCATTTTATTCAACATATTCCATACATCAAACATAACATAAATAAAATGAAAACAAAAACTACAAACAAGGCACAATAATAAATAAAAACAACACAACAAAACAACACAACAAAACCATAAGCAATAGTAAACAACACAACCAAACCATAAGTAAATAAAACATAACCAAAGCATCTATGCTCCATCATTCATCTTCATTCCCTTTCACCGCCCATATATGCTCTATCAAGTCAAGTTGACGGCTTTCATGAATATACGAAGATTGCATCTCTGTATATCGATCTATCATCCGGGTCATCATACGATCGTCCCTCACCAACGGTTCCGGCTCCAACGGTTCTCCATTTGGCCCCATGGGCATTTCATAAATCCGGGTCATCGCCGTGTTTATTGGATCCGGCTCATAGACCTCTCCAGCATCATAATCGTACTCATCCTCCACAATCATATTATGGAGGATGATGCAAGTCATCATAATGCTTCGGAGGACCTCCTGATCAAACATACGGGCCGCACCTCGAACAATCAACCATCGAGCTTGAAGGATGCCAAAACACCTTTCGACATCTTTCCTGTATCCTTCTTGATAGGTAGCAAATAATTTTTGCTTATGGGATCGGGGATTCGGAATGGATTTGACAAATGTGGTCCACCTTGGGTAGATACCGTCAGCTAGATAATACCCCGTCTGGTAGACTGTATTGTTGACTTGATAGGTAATATTGGGGCCTTGGCCGCTCAAAACTTCGTTGAAGACCGGAGATTGACCCAGGACATTGAGGTCATTTTGGGCTCCGGCAACTCCGAAGAAAGCATGCCAAACCCATGTGTCGAACCCAGCAACGGCTTCCAGGATGATACTTTTTGTGCCTTTTCTATTTCCGTAATCACCTTGCCAGGCAGTTGGGCAATTCTTCCATTGCCAATGCATGCAGTCGATGCTACCAATCATTCCTGGAAATCCTCGAGCTTCGGCTTTTTGTAGAAGCCGTTGGAGGTCCCTGGGAGTAGGTCTACGCAGGTAGTCCCTAGTGTACAGGTTTTCAACTGCATCACAAAATCTTACCAAAGCCTCCAACGTAGTGGACTTCCCCATTCGGGCAACCTCATCCACCTGATCAGCAGATGCTCCATACGCCAACATTCGTATAACAGCTGTAAGCTTTTGCTCCGGAAGAAGGCCCAAAACCCCAGTAGCATCACACTTTTGAACAAAGTATGCATCATAATTGCAAATATCATGCATGACTTTATTGAACAAATGAGGTTGCATTCTAAATCGCCTTCGAAAATCAACATCAGAGTACAAAGCAGTTGGGATAAAATAATCTTCCAAAAGATTCTTACCCCGAGAATGCCTATGTCTGTCCACATTCCGGCGACGGCCGACTTGTGAACCACGGCGGCGACCTTGGTTCTCTTCCTCTTCCATTGCCACTGCTATGAGAACTTGCTCATCGACTTGCCTCTGCCACTCATTCATTTCATCGGCTCTACGGTTTCTCTCCTTTCTTTCTCTCTCGTGCCTCTCCAAGCATCTCCTATATTCTTCCATTGAGAATGAATGGAGTATGAATTCTAAACTTTAAGAAATGAAAATATTGAAAGATGTGGTGTGAGAGGTATGATGTGAGCCTCTGGTTTTATAGAAAAATTTGGCAAGATAGAGATGCCACGTGGCTTGATTTGATTGGATGAAAATCTTATCTGAAATTTGAAATTCATCCGAAATTTGAACCCAAATTTATCTGAAATTTGAATTTTGAAATTCATCCGAAATTTGAACCCAAATTCATCTGAATTTTGAATTTTGAAATTCATCCGAAATTTGAATTTTGAAATTCATTCGAAATTTGAACCCAAAAATTTATCTGAAATTTGAATTTTGAAATTCATCCGAAATTTGAACCCAAAAATCTTATCCCGAAATTTTATCCGATTATGAATAGTGTTGACACGTAGGAACCCGTAAATCTTATCCGAAAATATTATTGAGGTAAAAAAAATTGTGAATAAAACAAAAAAATGAATAGTAACTGCCCTTAGCTAGGGCAATGGGTGGAAACACAAAATTCTGATTTTGCAAGGGCAACCACTATTCACGTGAATAGTGGCTGCCCTAGCTCCCCCCTTGCCATGGCTAAGGGCAATATGGGTGGAGTTGCTCTAATTATTTTTAATTAACAAATATATAATATAATATAACAATACCCTAATTCCCATACCCATGTTACCTAAAGACGTTCCTTATTCCAACACAATCAATCCCCTATCTTCTCCCGGATTCTCAGACTCTGAGCGACTAAAACAAGAGTTTTGATCTCTTTAGATTTCTATGAAAATCAAGTCCAGGTGGTTCACGCATAAAAACATTCAGAGACCCTAGGTTAGTGGACAGTCAACAACTCTAATGTTGTTTACACTTTGATGACTCTCTGAATAGCAATGAACATCACAAACTTATGCATTGTTGGTGTAGGTGTTGTGCGAAAACACTCCAAGACCTATCGTTGATGGACTATGCGATGGCACACACACAAACCCCTTGAGAATAAAACACACACACCACAAAGAGAATAAAACAAACACACAAGAACATAGAGATTTATAGAGGTTTGGCCTCGTGCCTATGTCTTTTTGGTGATCCACCCAAGAAATTCACTAGGATGTAAGAACAACTTTGGTTACAATCTTGAACCCCCTTAGCTCTCACAAGATCCCTAGATCTTTTTTCTCTCACCATTGCTCACACCCTTTGATGCTCTTGTAAACACTCAAGAATTCACCTTTGAATTCTGTCTTGTGTTTCTCATTTGAAAATTCACTTTTGAATTCTCCTCTCTTCTCATCTTATGAAAACCTAGCACTAAAGGACTTAAGTACAATCCGAATAGGAATAGAAGACTTAACCTAGCCCAATAGGCTAGTAAAATACCCAAAACCCTTGTAAAATGACAAAACACGCCAAGTAAGAAAACAGGTGGCTACCGCTCGCCCAATACTTGTGACCGGTCTCTTTGCACAGTAACTCCAAATCGTTCTAGCACTTCGCGACTATTGCTCTTGGTATTATGCTATTGGCCGTTTTTGGAAACAACTGGTCACTTACTGCTTCTCCTTCCTATTTCCACATAATTAAGCGAGCCAACTTCAACAATCTCCACCATGGCGAGTGTAACACAAGTGAAAAATGCCTTTAATTTTTCGACCCTTGCTCGGCACTCAGACTCCTCCTAAGTCAGCCTTCTCACTCCTCCAACTCGTGAGGCTACATATTTCATGTAGCGGAACAAGTGAATGCCAACACACCCAAGTAAGACTTGCCTACACATGAAAACTCTCACACACAATATACGGGCAAAGTTCCCAACCTTTTATTTCTCTCAAATAGCAAGGGATTACAAGCTCTTACTTTTGTTGTACTATCACATCACTTGGTATCTCAACTCAACCTTGTCAAGGTAATTATAAGCATAAAACATGTAGATGACACTCCTATATACTAAGCAACGTTGGTAGCCCATAGATCTGCCACCTAGACATTCAGTCTTATCACAAAACTTGTCCAGCCCACTTTTGGCTCCACTTAACAACCCACTATGCCTTGAGGCCGGATTTCACTCCTTGAAAATCTCCCTACTACTTGGAGCATGCACCCACAACCATGTAAACCGTCCACACTTGCTCCAACACTTATCCACATCCCGAATTTTAAGCTATAACACTCCCAGCCAAGTTCGAACTCTTTTGAAATCGCTCAAAGCTATTCAGCCACGTCAGAGTCCCATTCTAGCACATATGCCAGCATTTTTCCACGTCCCTGTGCACATTCTGTCGACATGCTGCACGCTACTTGATAGTGCTGTGCATTGCATGAGTTACGCGCTGTTGTGCTGCGCCTCAGTCTGCGCTACACGCTTGCCTGCTTTAAGCGCTACTGTGCTGCGTGCCTGCTAGCCATGTTTTGTTGCGCATTCTGGGCGTTGCTTCCCATGCTATGCCAAAGTCTTGGCTGCCTACTCTCAGCCCAAAACTCCCTTCCTCCGACCTTGTCTTGCTTCCAGTGTGCACCATCACTACATGCTTCGCTTGCCCTGGCATGGTGCAAAACATCAAAACCATGCCATGACCTATAACACTTGCTAAGGGTCTTACAAAGCACCCCCACCAAAACGGTCCGATGCCTTCGTCGACTTAACTCCATAGCAACCTTCGTTCATATGAACATCTCTTGGATCCTCTTGAACCAATTCACCATTGATCTCCTCCATAGACTCATCATCACTTGACTCAATTAGGATCACCTCCATCTTAGACTCTTCCATAGGCTCTTGTTCGTAGTCACTTGAGATCACAACTATCTCGCCCTTAGACTCCACCATAGGCTCATCCTTCCACTGTGGCTCCTCTTTAGTCTCGGGGTTTTCACTAAACATAGCATCCCTTATAATGCTATCAATTGCTGAGCTCACCCATGACTCATCATCTGACTCACTTTTCAAAGGGTCCGAAGCCGAAGAAACATATTAAGCCACATTTGCCATCAACTCATCAAACCTCTCCTCGAAGTCCTTGTGCCGTGTGGACATATAGGCCAACTTGAAATCGAACTCATCTAGCACATCCACATAAATGCTAAAGTCATCTCGAATGGTACCTGTATTGTACATGTGACTATACAGCACACAAGTCTTTGCCACAAACTTTCTATCCAGCAGGTAGAACCTCTAAGTATCAAGGCAATGCACCAATGCCGCAAACTGCATCTCTTTTAGCCCACAATTCACCAATTCGGCTCCATGTTTTCAATTGCCTCTATAAGCATACCCCCATGCACCAAAGAAGCATCAATAAAAATCTTCAAGCGTTCCATGGCAAACATATCCACGAACACCTCAATCACCTCCAACACCGGTTGCTCAATTGCATCCTCTCCCAAAGGATTTTTCAGTAGGATAACTCTTAGTGAATTCAATAAAACCATTGGACTCACCTAGAGATTGCTGCCCTCTTCAGCACCTCCCTCTCTTTCAGTCACAATTGCATTCAAGTTCTGCCTTCTTGAACAGTCCTTCACACAGTGGGGTTCTTGGCGAAGAAAGTAACCCGAGAACTTCTTCTTGTCCGTGTGCTCCTCGCCCTTGGCTCCATCTGGAACAACTCCAATCTCCTTCCCTTTGTTGACCACCTTGTTGTCCAGATGTCTCTTCCTACCTTGCTCCTTCTTCCCATTGGTATATGGAGAGTTTATCTAGTAAACTAGTTTATTAATAGGATTTTTAGCCGTTTACCCCCTTAAATATCACCATAATTGAACTTACCCCCTGAACTAAAGAATTGCCAATTTAGCACCCAAACTACATGAATTCGTTAATTTCACCCATACCGTTAAATTTAAGATGATTTCATCCAAAGTTTCGTCCAAATTCACATTTGAGCCTCATGTGGGACAGAATCATAGGGCAATATAGTCATTCTAACGCACATACATTTTCTTTTCCTTTTTCTTCCTATTTCTCCCGCATGCTTGTTCATCTTTCCTTCTCTAACTTTCTCCTTCTCTTTTCCCCTTCTTCCTCTGTCTAGTTTTTTCTCTTCTTCTTCCTCTTTTTTTTCTTCTTATCATTCTCTGTTTCTCTCTCTTTCTTTCTTCTCATTCGTCCAAAGTTAGATCTGTTGCATATGTGTAGATTTCATTTCAGATAAGGTTAGATCTATTATAAGATAAGAAAAACTACAATATTACCTAACAAAAAGTTACAGCAAAATTACTAACAGACCAGCAGTCAACCACAATAACCACCATCTACCCAAAATGGCAAAGGAAAAAAGTCCCCAGTTAATAGGAGATGGAGAAAAAAAAAGGCTTTACCAACAAAAGAAACTTTAGTAACTTGCCATGCTATAATCACAACAATATCGGACAGGGCCCATGAAACTTCAAAATCTCTTACCATGCTCCTATATTTTTATTTTGGTGCCAAGCTATTAGGGAAGATGAGGATTGGTAGGGAAAGTTTTGGAATGACTATATTATTGTTCAATTATGTTCCACGTGTGAATGTTGATGGAACTTTGGATAAAATCATCTTAAATTTAACGGGTGAAATTAGCGAATTCATTTAGGGCACATTGCTTTATTAGGAGAGTTATGAATATGAAAGGTTTAAAAGAAGTAATGTGACATTATCCAATCATTATGAAGTGACTCCTATAAATACCTTATTAATCTCATTTGAACTATATGAATCAAACAAAATAGATTTGTATCACAGTATCAACTGAAAAGATTTTTATCAAGTAAGTCTATGTAGGAGCTATGTGTAGCCTTCGGGTTTCACATCTCTAAAATTACTTTTGTTGAAGTTAGCCTCAGTCAACCCTCCCTCAAGAGTGTACCTCAGCTAACAATGGTGTTTGGTGATGTATTCTGACCTCACTTGGAGTAGTCAAGTAGAGGTAAGAGCATCTACAATCATGCTCCCTATTTTTTAGTAAAAATAATTTAGCTAAAAACACACAAAAATTATTTTAGGAGCACTCTATAAAATTTGAACTCCAATCATACTCCATAATTTAGGGGGTCATATACTATAGTTATTTTATAATTCAATACGATTGGTCCATCTCTATAAAAAAAAAAAATTTAGTATTAGTTAAGAGTTTAACTATGCATAAAACAAAGCAGTATTAAATTATAGGGAGCCATTAGGAGTCCTTTCTCTCTCATCAGATTTAGGAGCTCTTAAAGGTCTCCCTATTTTAGAAGGTGGATAGAGAGTATGGTTGTTGTTGTATTTTTCCAATTCCTCCCAAAATTTATCTAAGGAGGTGGTTTAGGGAGCCTATTGTGAATGCTCTAAGATTCTAGATGCCAATCCCTGCAAGAAGACAAGGAGAATCCATTGAAAAGTGGTGGTAGAGGAACTACCAACCACCCTCTGATTCCTAAGTAAGTGCTTCCCTCAAAGCAGGTATGAAAAGTACTGTACTCAAGTATGGAGGAAGTTGAGATTACCTTGGAAAATTATGCTTCTTTTATACTAGGGGAGTAGGCTCCACTTCTTGTGTTGTTTTGATGTGGGATTGAAGGTTGGTTAGTTACGTGGCACCTTCTAGGTGGCTGATGAGTTGCAGAAAGATGTGGAGTGAATATTCATGGGCTGATTTGTCCTTCCACGTGAGCAGCATGGGTTTCTAGGCGAAGTACCCAGGCGCTGTATACGCCAAGGACGGTATGGTCCACGCGTCATCCCTTCAGGTCCGACCGCATGAGTGAAAATGGGCCTGGTCAGGCTCTTTATCTTGAGGGCCTCCTAAGGAGCAAATAAAGGGTCTCTGGGCCTTATTTTTAGCCTTTTGGGTCCGGTCACTTCATTAGGTGATGGATGCTAGTTATTGGGCTCGTTTTGGTAGACCCTATTTATATTTGGTATCAACAACTTTTACTTCTTTAGTTTTTTGTTATGCTTTCCCACTTTATTCTTCCACTGTGCGTATTTCCCCTTTTTGATGCCAAAGAATACACTCTAGGAGGATATACAACAAGTGATATCATGTGACATTATTGTGGTATTCCCTTAACCTCATGCAGTTCTACAGAACGACCTAATTTATGTAAAAAAGATTAAAGAAGGGGATCATGAGTCTGATGGAGGGAACTGAAGTCAAGTGGTTAGTTAAAGTTGATCACATTATTAAGGCATGAATAAATCAGACCAACACTACGCAGGTTCTTATGGTTCTCTTTTAAGTTTGTAGTCTTTTCTCTTTCCTTTTATGATTCTTTTTCCTTTGCCATGGGAGCTGGACTTGCCAAAGTAGCAAACAGTTTGAACAATCAACTAAAGTAAGGAGAACAATCACCTTTCCAACAAAACAAGCATATTGGTCTTCCAAAGTTTTTAGTGTATTGAAACAATGCAACTTGGTCTTCCCTACTCCCACAGTTTCCAAAGTTACAAATAAACTGCTCGCATGGTTAGATTATACCAGACATAGTAGCTATATATAGACTTTACTTGTTAACTGACAGATTGACATTCACAAACTTTAGTTCAGAAAATAAACCAAACCATGCTTTACGTGTGCATCAAGCATTACATTTGTCTGTGTTCATTGTAATCAGGGTGGGATCATGGATCTTCTACACATACCCCAATTGAACTTTTTCAAAATTCTCAGGATCCTGAAGAGGAGGGAAATCCAGTTAGCAAAACTGGGATGAACTTTCAAATCTTGCCAGTTTCTGAAAGGATCCTCTCTATCTCCTCTAGGAGTCGCTCTTTTTCGTCCGTGAGGTCTTCATTTTCCTTCTGCAGCTCCTCTATCTGCTTAGTTTGCTCAGAATCCTTCCTGAAACAATGCAACAATTATTTAATCAATAAATCTCAGATGGAACATGAAGGCGTGTCTCTAGAAATCAAAACAAAAAGCATTAATTCATGGAAAATTCTCGATACGTGGAAACATCAAAATGGAAAATTTTGAGTAAATAAGTTAATTTGTTCCATTACCTATTCATGAAGGACAAGTTAAGTTTGAGGGATCGCACTTCCTTTTCAAGATTTTCACACCGCTTCAAGACAGATTGTATATCTGATGGAATTACTGGAGTTGAATTCCTTTCCTTTGCCTCTGCCATTCTACAACAACAACAAACTTCAGATAAATATAACTCTCCCAGCTCTAAACGACATGTTGCACTTTCTACATAATTTTTATTGCTTCATGTAGCCTACAAATATTTAAGACATGTAGCATTCTATAGATAGTTTTTCTTTTTGGTTCTCATTTTATAGATACTTTTCATAGTTGCCCTACAAAATTAAAGATTATATTTAAGCTCTGTTGACCTTAACATACAATCCTCCTCAACTTCTCATCCTCTAGACTTCCTAATAAATGTTCACAATCTTTGATACTCATGCATTAAACATAACCTAGGCCTGCGTCTAATCAGTAAAAATGGAAGAAAGAGAAATACTTCAAATAATTAGTGAAATGGAAATGATGTTTCATGTGATGTCAGATGTGTGTGTTGTGTCTGTTCTATGCAATGCTAGATGTGTATCTGAGAAAACCAATTTAAAGAAAGACTGCAACTTAATGGCTGGCCAATTAACTGAATCTATTCCCATCCCTAAAAATGGAATGAAAGTAAAAAAAGAACTCAAATTCTGAGGAAGAGAGTTTGTTCCAGGGAAGGCAATACTCTTCCCCATTGTGGATATCTGTGTACGTACTTGCGAGACCTCTCCACCCTGCGTTTTTTTGTAGCATCCTCCTTGTCCACTGCACAACCTTTTTGTGGGTTAGAGAGAATGCCATGACTCTGAATAATACAGTAATGCATCTTTTCAAAAGAGTTATTTTATTTTACAATTATAGATGCAGCATCTTAAGAGGAAAGCCACATTCATGATGGTGAAGTTTCAAACATACCCGAAACAGCTGATGTCACAGATCCATATCGATCTAAACGCTCCCCCCTCTTTGAAATATGCCCAGTTAAAGAACGAAAAGAAAAATGTTCTCAGTAAATTTTTTGAATATTGGCACCATATTTTCATAACAACACTCGCAACCCAAGAGTAAATTATACCTTTTGATCATCTTTCAAATTTCCAATTATCCGTTCTCTGAAATCTACAGTTGCATGAAAAGGCAGTGAATATCTAATTCAAGAAAAATAGTGAAAAAACAAAACACTTAATGCTATGTTTCAATATCCCACATCAAATGAATGTCTAACTTTGTGCATGAAAGGAACTAATATATATTATACTCTGTTCTGGCAAGGGCTTCAGCATTCAAAATACCTGAATGATTTGAAAGTAATGCTTTCCACAATTAATTTACAGGAGACCTGCCAATATGTCTTCATGATATACACTTTTTATACATAAAGGTGGAAGAAAGAAAGGTTGGTATATGCATCAGAAACTTCTACACAGGCAAGTTACTTTGTGTGCTTATGATCTTCCTTTCAGAAAATGTGTACGAACTTTCATATACTTTGGGAAATGAAACAAGTACAGGGAGTCCCATGGATGTGCAAAAAGAAAAGAAAAGATGCAGTTATCTATTACAACTGTGTAAAATGACTACCTTTAGATCTAGAGCCGTTTTCTGAACTCCTATTTCCAGCTTGTTTCATTGAACTTTCGCAAATGCTCAGTGTTTGACTTGAATTGCTGGGACCATCACACGCATCAAAGCCAGATGAAACTACTGGTGCAGCAGCAGATGATTCACTTTGGGAAGGTTCTTGAGAGTTTCTGCTTAAGGGGTTGGGGTTTCTGAGATTTACAAAACCTTCCATCTCAAGATCCAGGGATCCTTCAACGTTTTGTGTAATTCTATGATCGTTAACTTGGATAGTGGATACTTCCTGAAAAGTTCCTGCCATTTCATGAATTCCATCCCCTTGCCCTTGATCAAAACCAGTGTTGACTATAATTTCTTGAGCAGAGAAAAGGCCATTGGAGCTATCATCTTCTACACCTTCTTTTTCGATCTGGTTACTAAGCTTTTTGCGCTCTAATGTACCCTTTAGCATGCTCACCACGGATGAAACTTTATCCATGTCACTCATTTGTGGGGTGTTGAAAGTGGATGATGATGAATTGGACGGAGAAATGAAGGTCCCCAATTGATTGGTTACCTCACAAACAGAAGGATCATTGAAAGCATTTGAAAATGCAAATTCTTGTTTAACTACATTGGGGCAATTCCCTGAAGCAGTCTGCAGGCCTTCCAAACCAGCTGTAGTTTGAGCATTTTGCATGGCAACATACTTCCTCCTGTCATTCAAATATATAATCATTTAATTAAAAGAGATGATGCCAGTTCTCTCCATAAAAGCAAAGTAGAACAGATAATTTACAAGGTTTAATGATTTCTACAAGCTTAAGTTGTTAGGATATCAGCAAACCTTTATTTTTGTATTCTAACACTACGTGGATATTCTGAAGATCCCAATGAACTCTATATTTATGTGTCAATGGTCTCCATAAGGAACAAAAATAATTTAAAAATTCAATCTTATATGGGTTTCCAAGGGTCAAAGAACCAAATCCCAAAATAAAGGGCTTGACATTTTTTACAACATCAACTGAGGCCTCAAACCAAGGGCATGAAACACTATAGAATCAATTGTGAACTGATTCCAGAAGACAGTTTTAACTCATATTCTGTTGTTATCTATTAACAAATGTATAGACAATACCGTAATTCAGAGGATCGGCTTCTTGTCATAGGCTGAGAACTATGAAACCAGGCCTGCGTTAATAGTAAAATATTAGATATAACATGAAGAATCCTCGAACTAAATCCTGAAATGGATCAATATCAACATGCCTTAGCCAAATATAACTCACTAGCCTGCATTCCTCTTTCAACACCATGCCTGACAAATTGAGACCAAACTAAATGAATAAACTATCTTGACAAATGTTTGCCATGTAAAGAAAATCATAATGTAAATTTAACATTTTCAAGGTTCCCGAAATTTAACATAAGGGGCACGTACTATATACACATATATGTTACATGACAACATCTTGGAAGGGAGCAGTAGCCACCTGATTGAATTTTGATTGTTGTCACCAGACATTTCGTCAGGCATGACATTAATTTGTGGATATAAACAATCGTTGCTTCTTTTCTTTTGAAGTAGACCAACATGTTGCTGACCAGACAAACTAGCAATTTCAGTAGATATCCTGTGATGTACGGAGTAACTATGAGCAAGGAAACCAAGAAGATGAAAATCAGGATGAAAAGATCTTGAAGTTCAAAAGTAGTAAAAAAAATTCAGAGAATGAGAGAATAAATCAGCAGGTGCAATGAAAAATCAACGTGATAGATCATTTTTTCCGACTAAGATATTCATCTAGTATGCAATAAATTTAAACAGAGACCTACCCATGATCATATAAAATACATCATATAAGTACCACATACCTGCAGTCCGGAAACTAACAACATTTTACATGCTTGTCATTTAAAGGTTGCTAGAACTGCAACCCACTTACCTCCGTGATCCTTGTCGAGTACGATGTGCAATGCTTGATGTGTTGAAGCAATTGGTCTGAACAGGATATATGCCAATCAAAGAAAAAGACAATCAGGAATGGGAGATCAATCCATATCATCCAGTTTCTATTGAAGTTGTTAAATGTTATGTGAACCAATGACTTGAGTATCAGACTGTAGAGTTATTGAAAAATGCTATAGGGCAAAACTGTCAGTAAATCAGTGGGCTGGGATCTTTCATATATCCAGTCAGATTTTTATCAAAATCCATGGAGCAAATGCTCAATGTTTCATCAAGCTCCGTAGTAGGAATTTCTGCCAAGTGAGTAAAATCATAAATGAGAGACAATGAAGCATAGTCCTATGGAATGAATGGTATTTGAATGTGAATGACATGCCATTTTAACTGACTCAAAGCTAGATACTTTATCAGACATCCGATGAATGATCAACTGTCAACCAGAACTGAAAGTCAATGAATATATAGGGATAACACGGCTGCTTGCCTCTCCAGTTGTGAGCCAGCTTTTGAAGAGCTCCTCGCTATCTGTACGAAAGTTTTGAGACAAATTCTTAAAGCCAAGCATCTCCATGGTTGGTAGAGGCGTTGCAACTGAGCTCTCCATATAAGATCTCAGGATCAACTCCTCACTTGTATTCCTATAGAAGTCTGAAAGCCCTCTTCCTTCCATCTGCTGCCCCTCACTTCTTGCAAGCACCTGACCCTCGAACGAGTTTATTATATTCTGCCGACTGCTTTCTGGTTTCATAAAAGAATCATTCACTGAGCTTCCTTTATTTCCTTCATTGACCATACTATTAACTTTTCCCACAAACAAAAAAAAAGAAGCCCCCCAAATGGGTCAACTCTTATATACCTGTGAGCTATAGTTGAACTATGTACTCAAGCAGGTGATGATCCTCTAATCCTTCTCAAACTAGCTACTCATGCGAAACGACTTTGAACCAAGTTGACAAGAAACTGTATCTCTCAAGTCTAAAGTCTGATCTGTTCAACAATAACACCAGCTGTGAATTATCAAAAGAACAATAACACCAGCTGGGGAAGAGTTCAAACATTAAAACCAACCATACATGATAAAGAATAGGTCTCATGTACCAAGACAAGAGATTATATGTCAATATTACACGTATTTTTCTTTTGACCAATTTTACAAGCATATGTTGGGCTGTGGTCATCAAAACTAAATATTATAAAAACTGCGGTATCTATGACTTCCGGTTCTCTAAAGATTCCCACAACCATACATTGTCTCTTCTTTCTCATGAAAAGTTTATTCTTGCTGCAGTAAGTTACTTCAAAGTTTAACGGTTCGTCAAACACAGGAAGATTAAGAAATGAATATAGTACATATTAAGCTAAATGTAATATTTCAAGCAAGAACTTGTAGCTCAAGTGGTTAAGATAAAAATAATCTTAACCATAAAACGTGTGAACTTTTTTTTTTTTGGTTTTTTCATATCAAAATAATAAACAATTTGCAGAAGTCTAGGTGGTAATTTACCGCAGAAACAGCAATGAAATGATGGCAGCAATGAAGGGGACTTGGTGCATCCGTCCTTCCTTGCTTTTTATTTAAAAAGTGTAGCCGTTGGGAGGGCGTTGTCATTAGGCTTGGGGAGTAGTAGACTCGTAGACTTTTTATATATGGTAATGGTCCATTCGGAATTTAATATAAGTCAAGTGGCAAAATTGTAGAGGATAGAAAAATCATATGCTCCATTACAAGCCTGTTTTTTATTTTTTATTTTTGGACGAATTACAAGCCCGTTTCTTTTTGTTTTGTTTTGTTTTATTTTTGCTGATCAGTCTGAAGGCTTATGACGTAGGGAGATTAAGTGGGAAGGGTGCATTTAGGGAGGACCCAATAAGTGTCAAATCTGCCTATGTATTGGTCACTAACATGAATGTTCTTAACCATGCTTCTATAATTATAACCTACCTCTTCTATTTTTATGTGTGTTGATGTTCAAACGAGAGATATGAGTGGTTTCGCCTACGGTACCTGTGGGAGTGATTTTCCTCTCTAGGGAATATTCATCTCAAGATTTCTTCATCCTCTTCACTTCTCTTTCTCCCTGCTAAACAACACGGAGTGAAAAAGACCATCAAAGGCTCTCCAATGCCTAAGTTATGTCGATTGTGTATAGGAAAATTCTTCTACTTCTTTGAGGTGAGATGCTATGAGAAGTATGCTCAGGTTCGCGTGTACAATAGCTTTTTGACAGTCTGAGTTAAGAAGATCATGTGTGGCATATAGACGCGCAGGAAGTCATCGGCAGATGGAAAAGGGAGGTCGACGATGGTCTGCTCGTTCCTCTCACGGTCTCCACACAGATAACCTAAGACTGATTATCGTCGCCATTAAGCAGAGACAAAATGTGTCTTTCGGAATCGTTAATAGTCTTACGACTGAGATTATTTAGGAACTAGTACAGAGTAAAAGTCTCCAACTGTAGCTATTAGAACATTATTTCCTCACCGAAGCTTTGTTGGACTCTTTTATGCTTGAAATATTGTTTGTGCAAATAATCTCGTTGGAGAATATTCGCTTCTAGATCATTCAACCTTCAATCTTCCCTCTCTCTCTTCCTCGATTCCTGTAAAAAAGATTGGAGTAAATAGACCACACCCGGGGGATGTTGGCCAAAGGCCCTCCGATGCCTAAGTTAGTTCGAGTGTTTATAGGAAAATAATAGCTAAGTAAAGGGTACGGAGTTGTATATATGGTGTGAACCGGGCGGCCGGAGCCGTGTGTGGTGGCCGGAGCCGTGTGTTGAAAATATGGAGAATGGAGAGGGAGAGAGAGCTTAGGGCATTTTTCTCGAGTTTAGGAGTAGGTTTAGATGTACCTTAGATGATGAATGAAATAGTCTATTTATATGAGTCTCAGGGCTAGGGTTTCGTAGAGAATATGATGAGTTTATTCTCTATCCAAATTCGTAGGGATCAAGTTGGACTTGATTATATCTCTTTATTGAAGATAATATCTGAATTAATGGTATTATCTTATTAAATAAATATAATATCTCATTAATTAGGATATTTATCCCTATTAATTAATTGGCTAGATAAATTGGTTCAATTAATTAATTTAAGAGATAATCTTCTTTTCCACGTGGCGTGCTGTGATTGGAGACGAAAATATATGCTCCCACAAATACATAAAAGAATGAGTTTCCCTTTGTTAATATACTTAGAAAGAGTGTTGCTATTTTCACCTCTTGTCTTATTTTCCCACCCACTTTGTTCTCAAAATTTTAAAGACAAATTTACCCCTATATAAAATGACTTCTAAAGACTTAAAAAAAAAAAACTCATCAACTCATGTTAATACTCTTTCCTGTCCTCTCATCTCTCTTCTCATCGCCTCTACAGTATTTTTCTGTGTTTCTCTTCGTCCGTCAGCAGTCAGCAACAAAAAAAAAAAAAAAAAAAAAAAAAAAAAAAAAAAAAAAAACACCCAATTCCATCCATTTGCTTATCTTTATTTTTTCTTATCCATGTTTTCCCCTTTGGCAAAATGAATCCCAACTTCTAAGCTCCCTTCCTGACTTCTGAACCCTAACTTCTAGCAATTGCCCTGGTCAGGAATTTCACTTAACCCAGCCCCTCTGACATTATCAGTTGCAGGTACCCCTTCAAAGATGTTTGCCAATATTTATACCCTTTTGGAACAAGAACTTCGTTTGTATGGCATTAGGAGGAATTTATTTATGAAAAAGGGTGGATAAAACCCAAAGAACAACCTACACCATCATATCAGCAGAAACTAGACGAGTTCTAGTAACTCCTAGCAAATCATAGATGGTTTGATTTTTGGATTATAAAATAACAAAGAAAAATTTGAAAAGAATAAGTGGCTGAAAATTACACGCAACCACTTCCGAAAACAAGGAAGATAACCATACAGGTTATTCCAGTCAAAAGGTCTCCTGATCTAAAATGCTTGCCTGTATTGAATCACCCATAAAGAATAATGAATAATAGTGAAGATTGAAAACTACAATGAATTGCAAATTGAATTGCCAGCCTAGGGAATGCTGTGACAGCAATAATGAAAACTGAAACAGAAAACATGGATAAACTCAATCACCCAAAAAAATTCTTAAGTTTCCTAAAGAACATTTAAGTAATTGTAAATCTTAATAAAAGAAAATATTCTCTATGTGGAATTAGAATTTAGAATCATTCATCAAGATCAAGTTTTCAAAAACAAAAAACGGTGAGGATGACTTAAACTCATTGATGGCAAACTTGGAAGTTCCAAACTCCAAACAAAACATACTTTCTTTCCGCTTTCAAGTTGTAGTTAGTTGATTATCACAAACAGTTGTTCAGAACAGTAGAAACACATATATATACTACTAATACAAGTTGCAAAGGGTCTAGAATCAGGAAAATTAAGGTCAGCTAACAGTCACAAATTCCCAACTAATGGTAACAAGGTTAACCTGGTCCAACCATCTGGTATTACACTTCAAAGAACAGATGACGAGCTAATCAGTCTCCACTAGCACAGCCCCTACAACCACAATGCACACACTCTATAACCTTCTCCTCCCGCAGATGCTTGGGCACTCGGCAAACGCATGTAGTGGCATAGTTATGATCCCGAGGCTGCATGCATCTCAAACAGCAGAGACGTTCGTAACCAGGCTGCATTTTAAACGCAAACCATATGTCATTATATGTTATTAGAGTTGAGTTATAATATAAACAGACTTAGATAAAAAGACACCAGGTACATGAGTTTGCAATATTTTCCTCATTATTCCAATGTTCTAATAAAAGTAACTGTTATCCAATAGTTTTACGTACAACCTGCAAATATAGTACAGAAGGTGCAATACATGTAGAATGAGAACTTCAAACTGAGTTCAATCAAATGTTGAAAGATCTCTCAGATTGCTTAATATCTTCATGGTATGCATATCCATGTCATAACTACACACGTCCCATGTGTATGTATTTCCCTTGCATTTGCCAATTTTCTAGCAGTGCTATGTTCACTCCAATTTTCAAATATAAAATATTCATGCTTATGTTCTTTGAACCTTATTTACAGGGAACTCCAATTCCAAACCAGACAACTTATTTCCAAGTTTGATATATCATGCAGTGAACTCCACACACAAATAAACCAAATGAAAAAAAGAAAACAAATCAAGATAGAAGAGATCTGAGATAAAACCTTTTTCCATTTTGCAATTAGATTGCGGTCAGCATAGCCTTGGTCCAGGCAGAACTCATATAATTCCTTGGATATTTCATTTCTTCGGTGGTAAAGGTCAAAAATGTAGCGGCTCTTTTGATGTGCGATTTTGAAAATAGGCCACAAGGTCTCACATTTCCTCTTACCATCATGAGTATCATTCTCAGCTGTCCAAAAGAATAAGGAAATATGCATTAGGATCCTTTTGGGTCCTTAAACACATATTTTATAAAGTGCAGTGAACAAAGTAATAAAAACATGGAAACATTCAAACCTTCTCTCATCTTAGCTTGTAGTTCACGAAGGGTAGGCTCAATCAGTTCCCAACCTTCTGGGTATTTGACCCGGTTTGTCTTTACCTTCGGCATTTTCTACCTGTCATCAGTGGCAACATAAGATGAATTAATAGTCTGAAAATTACAAAGGTCATCAACATTTAATCAAAATATTTTTCCCACAAAGAATAAAAAGATGTCTCAGGTATAGGAAATTAGAGAAATAATTTAATCACGAAACTTATTGAATACAAAAAACAAAAAATTCAATCAGCTGCAGCTGCTGCAGCAATGGGAAACAACAAGAGCTCTTCCCATGCACATATTCAGTTTTCATTTTCCTATTGTCTTAAGAAAACTTCATATTCATTAGTGACAATCACAAATGATGAGCACCAGACACAGACCCAGGAATTGAAACTGGGGTTGGCTGAACTTTTAAGCCAATTTTTAAGTCAAAAGTTTCACTCTAAATATCTGAAGAATCTCATTTGCTTTTATGACATTTCCCAAAATTGTAGCTGGCAAGCCCACAAGATGCTAAGCTAACAACAAGAGGAAAGCCAAAAGGCTGAAAGCTGAAATAAAACAATGAGAGTCCACTCGAAAATTCATAAAGCCACAGTAACATAGTTGTACAAACATCAATCAAAATTTTAACAACAGAAGTCTGGAGCTCCAACTCAATTCCAAAATCCCAATGCCTTTCCTAAACTAAATCCCTAAATTCGCAAATTACTCAGAATTAAAATCAGAAATTAGACATTAATTGAACCCCTGAATCCCTTTGCCCCTAGATTAGATTTCAATTAATAAAAACCCTAATTCCTAAATCCCTGAACTAGAATTTAGAAACAATAATAATAAATTAAATTAGAATAAGAAGAAGAAGAAGAAGAAGAAGAAGAGAAGTAGGAGGCTAGGCTGAGCTAAAAAGACGGAGGACTTACCGAGGAGGCTGGAACAGTGGAGACAGCCGCTGCAAGGTTGAGGATTGGCTGGGCGGGCTGGATGAGCTGGACTATACCCAAGGACGTTTCGGAAATATTCGGAAGGGAGGGACGAGGAGGGGTGGTTTTCCAGTACTTGGAAATTTCGAGGTAGAGATTGTTTTCTGTAAAACATTATTTGGAAAGTCGAAAATTTAAAAGAGGAAATCGGTAATTCTCTTGTTTAGCAATTTAAAAATGGAATTTATTAAATAATACGCAGAAAAAATCGTGGAAATTAGAGCATCAAATTTTCGAGTTTAATTTTCATAAAAATAGGCATCATTTCACAATTTCCATAATGCCATTTACAAAATTCTGTCATTACAAAATTCGACGTACTTAAATTCAAACACTGAAATCTTCAATTGCCGGAAATTGAAATGATAGAAATCTAAATTCCATTATTTTAGAATTCTATGTCATTTTTAATTACTTCATCCAAACGAAGGGTTATGGAAATTACTAAAAATATGTTAATATTTTTAGAGTTTTTCTATTTAACCCCACATTTTTCTTTATTCACTCCAATACTTAAATCATTAAGCTCTTAAGTTTTATTATTGTGTAAAAAAACAAAAAAGGTCATCCAATTTAATACGTAACCCTAGTACATCTATACACACACCCTACCACTCTTCATATTAAGTTTTAAAAAAACACAACAAAGCTAAAATAAAAGTGGCTAGGCAAATTGTTTTCCTACCCATTCAAGAAGATAAATCTTCTCAGGATCCAAGTTATTGCCAGAATTTGGTCTCCCGCTGAGGATCTCCAAAGCAACAACCTCAAAATTGAAAACATCAGCCTTTTCTGTCAGATGTTCGCGCATTGCATACTCCAGTGCAAAATAGTCTCTACACGATTATCAAATGCTTATTGAAAATGTTGCTTGGATTACACCCCCAGTCATGATTAACAATGTATAACTTAAACAAGGGCGTACATTGTCCTAGCAACAGGTGCTAATGTGGGGTTTTTCATCATCATAAAGCTTTGCCAATCCAAAATCTGATACTTTTAGGGGAGAGTTCTGAATCAAGCAAAATATTACTGGCTTTGACATCTCGATGTACAATCCTCGGCCTTGACTCTTCATGAAGGTAAGCAAGTCCTCTTGCTGTTCCCAATAATATATTGAAGCGGGTAGACATTTAACTGTCAAAATTTCTCTATCAAAACCCCTTAGTTCATTCTCAAATTTTTTAAAAAAATAATAATGTTGTTATACATTTGACAACAATATTTTTATCTCTTTAAGTAATGTGTGGTTGAAGTGAACTTAAAGTGGTGAGGGGCAGTTTGAGAAGATAGTGGGGTTCTCTTAGAAATTGTGAAAATTTGAATTAGAAGTTTGGGTGAACTTAGAATATGAGGTGTGTTAGACCCCGACACAATTTAAATTATTCATTATAATTATTTAATTTATTTAATTATGAATTATACTTTTGCCCCTAGGATAGGGTTATTTTGGTCACTTTTTAATCTAGTAGGATTTCGTGCTTCGATACGAGTTTTTAGACACATAGTGGGCTCAAATCGGAGTTGTAATGAAGAAGTTACGATCAATGGAAGTGTAGTGGCACAATTGTAAATATTTCAAACTTGGAATTTTAAAAACACCAGATTCTCTCTCTCTCTCCCTCTCTTGCAACTGCAACAGCTAACCAAACTTTGGCCGACAGTTTTTCCTCCGACCACCCCAAGCGAGTGACGGGGCCGGTACGAAAACAACCAGTGCAACGTCCTCTTCCCATCCCACCCCTCCCCCATTGCAGCTAGCAGACCTAGTCGACGTAAAACGTGAAAAACGAACCGATTTTTACCCAAACTTTCTGTCGTTGTTTTTGACGATTCCGGCCACCATATTTGTCGATCCAGGTATGCTTTCTTATCCTTTCAATGTGATCTAGATGATGGTTGTGTTGCATTGGATCGATTTTGAAGTTTTGCTACTCGTTTTACCATCCAAGTTTTGGCGGGTTTTTGGCTCGTATTTCCAACAAGCTCCGGCCACTTTTTAAGCGTGGCCCAAGAATAAAAGTTGCTCCACTAGTTGTCCTGATCACGTAGGTAGGTATTGTTGGGTGTTTTCAGAATTTTCCGATAGCCGAAATTTTCTCAAGCCGCCACACACGCATGGGCCATGTTTGGGTGGCTCATTTGTTCTTAAAAGGTTCCTCATGTCATCCTGAGCACAACGGTATGCTCGGATTTTGAATTTGGTTATCGTTTGATTGTCGATTGGATTTACGCATATTAGGCATTATATGTTCGGACCGTTGGATCGACTCCAATTCCAAATATGTTGATCTAGGTACCTCTAGGATCGTGTAGGAATTCACGGATCGAGAATCAAAGACCCGGATGCTTCGATTTAATGATTCAAAGATTACGTAAAATAGTAACTGTCCAATCATGCGATTGCGAGCAATCCGACCGCTCGATCTGGACTAAACTTGCAGGACGTGTTTAGTAAGCTTTGTTGAACCCGTAGGAACTTTCGGATAAAAAATCGAGGGTCATGGGCCCTACGGGCCCGATGGACCAAATTTGAGAAGTTTGACCACTCGATTGACTGAGCGTCTTCCAAGGTTAGTCCACCACTGGTTCGTCACTCACACACTTGGAATCCCGAGAAAACTAGGAATTTATTTTAAAGTTCTCTTTCGAAGTATTTTATTTTAATCTAGTCCTCGTATTCTTCAATAGGTATTCTAGCTTAGTGTACTCAATAGGTGGGACCCTCTCAAGGTCAAGCAGCTTTGGATTATTTGTGAGTGGACTTTGTTTTTAAATAATAATCATTATTTTCAAGACGTAAAACTATGCATAAGGAGTTATATGATTATTGAGTCTATTATATATTTAATGTGGAAATATAATATCATTATAAAAGTATTGGTAGTATATTGGATATTTTGGATTGTGATTATCTTGAATTAATATGTGCTATTTTTGAGAGTTATTATCTATACTTGGATGTGTGTTGGGTACAAGGGAGTGTTGGAAAGAGTTTATGGAATGTGAGTTGGATTGTGGTTTAAGTTAGTTTTGAGTGCTATTAGCACTACCCTATGTACCTCCTCGGCTTTTGAATAATTGGATTGGATACTTGGAATGTTGGGATACTTGGTTATGTCGTCACCCGGGCACCCTTGATGGGGTGCTTCGTAGACCCTTAGCGGGGTTAGTTTGTGCACGTAAGACTTGTCACAAGCTTACAAGTATTGAGGATTCTGTTGTACGTGTTGGTAAGCCAATCCCCCCATTGGACGGCTCGTTCCCTAGCCACATAGTCAATTGAGGATTCTTCCATATGGTCTAGTCAAACAATCCATCAGTTGGATTGTTTCCTTGTTACAAGTTTGGTAGTGGTCATACTTATGTATATATAAAAATATTATATATATATATATATACATACACTTTTGTTCTTGTTCATTAGTGAGGATCCTTCCTCGCACGAGGTGCCAACGTGCATGCGTTTTGGGTGAGGGTAGTTTGGAGAAAATGGGAAAGGTTTTGAGTGTTGGGTGAGGGTAGTTTGGAGAAAATGGGAAAGGGTTTGAGTGGGATGGGATATATTAATGTGTTTTGACAGGTTAAAATTTTTGGGAAAGTTCGTTTTTCAGGGGAGACTTTGCCAAAATTTTTGCAGAAAGTCTCATCCCTCTTTTCCTTGATTTGGAAAAGAGGCTATAACGTTAGTATGTGGGCTCGACATCAGTTTGAGGTTGGAAATACCACAGGATCCGTCACGGATTCTGAGAAATTTGAGGCGGGTCCCGTCAAGATGAACAAAGAAAAGTGCGGGGTTTAAATACAATATGAAATTTTGACCCGTAATTAATTAATTAATTAATTATTAACTTAATAAAAGAGATTGATAAAACTCTCTCCAAGGGAGTATGCAAATGAAGTAGAACAACCTAGGTGGCATGTTTTGCCTATCCATTTGCCTCATGAAAAAAGTTGGTCACTCCAAGGGACTTGGCAATGCAAGTCTACAAACTATTATTATATTATTTATTTGTAGCTTTTACATTTACTATTATATTTTATAGAGAGTAAGTGAGATAGTGTAGATGGTATTATATTAAAAGCAAGTGGGGTCCAATATACCTATTCACTTTGAAGTAGGCAATATTGCCTTGTTGGGGGAGTATGTATTTTTGCCTACACATTTACTTCTTCCTTTAGAGCATGAAAATACTGATGTGGCAAGGCAAATGAGTTTTGCCTACTCTTTTGCCTCTTACCTTGGAGATGCTCAGGGGTGTATCTAGTTCAAACTTTTAGGGCCCATTTGATAACCATTTCAATTTTAGTTTTAAGTTTTCATTTTTTGTGCTAGAATATAGAGGAAAAAAAGTAGGGAGAATGGAAGCGAGAATGAGAATGATGATGGGATTGAGAGGGAAGAAAAGAAGGGAGGAGGATGGGAGAGAGGAGTAACAAAAGTGAAACCCAAAACTAAAAGGTGAAATCTATTTGAAATGTTTACACTTTTCAAGTTTTTGTTTTCACTTTTGTTACTCCTCCCTCCTATCATCCCCTCTCATCCTCGCTCTCATTCTCACTCTCATTTTCCTTTATACTCTGGCACAAAAAATGAAAACTAAAAACTAAAATTGAAATGATTATCAAACGAGTCCTTAAAGACTTTTATACAGTTTATCGTGGTTTCTATCAATGGTATGGCACTCAAGGTCATAGTGCCAAACGCTGCCCCCAACTCCAATTTGGACCTCACAGTTAGCCAGTGGTTGGTCAGCCTCTTCTCCAACATGGTTGCTTGATTCCAGTGCCTCTCACCATGTTACCTCCAATGTCAACACTCTTTCTAGTGCCTCTACATATGATGGTCCTGATGAAATAATTATTGGTAATGGTTTAGGTTTAGGTATCACTCATGTCGGTTCAACCACTTTACCCTTCTCATCCACCCAATCTCTCAGCTCATCAAATGTTCTCTGTGTTCCTTCTATGCAAAAAGACATTATTTCTATTTCTAAATTTAATAAACAAAATAATACCTATATTGAACTTTTTCCTAATTTCTTTCATGTCAAGGATCTGAGCACGAGGGCGGTTCTTCTTCAAAGCCCGAATAAGGATGATGTGTACGAGTGTCTCCCAAATCTTTTTGTCAACCGCAAGCTATGATGGGTGTGGTGGTCTCTCCCAACCTTTTTCAACTGCACCCCAGCCACAAAACTCTCCAACAAGTCCTTTGTCTGTCTTCCATTAATGTGTTTTCCAAGTTATCCGAGTCCATTTGTCATTCGTGTCTATGTAATAAAAGCCGTCAACTCCCATTTGATACTTCGTCTCTTACCAGTCATGGTCCATTAGACCTCCTTTATAATGATGTTTGGGGCCCTGCTCCGTAGTCTTCTATTGATGGGTTTTCCTACTATGTTATCTTTGTTGACCATTTTACAAAATACATATGGCTCTACCCTCTCAAAAAGAAATCTAATGTGTTTTCCACTTTTGTCACCTTCAAAGCACTTGTCGAAAATTACTTCAAAAGAAAAATCACTAGATTATACACTGATGGTGGGTGAGAATTCATCAAACTCCAACATTTTCTCTCATCCAATGGCATCACCCATCTTCTTACACCACCTCACACTCCGCAACACAATGGAGTCGCCGAACGACGACATCGTCATATTGTTGAAATTGGTCTCATCCTTCTTCATCAAGCTTATTTACAGCTGCCTATCTTATCAACCGCATGCCTACTCTGCTTCTCCACAATCTCTTCCCATTCACTCAACTCTTGATGAACAGCCTAATTACTCTCGTCTTCGTACCTTTGGATGCTTGTGTTTTTTTTGGTTATGTCCTTACAATTCAAATAAATTACTTCCTCGTTCCCGCCCATGTCTCTTTCTTGGTTACTCATCTAATTAAAGTGCCTTTCAGTGTCTTGATCTTTTCTCCAACATACTTTTTATCTCTCGGCATGTTCAATTCGATGAGTCCACTTTTCCTCTTGCCAACCTCCCTTCCTTCATTCCCCATGTCACTATTGATAACTCTTACACTTGGGTCTCCTCTCTTTCTCTAGTTACTCGTGTTCTTGTACACTTACCCACCATGCCTGTTGCGTCAATGGTTTCTTCTTCGTTGCCATCACATGTCACATCATCATCATTATCAGCATATGCCCCTATCTCAAAGCCATCACAATTCGTTGCCCAAGCCCTCATTGCTGCTACTACTGCTCCTCTCTTACCATCACCCAACCCCCATGCCTCAACCTCTACCTCCACCGCATTTATATTCACCACCCGCACATTCTCCAGTCTAAATTGACTCGGTCCAGCCACCTTCCCACCTCATCCCAACTCGTACATACACTAGAAACCCTCATAGGACTGTTGTCACCTTTCCATCCTCTGACCCACACCCTCCCAACCCCCCGTACCCCTTGTGCTCCCCAATCATTCCATGGTTACCTGTGCCAAAGTAGGTATCCACAAACCTAATCCCAAGTATGCTATGACTGCTACTAAACAACCCATTCTCTCCTCAGTTGAACCGACATGTGTTTCCCAGGCCATCAAGTATCCCCTCTGGTGACAAGCAATGTCCAATGAGTTCAATGCATTAATTCGTAATGGTACATACGAGCTCATTCCTTCAATTCCCTCTCAAAATCTTATTGGTTATAAGTGAGTGTTTCGTATCAAATGACATCATGATGGCACTATTGATAGGTACAAGGCACGCTTAATTGCCAAGGGTTTTCACCAATGCCCAGGTGTTGATTTTTCAGGTACTTTCAGTCCGGTGGTCAAACCTACTATCATACAAATTGTTTTGCATCTTGTTGTGACTCATGGTTGGCCAATACGTCAGTTGGACGTTAACAATGCTTTTCTTCATGGCATAATTCGTGAAAATGTCTATATGGTCCAACCGCCTAGTTTTGTTGACTCTAATCATTCATCTCATGTGTGTAAATTGAGGAAAGCCCTCTATGACCTCAAACAAGCTCCCTGAGCGTGGTATAAGAATTACACATTTATTTTTGCTCTCCCATGGATTTGTCAATGCCATCTTTGATGCCTCGCTCTTTTTCTTAAAAAATGGGACTACTGTAATTTATTTTTTGGTTTATGTTGATGATCTTATTCCAGGCAACAATTCCTCACTTGTGGCGAAGTTCATTTAACTTTTAGCCACTTGGTTCTCGGTCAAGGACTTGGGCTTATTACATTACTTTCTTGGTGTTGAGGTCCTTTCCATAGCCACTAGTCTATTCCTCTCTTAGCAAAGTACATTCATGATCTTCTCATTAGTGCCAAGATGTGGATGGTGCAAAGGCTGTTAGTGGTCTTCAATGCCCCTCTTCACCACTGACTCACTTATGCTCCATGATGACTCCTCCCCAACGGATGCCACTCCCTACCGTCGTCTTGTTGGTGGTCTTCAACACCTAAACCTTACACGCCCTAACATCTCCTTCGCAGTTAATAAGCTTTCTTAATTCATGGATTCTCCTTCCGAGACTCATTGGGCTGGTGATCATGATGGTTGCAAGTCTACGACTGGCTATGTTGTCTACCTTGGTGAAAATCTGATCTCTTGGAGCTCTCATAAGTAGGGGTTCTTCTCTCACTCCTCCACCGAAGCCGAATACCGGACCATTGCTGCCACCACTGCTGAACTCACATGGATTCAATCCTTACTGCGTGAACTTGGCATTCCTCTCCCCACAACACTGGTTGTCTCATGTGATAACATTGGAGCCATGTTCTATTATGCTAATCTTGTCCTACATTCCCGTATGAAACATATTGATATTGATTTTCAATTTGTACGGGATCATGTAACTCGTGGTCTTCTTCAAATGTCTCATGTCTCCACTACTGATCAGCTTGCTGACGCTTTCACCAAACCCTTACCGCGTCCCCGTTTCCATCTCCTTCGTTCCAAGATCGATGTCTTTAATGGTGCCACTGTCTTGCATGGGCGTTTTATGGAATCTCCTACTTCAAAGGAAATCAGTTCATCAACAACACAATCTGCTCCATCAACCACACAATTGGCTCATCCGTATGAAAGTCAACTATGATATATGCTCAGCTGTCTTTCCTATTCTATTTGATTAGGATTGATTTAGTCATTCAAGTCTGATTGTATTTACCTTATTAGGATTGTATTCAAAATATATATAATTATAGACTTGTACCTGTAAATATATTAATGAAATATACCAATTAATCTCAGCTCTTATATGTTTTACCTACATGTCAAACAAGATCTCCATAGTTGTAATAATGTAAATTAGTCATTGACCTGAGGCACCACAGTTATCTTGTGGAAACATTGTGAATCTTAGATCATACCAAATAGTTGACTTCTCTTGAGGGCATGAATTTACAGTATGGTTGGGATTCATGATCAATCCATAGAGGCAGGTGAGTGTACAACAAGAGATCTCTATCTTCAATAAAGAGGGAGAATGCTCTAACGATATGATTAAGGAGTCTTTGGCCGAAGCAATAATATGATTGAGAATATAGATTCTAATCACACTTGTATGAGTCATATAAACTTGGAGTTCTCATTTGGGGCTTGTCATATTTTACGTGCCCTAATGATGCAACCAAGAGCATTGAGTTGGAGAATGACTGCATTACATTGTAATTCCAATTGAATAGGTTCTTCACCTTATTCTACATTGGCTTGGGTAACCATGACATGTTGCTAGACGTCACTCACGGTTCATGGAAGCCCTGAAGACATACTATAATTGGGTCCTCATAATAGGGAGAATTAAAAATGAGGTTTAATTCACAATTGATTAAGGAAGAGTCCAAATCACCCACTGCCTCGCCAATTAGAGTCTAATGGATCTCACACCCATAAAGGTAAGGGATGGAAATTAATTAGGAGATGATGAGCAATGATTAATTAATTAAACAGAGATTAATTAATTGATCAAAGCTCGAGAATTGTATTGGACGTAAAATTAGTTTTGGGGTTCGCGGTCCATTGGGCTTATAAGATGAGTTGTAAATGACAACTTAACTAAAGAAGCCCAAGGGGCTCAATAAAGAAGCCAAAACCGACCAGAAGGGAAGTGGAATGGGTTTGATCCATTTGATGACTCACATGGGTCATTTTAAGTTGGATATGGGTCACAGGTGACTCAACTTAAAATGTGTAGCCTATAAATATATAGTTAAGCCTTGAGTCATCGTAAGGGATTGAGTGAGGCAAGTAAGGCAAGTGAGGCACTCTCTCTCCCCTCTACCATGGCCGACAACCTAGGGGTGTTGAACACTAGCATCTTCAACCCCTAGGCTTCATTTCCTTCTCTCTTCATTGGTGTGTATGAAATTAAAGGCCATGCACTTGTGTGGTTTTCTTGGAGAATCTTTTGGTGAACGCCCTCATTGGGTAATCAATGGTATAAAGAAATCTCCTTTCTATCTCTAGTAGTGTTTAGAAGAGTCTAGGTGTTGCAATGTCTTTAGGCTTAAAGATATGGGAAAATATTAGATTTTGAACTCATGTTTTTGTATTTAAGCTTCTGTTGACATAATAGAGATTATATATGCATGTATGTTCAAATGATTTTTAAAAACTACAAGGTTTCCTTCAATCAAGTATTTGGAAAATAAACAAAATAATAATATTGTGGGGAATGAATTTCTCATGTAGTTTGGAAAATCTTTTATGAAGTCTCTTACTATATGTAGCTAGGCATAAAATGCATCACCATATGAACATGAGTTCATATGAATTTTCATGCAAAAAAATTTAAGCTTTCATTGCATAGAGAACTAGATTTTTCCCTTCAATTGAAAAACTTAAAAATTAACAAACAACATGGCACAATCTTATCTATAGGAATATATGTCAGTGTGCGACTTCGGTGCTCTGCGTTTTGCCACACAAGAGGACACCTGACATGTTCTGCTGCTTCAGTTGTGGGGAATTAATCTCTCCTCTGCTTGGAAAGACCTTTGTGCCCTAAAACTCTGAAGAAAAAGACAAGGCTAAGTTTAAGATAGATAAGTGTGGTGTGAGCCAAAGAGTCTACGATGCCAAAGTTAGTTGTGAGCAACGAGCAAAGTAGCGTTTCACGGTTTGAAGGAACATTTATCTTCTTCTTAGGAAAAAAGTTGGTTTATATATGACTTTGTCTTGGCTACTTTGTTGTCATACGTGCTTGCATGTTGAACGTTTATTGGGCGTGTTAAGACTCATTAGCCCATATGTCAAGTCAATTAGTCGTTCAACTTGGGGTTTGTAAGATAATTACCTAAATTAGGTGAGCATAATCTCCTTAATTATTGCTACCGTAATAAATAAGGACTCGAGGATTTGGATTGATTCATCGGAGGTGGCTGCTTAGGGAAGATTTTTGTCGGTACCATGACTAATCTAAAAACTAGCCAAGCAAGATCAACCACGTACCATGCTCTGAGAGATCATCACCTTAGCCAAAGGAGCCTTGCCACAAGTCATAACTTTAAGCAATGTCAAAGTCCCACATTTGAGGACTATAAGCGGTAGCCCTTTAAGAAGGCCACTCTCCACTTAAAAGGGGGCTTGATCTTTGGACCCTTTAGTCTTGAGTCTTGACCCTTGGGCCTTGGACTGTTGGGCTTTATACCTTAGGCCTTGGGCCTTTTTCCCCTTATCTTTGGGTCTAATCCCCTTGTACGAATGTAAACAAAAATTATCATAATGAGAACACTTTTCTCCTTGGACATAGCCCATCATTAGGGAGAACCACTTATACATTGTCTTTGCATGCTTATTCACTTATATTGAACGTACGAGACTGCCAAAGCCAATCTCTTGCCTTGCCTCCTGAAGGCACATACACATGCTAAAGGCCCACGTCTTCACACATCGTCCACCACTCTATATTTATCTAAGTTGAACCCCATTTTGGGAGTCAACAACTTCTATTGGGCTCATCCCTCTGAGCCTATGCAAGCCTTATCTAAGGCTCGTAAGGCAAGGAGGGCCATGTTGAGCTATATTTTCATTTAGTCTATCTTGGCAACAAGCCTTGCAAGGCCTTCCTATGTGATGTGGGCTCATGCGTAGCCACGCATTCCTTATTAACCTGTTAAAGGAAGCATCATCTGCCAACTCGTGGGCAATTAATCTTATCGCCCTCAATTAATACATGACAAGATGTATCCAACTTTCTCTGGCCTTTAACTAGGGGTAATTTAGTCCATATGGATGTCTCTCTATGAACGTGGCGTTTAGTCATTTGTGTGTGAATATCTACTCCTATATCAGTAGATATAGGAGTAGCAAATCATCCGTCGTGTAACACACATCATAATCTAGCCAAAATTACAAGCATTTTATAATCATCTTTTGCTGCTTGGACATGTGTGACACATTCGCCAACTACAAGTTAAGTTGTCAACCCGTCTCCACAACTCCTAATCATTGTGTGTATTTTAAATCTTACCCGTCTTCTTCTTTCTCCTTGTCACTTGTTCTAATCATGTAGCTTTCTGTCTGAGGCTTAGTTTCCAACCTAATTTGCTTAAGGTAAAGGAAACCCGATTTGGGGATAACATTTTTCCAGAGAATCTTCTTCTTTGAGCCCAATTTTCTCCACCAGTTCTCTATCAATCTGAACACTTTCAATCTACTTGAATTTCGAGCCATTCTCGCTTTGTGATCCTGGACACGAGATCTACAACTTGAGGTAAATCTTTATGAGTTTTTAACAGGTTTCAAAGTTTCCCCAATTTGGATTTATTAACTAATTAAGATTTAATTTTGTGAAATATAGGTATTGATTGAGGAACTTTGAAGAACCTTTTGGAGGTAAGGTTAATGTTTTTTTTTTTTTTTTTTTTTTTTTTTTTTTTTTTTGGTTAGAACCTAGATTGAAAGGTGAAAGTGGTAGAATTTTTCACATAATGAAAATTTTGAATGTGTTTATCAATTATATGGAAACTTTTGATTTCGTTGGATTATGAGGAGAATTAAATTAACTTGAGATGCTGAGCACAAAGTTTATTTGGAGATTTTATTGAATTAAATGAGTTGTTAATGTTATAAGAATTAGGATGATATGTGAAAAAGAAAAATTATTAGAGTTGAAAGATGAGTCTAAAATGAATAGTTGAATATATTTTTTTCCACTATAATAGAGGGATTATGCTTCATGGGTAGAATTGAGGACTCAAGTAATTATATTAGATGATAATTACATTCTTCTTTAAAATATTGATAAAATGTATTGACATTTATATGATTTCTTAAGTGAATATTTGGTAATTATTCTTAAAGATGATGAAAATTTATATAGCTAAACGAGAAAGTAAGCACGCATAGTTTGAATATTATTAGGTGGAGAGTTTTCTACTCTTGTTAGTGGTTTCCTGCTGTATGATGCCCCATTTATGAAGTTTGCATTGTTTTTGGTTGTTAGAGTGCATGTTATGGAAAATTCTTTTGTTTTTCTAGCATGTTGTGTGTTGTTACGATGGTGATATTTGATGACATGAGAGTGAAGAAATATGTGTAATTACCTTATGTTTCGATCCCCCAAACCTTCAAAAAGGCCCATTTGAATGAACTTCGAATAGGCTATATGTATGCAGGTAAGGGTAGTCAATTGTAACAACTTGTCTACTACTTTGTGATAATTTTGTACATGTATAGTATCATACTATGGATGCATGAAACACAAATTAACTCAACCAAATTTTTTATTATTATTGTGCATTCTTTCTCTATACTTAGTAGTTAATACTTATTTTCAAACTTAACTGCGGTGACATCTTGTGGGGAAAATAATCGTACATGATGATCAACATATGTTCTCAGGTACTACGTTGAGCAACTCTAAAATATCAAATTAAGATGATCAATTTTGAGTGTTTGTGATTTTGTCAACCCTTTTTTTAGAACTTTACTTTTGATTTTGTAAGGTTTAAAGTTAATCTACTTCTTTCCTTTTGATGATAACCATAAATTTTGTCATAAGAGGTCAACCTTAAATAACTATATGATTAAAGAAAAACATAATAAACTCATCTAATAATACTTTGTATTGATTCATAAATCATTAGAAATATCATTGAAATCTTATAAAGTACATAATTCATAATTTGAAATTAAAAGAAAAATCATCAATAAACAACTCATAACATATATATTAAGTCACAAGAATAATTATAAATAAATTGTATAGCCAAGTCTAATTTTTTAAAAAAAAAAAAAAAAAAAAAAAAAAAAAAAAAAAAAAAAAAAAAGTGGTAAATGCACTTTTATGGTTTTAAACATGGGCTAGAAGGGTCAAAGCTACGAATACAATATATGAAAGTAAAAATGCAAATATGTGTTTAAAAGGGTCAAGTGACACTCCCGAGCCTTCATTGGGTTCGTAAGTGAACTAGAGAACTTTTCACATTTGTGTTAACTTTATTTTGCTAGTTGCAATTTAGTATTTTTGAAAAGAATTTATAAATATTTTCACTCCTGAGATTTTGTAGAACATATAATTTCTTGTAATTTGTGAAGTGTGCTTTTGTTTTTGTTACTATTATGCATGTTAATGTGGGAATTTTCTTGTTTGTTCAACATAATGAATATAAACTGATGCGTAACTGAAATTTTTATCCCAGCATTCTCCATTTATGTAATTTCTTACCTTGTCTTAGTTGTCACAATTTCAATTTCCTAATATTTCTTTATTATCACTAGCCACTAGGAGTTGCAAAATGGACTACATTGTGGATTCCCTAGAGAATGCATACCAAGAGTTTGTCATTGCTGCAACTGATGTGCTCGAAGCCAAGGAAACTTCTAGTGCCCAAAACACACCAGCCATAGAAGCTGCTCTTGAGGCTTTTAAGCATAAATGGGAACTTTTCAAAGTCGCTTGTGATCAAGCTGAGGATTTTGTGGAATCCATGAAGCAAAGGATTGGTTCAGAGTTGCTAATGGATGAGGCAAGTGGCCTAGTGACAAGGAAGTCTGGGCAAATTGGACCAACTGGTCTTCCACACATTAATGGAGTTAGGTTGCAACATATGTTTAAATCAGTTCGACGACTTCTCACAGAACTTCAACATGGTTCTGTAGCTACTGAAGGTAATGGAACTCCTGCAAGTTCAACACATTCTCATCCGTCAACTCCTTTTGATGGTAGATTCTCTGAAGATTAAATGTAGTATATATGAAGGTGATTTTAACCTTATATTGAGACAAGATAATAGAATTTATTGGAGGCATTTTTCCTAAGAATAAGAAGAGATCTACCTCCTCAGTCGAATGATTTTGAAGAAAGCTTTAAGCAGTTGTAATTTCCTTATTCTTTTGCATTTGGGTTATATCCCCTTTGACATTTGTAGTGAACTTATTACTTATGCAAAAGATGGAGAAAATACAAAAACCTGTTGTGTCTTAGTTTTGTTTTTTGAGTTTTTCTAATCTTTTTTATTTCCTAAGAAAGCAAATGTGAGTAATACATGTGTCATGTCATTATGTTACGGATGTTTGGCGATCAACCTAATATTATAATCACATCAAAGCAATGTCGAAAGATACGCAACCTAAAATGTCACAATTGAAAACATAGGTAGTAACGTGCATTATGGGGGGAAATTCACAATACTTAAGTGCAAAATAATAATAATAATAATCACATTTGAGCTAAGACTAGATGTGTCAAACGGATCAGGCCGGTCCGAGCACGATCCGATTAAATAAGACCCAGCACAACATGACTCGTATCTTTAGATGGACCGGAACGAGGTAATTAGGTGTAATGGGCCGGACTAGCCCGTTTAAAGCCCATTTATTAAATTATATTTGTTATAGACAAAAATTATACATAATATTATTATATTTATATCTTAACTTCAAGTCTATTTCTTTTCTACAATAATATATATTAAAATTTAATATTTTCTTTCTATATAAAATAATAATTTTATTTTTAAAATCCCAAAATAATTTAGTCATTTTCTATATATTTTAAATAAGGGTGATTTTATTGGTACCCCATTATTTGCTCTTTGCACCTTGTACTAATTTTAAACATGAATAACTTATTTTATCATTGTACATAATTACTATAAATGACAAAAAAATTTAAATAAATAAATAAATTTGCTCACTACACCCCACGTATGTTCCTACAACTCTAGTTAGACTTTTTTCTCAAACCATCATGTTCCTACAACCCTAACGAGGTTTATACGCTTATATTGGTGAAAAAATATCTTGTATTTATTCATGAATGGTGAAACTGAAGTTAGAGAGGCTTTAAATGAGGTATGATTTTATTTTTTGGCGTTTTTCAAATTTAGGATTTCATTATGGTCATTGGTTGCGTTCAGCACACCAGTACCAAATGCGATAGGTAAATTCAGTGGGATGCCACTGAAATATTGTACCTATTTCGGTTGTGTTTGACCAGTCGTTAACTTAAGGTGCGGTGGAGATCCACCGTAACATGGAACGATGTTCGGTGGTGTATTACCAAATTTTTACCTACAATTCAGTGGCAACGAACCGAAATATATTTATTTTTAGTAATTTATTGTCGATCACGAATTTAAAGTAAACTATTTTGACCTTACTCCCATTTAAGGAACAAAAACAAGGTGACGCCAAAATAGATGACACATCATCCAATGTGATGGTCATCTCACCAAAAGGCATGTCAAATATGTTCATTTTGAGATGCCACCTTTCAACGAAGGTAGATACAACAATCTTATCTGCATTCCAATAAGAGCACCTAATAAGTTGCTCTATTCCAAACTTCTAAATGTACCATTTGAATATACTATTATTTGGATTAGCCCACCAATTCCACTCATGAAGAGTAGATGCCTTTGACATGCACCTAAGGGGCTCACGTTCCTAGTCAAATACAAAAAACTATTTAAGTTAATTACCATGAACTATACTTATATTCTGCTTTCTATTGTTACAGTAAAACGACTTACCTGGTTATTCCAAATTGCAGCTGCTATGTGAGTTTTAAAACTCGTAAGTAAAGATGGATCAATGGGACTTACTCGAGATGGCTCAGTAGGCTTGACATCTACCTCAACATTACTATCATGAGTAGCAGCTACATCTTCAACCTCTGTAGTATCCTCAAAGTGGTTTAGGGGTTCATGTTGGGGCTGGTCCTCTTGAGGGGCTAACCTCGCCGCTTTATGTCTCCTCGTTGAGGTTGTGAGACATTGTCTATCACGTCGAGATGATGAAGCCTTAGTAGTATCTCTACGAGTCCTTTTCATATCTAAAAAACAATATTAAGTACAAACTCAGTAACGAATTTGGAAGACGATCATTGAAACAAGAAACGAATTTAGTAGATTACCATTGAAAAACGGAAACAAATTCTATGGAGTACCGCTAACAAATTGAAACAGATTTGGTGGACTACCACTGAAAAACGGAAACACATTAGGTGGACAGCCACTGAAAAACGGAAACAAATTCGCTGGACTACCATGGAAACAAGGTAACGATTTCGTTGGGCTTTACACAAGTAAGTTAAGGAATGAGGTTCATGAGGGCAATTGAGGAAGAAAAATTAGGTGTAGTGACTAATTTTAAATTTTACTAAAATTCAGTAGGGTGTAAAGAGAATGTGGGATGCAAAGAGCAAATTTTGGGGTGCCAATAAAATCACCCTTTTACAAATAATAAATATATATAACTGAAACAAATTATTTATAAAAAAAAATGCAATACATAAGACAAATTAGCATAGGCCTAAATTGGCCATTTAGTGGCCTAATAGGAGGTCTGCCCAATCTCAAATGGGCTAAGACCGTGAACTTGGACCAGAATTGATGGTTTTTCTAAATAAGAGGTCCATCAAGACTCATTTATTAAATAATTAACTACATTTTAGTCCCTAGAGGTTTAGTGTCAATATCGAAATGGGCCACAAGGTTTCATTTAAATCAATTTCATACCCAACATTTCGAAGTATTACCAATTTACACCCGCCGTTATATTGACCGTCAAAGTCAAACGTTAAATGCTGACGTGGCAATCGTGTGACCCACCTCATAACCAAACAACAGTTAGAAAGAGACGAGATGAAGGGCAATTTCGGAAAGAAAAAAAAACCAACGTTCACCTTCTCTTTCTAACGCACACGTTCCAAGGTGTGCTTCGATTACCTAGGCTTGAAAAATCAAAGAAACTCAATTTATGAGTTTTGTCCGTGTTTTGGTGAGCAAAGATAAAAAAGGAGCAAGAAAAAAAATGGAGAGGAAACTGACGAAGAAGATCTGATTGGCTGGCTGGAATAGATGAAGAGGTGCCGATGTGTTGGTGAGGAAAGGCTGCAACAATTCGAACCTCTTGGACAGATTCAAATCTTGGGAGGCGATTTTCCATGTGTGCAGCAAAGGTGTGTGATATTAAGAAGGGTTTTAAGGGTTGTCAATTCTGGGCATGATTTGATCCGGTCATGTGTGAACAGTCAAAGGCAGTGATTCCTGGGCTTCTAAAATCATGGAATAGGCTAGACAAATCAGTGGCAAAGGCAAGACAAAGAGAAAAGGTCGTTTGGGTGTTGTTGGTGGCTTCGTGGGTTCTATTTGCAAGCATCATTTTGGGAGGGATGTGTGGATGTGGAGTGAACAAAAAAAGGAGCTTGGAATTAGCTTTTGCCATTAAATGAATTGTTTGTGGGTTGTTTTTGTGATTCTGTGATTCTGTAAGTGTTGGGTTGTTAGTGACATTTTGTAATGGTTTAATTGTTATGTAAGGGTTTAAGGTTTAAGGGTTAAAGGTTATCAGGTAAGGGTTAAGGGCTTAATTGCTGACTTTTTGTAACTTGATGAAGTGAATGGAATGGCAAAATTTGTAGAGAATTACATCTAAATGAAGTGAATGGCCATCATAAAGAGTATGCAAATGCAGTGAATGCCCATCTAAATCTATGTGGTAGTCAAATTATGCAAAAGAATGGCAAAAACAGTGTAAAAATAAGTTAGAAAATTAGCCCAAATCAATCAAGTGAACGGCCAATGATGCTTCCCAAGTGCTAGTCATCTTATGCAAAGGAATGCCAAAAACAATGTAGCAGGGAAGTTAGAAAAATGGATGCACCTGGAACAATCAAGTGAATGGCCAAAATAATGAAGTAAAGTGCCAACCCAAAAACTCAGAAAATTATGCATTCAAAATGGGCTCAAAATAGCCAGATAATAACATTTGCATATCGTACATATTTCATGTCCATTCAAATTTATTCTAAAATGGCAGTTTTAGTGGATGTATTTGCATTCATAGTGGTTGAGGCTTATGTGAATGCCATTACATCCATAAATTTTTTTTTAAAAAAAGTCAGTACTTAAGTTATACAGGACCAATTTATCAAAAACAAAAACCTCATAATCACAAACTGCGAGTCTCACAAAAAAAGGTGAGTCATCAAATTCCTTTTTCAATCAGCTTCTACAACATTTGATCCAACAGTTGAAACATAAGTTGATGCATAAGGACATGAAGTTGAGGTTGGTTGTGCTTTAGAAGTGGCATGTCCTTTCTTACTTGGTTTTGGCTGCAAAATGTTTAGGATGTTAACCTTTTATTTGGAAATTTAAGAAAATTGATAATAACCATCATGAAGAGAAGTTACTTACCAGAGGCTTCCCTTTTTGCACACGCCTTGGAGGCTTGCATCTTTTCTTTAGGGTGCTTGGACCACCAACTAGAGTGGATGCATAAGATGAATCAATAATGGTCTACAACATAAAAATGCTTGTCAGTTAGCAACAAAAGCTTAGGGTTATTAAGGGATAGAATTGAACAAGATTGAGTTGCTATACCTGGGTATTTTCAGTACCCCTATTCGTCTTACTTGCAGGTTTGGCTTTTGGGGAAGATTCCAAGTCCTCTTATTGTGCCTCTTTTTACCATATTACCTACATTTGATAGAGTCATGTGTGTTGGGAACGCTAGACAATGCAATTTCAGCTTGGTTGCTTGACACTCTCATCTTCATTTTGCCCTTATGCTCTCCCTCTTCTTCGTTTCTACATTTTCTTGGCCTTCCAGGCTGTTTAGAGTAAGACGAAGGAAGACATGGCAGAAAGTCACTCTTATCTTACATATCCATCCCATTCATAGGCAGTATGAGATTATCATATGTCTTCAAGTAAGTTGTTGTCAAATAGTAGTCATCTACAAAATCTATGACATTAAGACCCCCTTTATAATTTATGGCTGCAATAGCATGAACACAATGCCATTTCTGCAAATCCCAAGCTCTACGAGAACAAGTCCTCAATTCTAAGTCCACAATATATTGTGCATGGCCACCAGCTGACACTTGGAATTTACCTCCACCTGACCACATTGCCACGCAAGCACCTGCCTTGGCTTTATTTCCCTCCACCTTCTTAAATATTCTTGGGCAAATAGGCCTATTCCATTTCAGCATTTTTTCCCTTCTTCCTTGTATTCTCCTCATCAGCTTACATCTAATAAACTCAAACATTGACAGAATTGGTCTATCCCTACATTCCAATATGGTAGCATTGAAAGACTCTCTCAGATTATTCAACAAACTTCAAATGAGTGTTGAAGTGTGACTTGGACCAATGCCTTGGAGGTTTATCTAGAGTGGTTAGCCATTCATATGCATCATTGGACAGTTTTTTCAAGTCTTCCATCACCCTTGTAAAGTGGGGGACAGTGGTTGCATATGATGTTTCCCAAAACTTGTCTCTCAGGCTTTTTGCTTTGAACAATATCCTATAGTTGGAAAACATGTGTCTTGCACATAACCTGTGGTCGTAATTAGAGACCACTTGCTCAAAAGCAGGCAGTAAACCTTTTTGTTTGTCGGATATAAAGGTGAAGCCAAATTGATTAACAATTTCACAATCCTTAACCAATAGCTCCAGAAACCAAATCTAAGAATCCTTGCACTCTGATTCCACAACTACATACTCAATTACCTAGGTTTTATTGTTGGCATCTATACCCACAGTAGTTAACAGTTGCCTTGCATAAACACTCTTCAAAAAGCACCCATCTAAACCTATAATAGGCATGTACCCAGCTTTGAAGCCTTCCTTAGCAGCTCCTAAACAAACATACAACCTTTGAAACTTTGGTTGCCCCAATTGTTGTTGGAAATCACACTTAACCATTGTTGTGGTTCCTGGGTTACTCTTACTAAATTTCTCACAATAATCTCAAATTCTTGAATATTGTTCATTGAAACTGCACTCAATCAGCTTTAGTGCCTATCCTTTGCCCTATACACTTGTTGTCTTGACACCTCTGTATTATAATCCTTCTTAACAGTCTGCTTGAATGACCTAACTGGTCACTGGGGATTGGACTTCAATGTCTCAATATATTTCTTGCTTATCCATGTTGACTTCATAGTAGGGTTCTCCCATAACTATGTACATATGTGCTCACCTACATATGTCTTCACTTACAATGTGTTCTCATGTTGCATTTTTGAAGCATATATCATCCACCCACAATCTGAGTCCCCACAAACTGCCTTCAGCTTCAAAGCCTCATTCCTAATAAACACAACATCCCTATTCTGCAAGATGGAGTATTCTCTGACAGCAGCCCTAAACACCTTACAATCAGTAAACAACATGCCAATCTCAAACTTTGGATCTTCCATGTCAGCTGCAGCATTGAACTTTGGCCAATTCTTATCAAGTTCCTTGTCATAATTATACTTGGCATAATCCTTGCACTCACAATTTTCAGAATCTAATTCAAAGTCTGTAGGCCAATCAGGAGCAGCCTCATTCTTAGTTTGTTTAACCCTTGTCCATTCAATTCGGTCATCCACCCATTCATAAAAAATAAAAAAAACATCATCTTCATCTTCATCTTCACTAAAGTTCTTGTGAATCATATAATCTGAATCTTCACTATTAGAAGCATCATCATCTTCATCTTCAAAGTCTGCAACATTTGCAAATCTTCTTCCACTTCTCAACATCATAGAATGTCTTTTGGACTCGGTCTTGACGACATCAACGCTTCCTTCAACAACTTTGTCTTTGTGGTGAACATTCTTTGTCCTCCTCAAACTGCCGCATCTATTTGCACCAAAAGCACACTTTGCCCTATGTGACATGTCTTTATCCTTGCCTTTGCCTTTATCAAAACAACCCTTATTTGGCTTTTCTTGGCCCTCGTCAGAATTCTCCTCGTTATTCACAGTGGCAGATTCTTTGCCTTGTTTAGAAGCTTCATCAGTCAACCCTACTTGATTCAACCCTTCTTAATTCAACTCTTCTATTACAACACTCAATTTTTTTTCACCTTTTGCACCTAGGATACTCCCCCACCCACTGGAACAATGGCACCATAATTGTCATCAAGCTCTTCAATCACTACCCTAATGTTGGCCCCAAAATCATCATCCAAATTTATAAATATGTTTGAAGCCACTTGACTGTAAAACTGCTCTTGACTGCATGTCAAGACATGTTCTAGGAATATATTTATCAACCTAGTGTCTGACACAAATTCTGCATCCTCACTTAGCTTAACTAGGCCACTATCAAAATTATCACCTAGAATACTGTACCAGTAGTTAATCAAACCTTCGTGCCCAAACTCCTTTACCATGGCATCTATCTTAGTCGTTGACATTCTATCCTAATCACAATAATCGAACCAATCAACAAACCCATTCACATAATAGTTACCTCTTATTTCACCATTGTGGTACATCTGAATAGAAAATCCTGCCTCATCCCCTACATGTCAAAAGCCACACATGAATTTTACCAAACAAAAATACATAAAAGGCTATTTAAAAATACACACATACAAATACAAATACAGACAGACACATACGCATACACACATACAAGTACAAACTTTCTATGTCAGTACACACATACACAAAAGGTAAGATTCCCGGTGGTTGTAGGACCACATACAAAAGCCAAAGTTTACTTCCGCATACCACCTACCATTCACACCATTCCATCTACCAATTAAGTAGACATAGTGATACCGACACCTAACTCGAAACTCACAATCCATTATAAAAACCAAACTTTCACTCAACCCCAAACTCGAAACTGAGACTCTCTATTTGAAAGTTTTACTCGAAAACATCACCTGCCAAAAACATTAGAATAGTAAGTCATACGTACCGTAGAAAGGTTCTCCATATCCTTTGGGACGAAGTTCCCAACTCATATTCTTCAGATCTTTCAGAAACCGCCGTTTCAGTTTGATTTTTGCAGTCTATTTCAAATCTTTGCTCTCCAAAACACGAACAAACCCTCTCCTCTATGTCTCTCTTAGTACACAAACAAAACTCAGAAACTGAGTTTCTTTGATTTTTCCAAGCATGGGTAATCAAAGCACGCCTTGGAATGCATGCATTGGAAGAGAAAAGGCGAACGTTGGTTTTTTATTTAGGGGCGGCCATACTTGTTCAATTTATCTCTCTCAACTTGGATCCCATGAGGCGGGCCTTGGAAAGTTTTAACATAAGCAGTAGGGATTCGCAAATCCTCCAGACGTAGAGCGCGCAGGGCCTTGAACCTAAACACATTACCTACAATGGAAGTAAACATGTTAGTAACAGAACCCTCTTCAAAAAGGGTGGTGCTAGAGGCACCAACTTTGGGCACCAACTCTCTAATAGAGGTGGGGTCTGCCAATACACTGGGGCCCACGCTCTATTAGAGAGTTGGTGCCCAAAGTTGGTGCCTCTAGCATTTTCCTTTTCGAAATTGCCCTTTGTCTCGTCTCTTTGTTTGGTTATAAGGTGGGTCCTACGACTGCCACGTCAGCATTTAACGTTTGACTTTGACAATCAATGTAATAAAACATTGATTTAAATATTGGGTATGAAATTGATTTAAATAAAACATTGAGGCTCATTTCGATACTGACACTAAATCTCTAAGGACTAAAGTATAGTTAATCATTTATTAAATGGACCATACTGGCCGACACATCCCATTTGACACCTCTAGCTAGGTGAAAAAGCCCATTTGGCCGAAAAGAAGAACGAAAAAATATCTCAATGACCAGACCCAACCAAACCGTTTGTGTATTTTCTCAGCTCTGGGTTCTCACTCTCGGGTCCTGAGACTTCATTCACGTTCAAGGTCAGAGAAATGGAAGCTTCTTCTCCTTGTCCTAGAAGAAGTGCTACCTCTTCTCAGGTTCCTTCTTTGCCTAAACACGCTGACATCTCCAAAGACCAATTGAGCTTTCTGAACCAACAATTCCGAACCCAAGAAGATGTTCTTAATAAAGCTCCTCATCTTTTAACAGCCCTCAACTCTCACTGCTCTGATTTGACTTCTCATCTGCTAGATTTCCAAACAACTCTCAACGGACGCACCGTTTCATGGATTTGCCGCTCTTTTTCAGCCAAAACCGCCCTCCACAATCTCAACCTCAGCCTTCAGAATCTGAGCCTGCTCACTTCCCAACGTTCGTATACTCGTTATCTCCATCTGGGTTTTCGCAGTTTCATTATCTTCCTTGTTTTTCTACTTTTTTTCTGAAATTTGGGTCTTCTTTTTTTATCTTTTGGGTTTTGTAGGTGGGAGTGCTTCGAAGAAGTTGCATAGAGTTTTAGGTACGGAACTGCCTCGACTTGCTAAGGAAGTGCTGCGAATTGAGACCATCCGCAGTTATCTTGGTGAGTTAGGAACTCACTATTTTGTTTTATACGTTTTTTCGATTTGTTTGAATTCATGGAAAATTTACCATTTTTGTCAAATGAAGCTTTATGACTATAACCATTACCAAATCCAATTCTAGCTGTTGTATGCGAAACGTGGGTTAGGACAGTGAGAGCCCGCCCCCTTGCACTCAAGTTCGAGTCCCCCTCCCTGTAGATTAGATTAATTTAGAAACTATTACTTGTATAAAAAAAATTAAATAACCTACCATTTCAGTGCTACTTTATTGAATTAACTAAACCAATGTTTAAAGCTATTATTCACATTCCATAATGTTCGTTTGAAGTATGTAATTTGTCAATCATGGTTGAGGATATTTTGACAAAGCAATGCAAAAAGGGAGAGTGTAGTAGATTAATAATGTGACTCAACTGTGCGATTGTTTAAATTAATTGTTTGAGGTGGCTGCAAATTATAGCTCATCTATGTCTTTCCTTATGGAACTACGTTTATTCTTATGAATTTCCCTGTACTCTTTTGCTACTTTTAGGGCCACAAAATGCTTAAGGGTTCATAGCTCAAATGTAGCAGATATGATGTCCCTGGTAAATTTCATTCAGTGACCTATCCAAAACTAGCTTGAACATTTCCTGCAAAGATTGAAGAATAAAAGACTCTGATTTTTTCAATTATATTTATTTATTTAATAACTCTGTAGTCATTGCTATCTGCATTCTCCAGAAATAATTGCAGTTTACCCTATTACCATGATTTGCATTACGGGGCTTATTATCATATTACGATGGTTTTCTTTGTACACATCACTTCATCACTTATCTAGTTACATACAATAATTCTTTAAATCACATAATATATTCTACAAACCTTACCATATAATATTTGATCTTCTAAAAATGGGACTGCATAAATGGAAGGGTAATTTTTTTTGTCTTGGCCTACCTTGATTTTTGTCCCTTCAATTCATTCTTGTGTTTTATGGTCACGATGTTTACAACTAAATCCAAATCTCATTTGTTTTATTGCTGTCATTATTTTTTGAACTTTGTGTTTTTCCCAAAATGCTTGATATTGAACCTAACCTAATTTGTTATGATGCTGACATTGTTTTCCAACTTGTGTTTTCTTCAAAATGCTTGTGGTATTGAACTCCCACATAGTGATGTTACTGCATTATTTTCTGATTTTCAATTCTCTTTTGTATGTTTTTTAATCTGTGATGTATGTGTATATTTTGTTTTCCCTTGGAATCCATAAGTTGTATATTTCACTGCTGGATGCTTGTCATGCCTGTCATGTTTGATATTGTTTTCAGTAATTGTCCTTACTCTTTTCTTGTTCAAGTTGTTTACTATTAGCAATTTGTTTGAGGCCTATGCTTTGTTAACCTATTTGCCGATGTTTATTCAATACTGTCTGTGCTCTCTCTCTCTCTCTCTCTTCATATCGTAGAGAGTCTCAAGCTAAACTACCTCTTATTATTTCAGAGACTACTCTGCAGTTAGAAGCTCTGGTTGGAGATTTAGAAGATGCAGTTCTCTGTTTTGTGAATAGCCACAGTGGAAAAATGTTCTCTGCAAATCCATCAGTAGCTACTGGAACAATTTTGCTATTTTTTTTCTTATATTTCAATGCATATTTGAATGGTGGATGAATTGACAAGGGTCAATTAATCATTACCGTATTTCTGAAATGCAGGACTCTGGAACAAAGCAGGAAAAGTTTCTTCAAGCCATAAAAGCGTTGAATGATTTAGAAGTATTGATTGATCTTCTGAAACTTCGACCACAATGGCATCGTCTTCTGAAATCTGTGGATACTAGGGTGGATAAAAGTTTGGTTATTCTTCGCCGACAAGTTTTTGCAGATCATAGAGCTCTTCTCACTTCTCTTGGATGGCCACCAAAACTTTCCACATCGCAAATTGAAAGAGAAAAATTCTCAGGCCTTCCAAACCCATTAGTTTTAATGCAGGGAGATAAAAGAAAGAGTTATTCAAATAGCTTTCTTGCTCTTTGTGCTGTACAGCATCTACAAACAAGGAGGGAAAAACGACAGCTCAATCTCTTAGGACAAAATGTGTGCAAGGAACAGCTTTGGGCCATTGATGAGCTGGTGTCTCCTATTGCATCACGGTTGGAATACCATTTTTCAAAGTGGGTTGATCAACCTGAACTTATATTCGCTCTTGCATACAAAACTACAAGGGATTTTATTGTAGGAGTGGATGATGTCTTGCAGCCCCTGATTGACAGAGCAAGATTGGGAAGCTATAGTGCTAAAGAAGCTTGGGTTTATGCCATGGTGCAACTGCTTTCTGAATTTTTGGAGAAAAGAATATTCTCTGCTCTTGCTGAAAGATACAAGGAGAAAGAAATAAAATCTGAAGTTATAGAGTCATGGCTTCATCTCATTGACCTCACTGTTGTATTTGATAAACAATTACGGTCACTTGGAAGTTCGGAAATCAATCTATTTCTGGGAGAGTCAGAAAGGGTGGGAAGTCCCTCAGGAAGCATTTCAGTGTTGATGCTGTTTTGTAGAAGGCCAGATTGGCTCAAGATTTGGGCAAAGATAGAGCTTGAAAATGGTTGTAAGAAACTCAAAACAGATTTGAAACATGAAAGGGCGTGGTTAGTTGATGATAAATATCAAGATGAGTTGCATTTTGATACAAAATCAGAGCACTTTCTTCTTTCGACTAGAATAGATTATAGAGCTCCATTAATTGCAGAATCTGCGCTTGGAATCACATGGGAAATGGTTGAAAGATGCCAAACTATGCCTGCCACTTCAGCACGTATACAATTTGTTAGGTCAGCTGCTGTCAGATTCCTCTGGTACTTTTTTAAAGTGCTGCTTTTACAGTGCAAGAGAACTGAAATTCTTCCAGACAATCCTGATGATGATGCCTTAGTTAGAGTCTCTGGATCAATTAATGCTGCCAAATATGTCGAATCCAAACTTCGCCAGTGGAGTGATGACGTGAACTTCTTGGAGATGAAAGTTGCTGAAAATGATACCAGTGGCCTGGGCAAAGATGAGAGTACTGATTTCAGTTTTTTTGGAGAAGAAATAAAAATATTGGCCGAGCTTGCAACCAACTGGTTGATGGAGATAATTTCTGTTCTTCTTCGTCAGTTCGAAACTCTTTCAAGGGCATTTGTGCAAAAGTTGAAACATGACGAGCAGCGGCTAGAAGGTTCAACTCATGTGGAAGTATCAGCGGCCATGGATTTAAGTATATCAGTTGAGTTTATCGAACCGTTGGATGTTTTGAGAAGTCATCTTGTTCTTTTGAGAATGAGTCTCAATCCCAAAGACTTCTTAGATCTATGGAGATGTGTTGCTGAAGGGCTTGACCATTTCATATCACGTAGTGGTATTCAATCTCTTGACAATGTGAGCAGTCAGTTTGAAACTGATATGCAAGCTTTGTTTTCTGTTTTCCAGCCTTTCTGTGTTCGGCCGGACGCATTTTTCCCTTGTACTAGAGAGACTTTAAAGCTATTGAAAATGAACAAGGGAAGAAGGTGAAGCATTTGCAGGTATTTCTTTTTAAGTCTTAGAATGGTGACAATGGAACAAAATTCTCGCATCGATCTGGAGTTGTGCAGTTATCTTTTATGAAAGTGGTATTTTTATTGAAAGAAAATTGCATGAAACGGAAAAAAAATTGAAAGCCACTTGTTTCATAATAATTCACAACTTGAAAATTATGAAAGACGATAGGAAAGTTGGGCGAAATATTGAAAAGATTAAACTTTGTTAAGACTACATGCAATTTTTTTCAACTAAAGCCTCAACTTAGTGCTACATTGTGGTGACAAGTTTTGCTGCGGCTTTATTATCCTTTTGATTACAAGAATAGCTGAGGATGAGGAGCAGTAAAAGATATGTGCCAAAACTATATATAAATTTTGAAATCTATATCTAAGCTGCATCCGTATGAGGCTGTAAACACCCAACGCAGTATAAAATTTGGTCATAGTCATTCCAATTGAAAAATGGTTTGGTATATTCTTAATGGAGAATATCTCAAGTAAATATCATGATATAATATTAGTTTTTCGACAGATAATTGGTGGGGTTGTGCAACTCTTGAGCCTTTTGCCATTAGGCCTCTTGGCCCTGATATGTTCTGTCAAACTAGGCTTATTTTGCCCCAAATGCTCTTATTGTACTTGCACTACAAAAAAAAATGGCAACAATATTTGGTGATATTTGGTGACTCTTTGTGGGGGTTACTAAAGGCTTCAGTCACTAAATAAAGCAAAAAAGGTGACTAAAAGGCTTTTTAGTCACCAAAAAAGTCAAAAAAGGAGACTAATGCATTTTGTCACAGCCACAAATAATGGTAACTGTTGCCACTTTTTTTACTAGTGTTGCTTGGTTGAATGAAACTCTTTAGCACTTATTCAAGGGCTTTACCGCAATTTGAAATCCTCATCAAGGTTTTCCTAGGCTTTTAGCATTGAATTTGTAATCCTCCGGAAATGGAGGTGTAGTTATCTTTTCAATGCTCAGTTCACAGTTGCTTCATGGCCACAAAACATTATAATTCAATATGCTTGAGATTGGTTTGATGCTAAAAAGTAACAAGAGATTGGTGTTGCAGAATGATTCATGTTTACGCGGAACAAAAGGGTTAATACACACCTCAAGGAGTTATGTGAAAACACGAAAAACTATAGTGGCGTTGGTATAATTAAACTCGAGAATAAAATGTAGTTACAAACCAATTAAGCCAAGATGAGTCATACGTTGTGTGCAAATATTGCCACCAAATCAAAATCACCAAAAGATGGTTCATAAGTTGGACTTGGGGATCACAGTCATGGACTCTCCTCCCTCCCCAATTGTAGGGCTTATGGCTGATGCACAGCACCAGTACGCAACTGTTAGGAAACAGAACTCTAGAGGAAGGATCAAATAGGGTAATCTCAAGGCAGGGAAAAAAAAAGATATATTTAGTTATATACCTATTCTTAGCATTAAAACTATAAATAAACCCTACACTATTTAATTTCTATAAAAAAAACCCAAAAATTAACAGCTGACCCTATTGAATTTAATTTCGATTATTAAATTACTTTAATTCCCTATTGAGTGTTTTGGGCTTTTTTATGAGGTTTTGGGTTGGATTTGTTTTAAGAAATCAATAATAGTTTTGTAATTTAAAAGAAGTTAAAAGTCTTTTTGTTTTGTTATAAATAGGCTTTGAATGTGTTTCTAAAATCCATTTCATATAGAATTTTTTTATAATTTGAGCTCCTATCTTGGGTATAATAGTAAATCTCCCAAAAAAAAAACTAAATAGTGAATCTCCCAAAAATAAAACCAAATTATGAATAAACTTAAATGCATGAATAAATAAGAAAGACTTGAATGGCTTCCATCTCCGTACTGAATTGCTTGCACCTTTTTAACCTAGATAAAAGAAGAAAAGGAAATTGTGGACATTAAACCCATCATTTCTTAGGGATTGTGAAGTATATGCATTCTAGAGAGCCAGAAAATTCGCTACTGAAAATTAGATTACATTTTCAAAGATACTTTTACACATCACATATTAAGATTACTGATGTTTCAACTGGGGTAAGTTTCCTATACAGTTTCTGTCTCTGCTCAATATATTCTATTCAACAATATGATTAAGTGCATTTGGTATCCACTGTTGTATATCATTGTACAGGGAATGATACATTTGCTTGCCGCAACTCCAAATTTGCAGAATCTACAACCCCATGGAGACAAAAAGGAATTTGCACTTCCAAAAAAGAGTGCTGCCCCTACTTCTTAAGAAGAGTGATGATCTCCAGGAGGCCAAGCCTTTTCCCATACTGGATAGCCAGCCAACTCATAAAAGAGATGTATGCCACAAGAAAACAAGTGCGCCTGAAGCGGATCATATAGAGAGGAAGCACTCTTGCAGCAAAAAGTTGAGGCAACCGAGATTTCATTTGTTGCAGGAGGCTAATAAAGCTTATGGAGATTAATGAAGTCGAAAAACCAGCAATAACTCCAGCTATGGTTTCCCACCTCCAAAACCCAGCTCGTTCCTGGCCGACAAACCAGGAGTGTAAAATCTTCGTCGCACTGAAAAGTAGATGCATTACTAAGACCGTACTACAAGAGCAAACATAAAACATATCTAGATTGAGACTTTATTTAAATGCAACTCAAGTACTCGACCTTTGTTAAACAGAGAGAAATTCTCTCATAAATATAAAAATGATACCTCAACCAAGAGAGAATTATTGGACTAGTTATGATTATTTCCTACTGGAGAGAAATGCCTGAAGCTTATGAAAATAATGTGAAAAGCTTATGAAAATAACATACATGCTAGAGATTATGGAAAAGCTGGAATAGACGTGCCACTAAAAGGATAAACTGGCTACTCATCGAAAACATGTAAATGTAGTAGGGTGACATGGGAAGAAGAGAATGGGATGAGACTTAAAGCACTTTTGTGAGAAACAACCATGATAAGAAAGAGTACATGCACTATATGACAAAGACAGTGATGGCAGTCGTGTACTGTCTCTTTCTCTGCATTACAACACGGATACTTCCTCCTTTCCTTCAATAGTTCCTTTTATGGAACTAGCATTCTTGTGCCAATGTAGTAGTGTGAGCAGAAGTTCTGCAAGAAGACACTGGTAGCAATGACCTCCGAAGAGGAATTGGGGAAGAATGGCAGTTTCTGCCATTTTGTGTTATTTCCATACTCCCCAATTGAGGAAGAATTCAAGCTGATGTAGGACATGGGTGAATTGAGAATTTAGGTAGTTTAGCGGATGCAAAAACAATGGAAAACATAAAATAGAACGAACAAGGATAGGTCTGGAATCACTCCAGGGGTTTGGCTTCACACCAAGTAGTCCCCAATCTCTGGAAAATAAACTTTTCTTTATATCTCTACAACTCAACTCCATAATGAATTATATGAGAGGGGTATTTATAGCAAACTAAAACCTAGAGATAATAGGTTAAAAAATCCCTTGCTAAAACAGAAATTCTAACCTAAATAAAATAGGAAACTTATCAATCCTACTAAAATCTGGAAAACTTAAAAATCTTACTAAAATCTGGAAAACTTAGAGAACAAGTTAGAAACTAATCGCAGGAATAAAAAATTGCCAGATTTAAAGACCAAATTAAATGACTTCCTCTTCCATCTCCTTCTTTTGTAAACCCTAATGGGTTTGACAAAGATGTCCTCACCACAAGCTCTCACGTACAAATGTCCTAAGCATCATCTCCAAGCATTTATTTTGATATGAAAGATGTCGTTCGTACGTGTATAAATCCATGCAATTATACGCATAAATCACATTCACTTATTATGGAATGAAACCAAGTACCTAATCATGCAAACAGATGACTACAGTCACAGACAAAATTAATCAGTGCCCTGATCATACTATCACTACGAGCAGAAACAAGCACAACCAATACAAGATTCATACATCTTGTTTGGTAATGACTGCAAGCAAACTCGCATGGAGATTGTTAGTTGATAACTATTCTTTACAATATGCCACACTACACAGAGATGATGAAGATAGTAAATCCCTTTTCTTTTTCGAAAAGAAACATGAATTTCTAGGAGCTATTAGGGGCACTCCAAAAAATTCATCACGCACTCCTCCTTTGTAAAAATTTTGGGAGTGCAGGATGACTTTTTTGGAGTGCCAATAATAGTTCCCTCTTTATATAAAGAAAATAATACAGTAAATCACAGCAGACAAGGTGGACAAGTAGTCAACAAAAATCAAATAAAATAAAAAGAATCCAAAAAAGAAGAAAAACAGAAGAATTCTCACTACAAACAGAACCTCAACCAAAAATACACTATTAACTTACTATTTCTTTCCGAGCTCCAATTATAAAAGAAAGCAGCATATCCCGAAATGCAGATGAAACGGAAACCCAAAGTGAAGACAAAAGTCTACCTCTACCCAAAAAACACCTCAGCCCAACCCACATGATTCTAAAAGATCCAGTTAGTCCTCTCCAACCAAATAACCGAAAAATTGCTAAGACACAGAAACTCCATAACTCTATTGGCTGTTTTCCTAACAAACACATTCTGCCTTTCACAAACGAGAGAAAATCAACCGGCCGGAAATACCCAACATATATGCATTTCTCTGAACCTGAACCAAAAATTTAAAGTTACAGGACAGTGAAGAAAAAGATGATCTGCACTTTTACCCTTTCCTTTGGGACATAATGCACCAAATGGAAGAAAGAAAAGTACTCTTTGGATCAAAGCACAGGTATTAGCCTTCCCACGAGCAATTATCCAAGCAAAAAATTGCACCTTAGGAGGTACTGTACTCTTCCAAATAAAAGAAGAGGTAAAGTGGGAAGAGATGAATTAACACAACTCTCTAAAGTATGATTCGCATGAAAAACCACACTTACTAGAATCCGACCTAGCAGCTTTAAAAAAGAAAAATTACCATTCTCCAATAAAGACAACCTAGAAGTAAGCTCTACATTTTCCAGTTTGTTTAAATTTTTCTTAAGTATAATAAACCGCTAAGAACTCTATGTGGTATCCATTGCTTGTCTAATTCACTATGCAAAGTATAAAGCGTAAACAATTGTTTAAAATTAGTATATTGAAAATTTTAAATATATTCAGTCCAATTCCATTGAGCATTGAATAGTTTTAACTCAATGGAATAGTTTTAAGTAGCAATGTCTCTCACCACGCACTGTATTTGACCTAGATAATACAAATCTATAATACACCTATGTTTTTCTTTCTTTTTAATCAAATGGTAGATGGTTAAATCTCTTGAAGTTTCATTCAAAATTTTCATATTTTTCTCTTATTTTCATTGTTTCTCTTGTGTGCTGTTATCAATGTTTCCATCTTTTGGGACCCGATATGTGCATCTATGCCAATATTGTTCCCTTGCGTATGAGATAAGTTATTTATCTATAAGAGTATCCTAATGTGTTCATAAGATTAAGTGAAGAAATCCATAAAGACACAGCACACCTGATTAGATAAAAGGAAAAACAAAAAGAGAAAAAGGAGTCAGTTTGCTCACAGGATGAAATATCTTCTAATCATCTCAAAGGTAGACGGATCTTTAGCTTGGCAACTGAAGAAACCATCATGATATAAGCTTACTTTGGAAATGCCATATGTGTACCAACAGTCATAAGTTTCATTGACCTGAGCAAACAAAGGTGAGAAATTGAAAATTGTCTATCAAGGAGTTACGGACAATGATGTTTCCTCATAGTAAACTTAATATCATATAAATATCAAATTTTACCAAAGTGCAATAATAATTACAACCCTGAACCACACCATAATTAAAAACTTCGCAACTTACCTTGAACTTATCTTTGGTCAACCATGCAGCACCAAAATTAGGTCTGCAATCAAGAGGAAGGGCCTCATTTGGAGCCTCAGCCAATGCAAGCTGAGTCTGACCAGAAGACTGATCTTTGTATTCCACCTGCAAACAGGAAAGATTAATATTTGACTGAAGAGACCCATATAATTAGAGTTAACATTACGTGTTTTAACTCTTGTCAAGTTAATCATCATAGCATGACTTTAAAGCAGAATTTCGTCAACTGAAACAACTGTGGCACTACCAGCTCACCCATAAAGCCCGCATACCAACTATCTTTTTCAGCCAAGAAGGCTTCAAAAATGGCATTTGACCACCCCACAAGGAATCTTTCATACAATCTTTTGGTTCATAGATGAACCTCAAATTTGAAAAACTAAAAAAAAAAAAAAAAAAAAAAAAAAAAAAAAAACAATAGACATGCACTCTACTCCAAACCTCCAATAAAATAAATTTCTAATTACAAATTGCGTGTAAAGGTACGATCCAGAAATTGCTAATATTAGTTGCATATAATACAACAATATGATAATATATACAATTTGAGAGTAAGGTAGGCTAACCTTAAAAACTGAAGCCCAATAGTAATCATAACGACATCGAAATCTTCTTCCTTCAAAAGGATAAAACACATGCTTGGCTTTGTAATTGAACAGTCCAAGCTCACACACCTTAGATGACTTAAGATCAACATCTGTAAAAAGGAAGAGCTATGCCTATTATGATTTCAAGATAGGTACCACAATAATAACGGATCTTCCAAAAACATAACACTAACAGAAAAAGGAAAAATGTAACAAAAGTTTATATCGAAAAATGCACTAAGAATATTATATGTATTATGCATATATAAAATTTTCAGTTCATATATGATCTCAAACAGTTGAGAAAGCTGACTTAAATTATTTAAGGACCTCAGGAGAGAAGAACCCTGTATATGTAATATAAGAATAGGAGAATTACCACTCCATAAGACATGAATTTCAGTTAACACACTTGTATTCGTGAGAGAGCAAAGTAACATACTGAGTACCTAGTTTCAATGCACCTTTCTTCAAAATTCCAGTAAAACTCATGAAAGCAGAATAAACTAACCAGAGAAAAGCAAGCAATTTTGGTCATAGCTCCAACAATCAACCCGGATGATATCTTTGGCATATATAACAGATTGCAAACATCCTACTTTTCTTATTCCTATTCGCAATTTTAAGTCAACCAAACAGTGACATTCAAGCATCCAAACAGACCCAACTCAATTTTCATTCAGAACATACAAATTTAATATGTATTAATTTTGAAAAATGACTTACTGCTGGAGACGATCCTGCACTGAGAGGACACGGAAATTGGGCTAGGAACTGAGGAATTGGCGACGAAAATGGCTACGAAGCCGACGAAAAGTGATAGTGCAAAGATAGCAACGATAGGTAAAACGAGAGCCAGAGACCACCGCAGTATTAAATAGGCCATGTTGCCCTTCTCAGAGACCTCCTGAGAATCCATTAAGCTTGGTATTTCCCGAAAATTAGAGGGAATTTGTGGGCTTTTCTGTGTAAGGTCCGGCCACCGGAACCATTTATCCGGTGATCGGAGTGCCCTCGCGCACTGAGCAGAACAAACAAAAGGAATTGATGGTCTTTTGTGTGTTTTTTTTTCCTGCAGGAGTTCAAATGAACTGTTGGTCTTTTCGCTTCTTTATTTGTTCTTTTCCAATTTTTGTTTTGGGAGTCTTCTTTTTCATTTCGTTTTTGTATTCTAGTCAATTCTACCTGAATTTTCCAAAATTCCTTATTTCAGTAAATAAATTTTCAAATCAATCAATATGATCCTTAATTTTTAAATCAATTCCGATATCTAAAAGTTTCGAAATCCAAAAATTCATAAAGTAGTTGAATTGAAATTGGAATGTTTCTAATATATTGGGATTTCAAGGTTAACTGCACATAATAACTAATGAGATTTTCTATTTAAACCCCACACTTCTCTTAGTTCACCTCATGTTCTAAGTTCACCCCAACTTTTAATTTAAATTTTCACAATTTCTAAGAAAACCCCACTATCTTCCCAAACTACCCTTAAATACACCCCAAATTGAAAACATAAGAACTAAAAGAGATTTTCTATTTAAACCCCACAATTTTCTTTGTTCCCAACCAACAAAAACACAAACAAATGAAACCCTAAATCCGAAATTTAATATCTAGAGGAAGAGAACAGCTTTACCTCTCTTCAAGGATTGTAACTGGAATTCTAACATTTGGGTATTGTTGAGTTGAGAACTTGAGAGAGAGAGAGAGAGAGAGAGTTTGTAAACATGAAGTTGGAAGGAGGTTTCTAAAACTTAATATGAAGAGTGGTGGGGTGTGTGGGGTGTGTGTACTAGGGTTAATTATTAAGTTGGATGACCTTTTTTGTCTTTTTACACAATAATAAAACTTACAGCTTAATGATTTAAGTATTGGAATGAACAAAGAAAAGTGCGGGGTTTAAATAGAAAATCTCATAACTAATTTCATGTTGAACTATATATAATCTAATGACCATAGACAAGTTGTTCTATACCCCTCCGTTTGAAATTGGAATGTATCTAATATATTGGGGTTTCAAGGTTAAGTTGCACATAATGACTAATTTCATGTTGGGGTGTATCCAATTTAAACTTTTAATGACTTTTATAGAGTTTAAAAGTTTGGATGTATTCAATTTAGATTTTTAATGAATTTATAGAAGTCTAGTGGTATTCAATTGTGACTTTTAAAAAATTTATTAAATTGCGCATATAAATCCCGTAACTGGTTTGCAGCCTCTTCCACATAAGCTTGCGGTTTACCATGGATATAAGAGTTGCGCACCTGCCATACTTTCCAACAATAGCATACGAAAGACTCAAACTTCAATCTCGTTAAAACATGGGCAACCTAATCCAAAAAATATGCAAAAGAGCCACCCACCACCTTCACCCTATCCCAAAACAAAAACAAACGCCAAAACTGTTTATTTCCCTTACACTATCAGAGAGCATGCATAGTAGATTCCCCTTTCCTATCACACCTGGAGCAAAGCGGAGAAGGAGCCACTTTCCTCGTAAATAAGTTAGCTGCAGTTGGAAGGATATCGGACGCAGCAAGTCACAAATAACTTGATTTTATTCGGAATCTCCAACCTCCACAATCTCTTCCAAAATGCCATAGGCGTTATCATATTCGAGATTGTTCCGTGTTGTGGAAGCCCATTTTTAAGGAGAGGCTGGAAATTAAAAAGTTTAGGGATCCATTGATCTTGGAACAACCTGATAGACTTTCCATCATTAACTCTCCACACCAGACCTTGCTCAATGACTTGTCTGCCCTAAACTATAGCTCGCCAAACTAAGGAAGGGCAATTCCCCACCTCTGCGCGTAAGAAATTTTCTGCAGGAAAATATCTTGCCTTCATAATACGACCGACTAAGGAGTCGGGATTCTCCAAGAGTCTCCATGCTTGCTTCGTCACCATGGCTTTATTAAAAGCTTCACAATTTTTGAATCCAAGCCCCCCAAAACATATGGGCCTACAAAGTTTTCGCCAACTCATCCAATGGATACTGCGTTTCTCTGCTTTCCTCCACCAATAACGAGCAATCATTGTCTTCAAATCCTGACATAAAGCCTGCGGCAGTTGGAAAACCTCATATTATAAGTGGGAAGTGCCTGAGCCACCTATTTGATGAGAACCTCTTTCCCAGCTGAAGAAGGCAACTTGGAATTCCATCCATGTACGTAGTTTATTCCACAACATATCCCGTACATGTTTAAACATCTTAGAGCGGCTTCACTGCGTAACTATAGATAAACCAAGATAGCGCTCATGACAAGGGATAATACTCACCCCAAACATACTGGAAATTACCTGCTGCATCATTGGATCAGAGTTTAGACTAAAACAAGCCGCTGATTTATCAAAATTAATTTTTTGCCCAGATGCCCCTCTTATATGCCCTAAGAATAGTCAGCAAGGAATGACAATCAGATAGATGAGCATTACAAAATAAAAAACTATCATAAGCAAAAACAAATATGTCAGGGTAGGAGCTCCCTGGGCAACATCAACACCTTGGAGTTGTTTTTGCCGATGTGCATAGTTCAACAAAGCTGATAACCCCTCCACGCATCTTAGAAAAAGATAGGGTGATAGGGGATCCCTCTGCCTAAGACCCCTTGTAGGATGAATTTGCCCCATAGGTGACCCCATAACTTGAACATAATACATCACAATAGTAATACAATCCATAATCAAATCCACCAATCTGTCATGAAAACCCAATTTGCATAGCATGCCTTCCACAAAGCTCCACTCAACCCGATCATAAGCCTTTGACATATCCAATTTAACTACCATTTTCTTCATACCACTTCTCCCTCTTCGTTTAATCGCATGAATTGTCTCAAAAGCCTCGTGGAACGAAAGCACTTTGGCACTCCGAAATGACAAATGACATAACCTCCTTTAACCTGTTAACAGTAGTTTTCGGCACTAGCTTATAGGGCACCGAGCACAAATTGATAGGCCTACACTTATTGACTTAAGAAGGATGAGCAACTTTAGGAATCAAAGTGATTAGCGTATGATTAACTTCCTGAACACTGGCTCCTCCATTAAGAATGTTTAAACAAAATTGCTCAGTATCAGTGCTAGGCATACTCAAACTGAAATTGTGCTCAATAGTAACCATAGACCGTACCTTCTCTAGAATAGCATGACAATCCGTAGACCCATTAATCGAGAATAACTCCTGAAAATAACTACAAAAAGTAGCACCAATTGCCTCCTTAGTCGTACACCACGAATTTTGCTGATTAAAAATACCGTTCAACACATTTTGGCTACCCCGCTGTCCGGCTTGCTAATGAAAAAAAACGCATATTCTTATCACCCTGCTTTAACCAATTGATGCGCACCCACTGATGGCATAAAACTTCTTCCCGTTCCATAAATACATCCATCTCCTTTGCTAACCTTTTATGCTCATTAAAAGGCTCAGATGTTGACGCTAGCCCCTGCAAATCATCAGTTCTATTTTGTAAAAACCGAACTTTCCTAGGGATATTGCCAACATGTTCATTGTTCCACCGTTTTAGGGCTAACTGACAGAAAGAAAGTTTAGCCACCACAGATCCTGGCGTATCTTCCCAAGCTTGAACTATTGTCTCTTGGCACCCCTCAATCCCAATCAACATCTCTTCAAACATAAACCATCGTGACCTTTGTCTCGTGGAGTCTCAACCCATCGCAAGCAAAATTGGTAGATGGTTAGGCACCAAAGAGGTAATATGGTGAACATAGAACAAAATATCGATAATTTCGCCGATATTTCGGCGAAATTAGCGTTTTTTTGGGGCAGCGATATTTTAGCACATTTCCATATATATATATATATCGTCAATTTATCGATAATTTTGCCGATATTTCAGTAAAGATATTTTCCTTCAAGTTGCAGCTTTAAATTGACAATATATCGCGATATTATTGATAATATCGCGATATGAACTTACAAAATTAAACTCAGCCTTCAAATGAATCCCTCAGCCTCCGAAACTCAGCCTCTCTCTCTCATCTCTCAACTCAACTCTCAATAAAAAAAAAAAAAAAAAAAGAAAAGAGAAAAAAGGAGAAGAAGAAGGGAAAACGTATGGAGTGGGTCTTTATGTTTTACTGTTTTGGATTGTAATGGAGGAGAGAGAATAGGGAAGAGGAAGAAGAGAAAGATAGGGAGAGAGACGGAGAGATAGAAGAAGAAAGGGAGAGAGAGAGAGAGAGAGAGAGAGAGTGTAGAATAAATAAATAAAATAAAAAGGGAGAGATGGGTGAATGCCTAAAAGAGAGAGAGAGAGAAGGCAGGTTGCATGTATTTGCAACCTTGGGAAGTTCAGACCCAAAAAAAAGGACGTAAAAAAACGTTGGGAAGTGGGAGAGGGAGGTAGGGAAACGTGAAAGTGTAGAATAAATAAATAAAATAAAAAGGGAGAGATGGGTGAATGCCCAAAAGAGAGAGAGAAGGTAGGTTGCATGTATCTGCAACCTTGGGAAGTTCAGACAAAAAAAAGGAAATAAAAAAACATTGGGAAGTGGGAGAGGGAGGTAGGGAAACGTGAAAGTACTTGCGAAGTAGGAAATGTGACTTAATTACTTAATATAATTTATTTCTTTTCTATTTAATCCATTTAATGTTATTGATTATTTTATTACTCATTATAAGTACTTACATTACTAAATTCTCCTTCAAATTGTTGCTTAATTACTTAAATCTCTATAATCATTTTCATTATTTGCTATTTAATTCTTCCTTGGATAAATTTATTTATGTTCTTAGTTAATTTTCAATCTTCACTATTATTTTTTAAGCATGGTAAAGTGCCTAATTTTCATGAAAAATCAAATTGGTTTACATCTTTAATTATTTTTCAATTTTTGATAAATAATAAATAAGAACGTGTACCATGTCCAATGAATAACGTGAAATAAATTGTTGCTTAATTACTTAAATTTCTATAATCATTTTCTTTATTTCCTATTTAATTCTTCATTGGATAAATTTATTTATGTTCTTAGTTAATTTTCAATCTTCACTATTATTTTTTAAGCATGGTAAAGTGCCTAATTTTCATGACAAATCAAGTTGGTTTACATCTTTAATTATTTTTCAATTTTTGATAAATTAATAGATATAACAACGTGTACCATGTCCAGTGAATAACATGAAATAAGGTTACTCATGTATCTTATCATGCAATTTATAAAGTATAAAATATTGTACTAAAAAATGATAAATAAATTACTAAGGGGTGTTTAATTCTTTTTCATTAATTACTTCAGATTTTCTAAGTCACAGAGTTTGTCAGGTCACAATATAATCAACTTAAATCACACAAACCCACTATGCAATGCATTTCCTTCCAATTTTTTGTGTCAAAATAATAGATGATTGACTAAATAAACTTCTTTTAAAGTTTCATTAAAAATTTCCATGTATTTATCATAATTTTTGTGGTTTTTATCCAATTTTTATCAATATCGATATTTTCCCGATATTTCCATCGATATTTCCGTGTTTTTGAACCACTGATATTTTTGAAACTATCGATATTTAAGACCTTGATGGTGAATAAGCAAATCAGGAAAGGCAGACATCATCTCATTATTAGACACACATCTATCCAACAAAAGCTGTACATTTTCTTCCCTACTTCAACAATTGGACTACGTGTATTTGTACCCTGTATAAGGAATGAGAGCCAAATCACACTCCTCCAAAGCATCTCCAAAATCCCTCATTTGCGACATAGGTCTAAAACGCTTTCCCATATACTCATGGGATGCCACAATCTCATTGAAATCTCTACCCAACACCCAAGGACCTGACACATCCCCTGCAAGCCATCTTAGAAGATTCGACAAATGCTTCCATAAATTAGTCGAGTTACCATAAACACCTGTTAATTGAAAATCAACAAGTTCCACTCCTTCTATATAAGCATCAATATGACCTACCAAGAATGACCGAATAGTCACATGCACACCTTCCTGCAAGACCCCTCGATCTTCCCTTGCAATTCACAATGAAGAAACCCGCCACCCCTAACTGCTGTTGAATAACTGCCATATGTCATGTAGTCTTTTTGGTTTTAGATAAAAAGACCACATCAAGTTTCTTTGCTCTGATAAAAGCCTTTAAAGCTCATAGTGTCCATGGTGAACCCAAACCACGGACATTCCAACTGAGGATCATCATTTCTCATGATGGGCCCTTGACTCGAGACCCATCACAAATTCTCCAGCATTGCTAAATCGTTCAATTTCCTTTAAAACCCCTTGTCGTTGTGCATCAATCTCAATCTTAGGATCGTGTCGTGGAGGAGCTCCCCTCATATGGAGCCTCTTTTGTTTTTTCCAAGCGGCTGGTTACAATGGAGAGGATACACCATGTGACCCAGACTCCGGACCGGACCTCCCACCTTGCAAAGTGGATTCAGCTTCCCCACTCAAACCATTATAGGGACTCATTGAACCTGGACTCCCAGCAAGCTCAGAGCACAGCTGGACTGAGGCCTCACTCAAATTGACATTCTCAACTTCCCGCCTAGTACTATACCCCCATTCAATCACATCCACCTCCAATCTACATTTCTTATTTGGATGTGGAAGACATGGCCATCAATTCCCCATCCTCCATCGAAGACGTGTCCACCGCTAGAGAATCAAAGGCCACCATAAGTTCAACTAAGCCCATTAATATTAGGAAAAGGTTCACGGACTTATGTTAAACATTCCGAAGTATAAGTATGTAACCAGCAAGAATTGCCAAGCAATGTGGTTCCAACAAGACATGGTCTTTCTATGGAGCATTCTCCATCATCAGGATTTGTTGTAGTTTGTTGCCGAAGACCTTCTGGTGGGTGAAGAAAATTTTGAAAACAGAAGATGGTTAGCACGAAAAAGAGAAGTAGCAACGTGCCCTGACTTTCCTCCACCCAACCCTTATGTTGGAAGAATTCTATTAATTTGCTCACAAATATGCTTGGAAATCTTGCATTTCTTCTATGTTGCCAACAACAGCAGATGGTGTTGGGGGTTGGTGATGACTTTCAATGTTCCATTTGGCCTCCATCAACTTGACAGAGCCAATCTTGGTTGCCTCGGACAAATTATTTGCATCTACAATAATATGAAAAGATTCTTCACTCATATCCAAAGCTTCTTCAACAATCTAAAAAAATGAAAACTAATCTCTACACTTGGTCACTTCTTACTCTCTCAAATGAATTCAACAGGAACAAAAAGACTCGTCACTCTTCTCACTATCTTAAATGAATTCTGAATTCTCTCAAATGCCTTAGAAGATGCTTTAAAACAAGAGCTAATGCATTCTCAAAAATTGTGGTGGTGTTGAGTTAATGCACACATTCAGTAAAAAGGTATAATGGGAAGTTGGCTCCTATATTGCCTGTTTTTTACAGAGCCTAGGGATGGCAACGGGCAGAGTATGGTCCGAGTATGTCAATACCATCTCCACCCCCGTCCTCGTTTAATACGTTTCAGGGAATCCCCGCCCCATACCCGTCGAGGGACCATCCCTCATACTCGCAGTGATTCCCCCAATTTTATATTAAAAAATATTTATTCTCACATTAATTTATCATTAAACACATTTAATATAATTATAAAATTCAACTCAAATACTCAAAATCGCTTCAATCTCAATAGCACAAACACATTTAATAATTGAAAGTTTCATCATCTTATAAAGTTCATCTCAATCTCACAAAAACAAATAAGTACACAACGTAATCAAAATAAGCACAAATCAATCCAAATCCACAACTTAGTAAAAAAACACATGCTTCATTTATATCACAATAATTTTTGTGAATCTTGTTAAAGTCTCATTATTTTTCTTCTTCTTCTTTCTCAATACCAAATTCGTACATGGATATGACTATTCTTCTTCCCTCCATATATAGATATGGATACCTTGATTATGAGAGTACTTTGTGTTTCTTGTATACCTCTGTCATAGAGTGGTATGCGATTACCAATCTATATTAGTCATCCAATTGATGAGGACTTCTAATCTACCTCCTACATTGATTCACTTCGAGTGTTTTTGTTAGGTCATCCCCAATGGTTGGGGCTCTAAAAATGGTTTATAGAGCCCCATTTAGAGCTCCGATAGAATCTTTGGGGCTCTAAAGGAATCTCTCCCACAATGGGATGCTCTATATTCATGGTGGGCTCTATAACTTTTTATGATGTAATTTGATTTTTTTGTTTTTTTTTTGGGTTAACTATTTTACTTTAATGTTATATTTATTTTTTTTTTTTTTTTTTTTTTTTTTTTTTGTGAACATTTCAACCAAAAAAAATCAAAATTTGGACAAGATTTGGAAATCATGGTGATGTCCTTCTCCTATGCCTTTGGAATAGAGTTGTTGCATTGGGAGTGGAATTTTGGTTCATGCATGTTGACTGTTGGAATAGAGCTGTTGAAAATAGCTTTGCAATTTTTATTTATGTCATGCATGTTGACCATGTTGATTGTTGGAATAGAGCCGTTGAAAATAGCTTTGCAATTTCGAAAAATTTTTGGTTCATGTCATGCATGTTGACTATGTTGATTGTTGGAATTTGACTATTGGAATAGAGCTGTTGAAAACAGCTTTGCAATTTGGGTTCATGCATGCGAGCCAGCATGCAAATGAACAGCCAAGTTTTTGGCAAGTTGATCATGTACAGTAGCAAGCAAGTGGGAAATGTGGGCTACAGCTTTTTCATGTAGTGGGTCCCACTCGGTTTCAAGGGCTTCAACCAAGCTCACACATTTGAGTACTACTCCGGTTGGGCTTTAAGTTTTAGAGCCCAAAATTTGCACCATTGGGGATGCCTTTTTAAACAAAGTTTGTATAAATTAGAGCCTTGTGGTGGTTGAGCCCCATTTAGAGCCCTCATTGGGGATGACCTTACGGTAGTATGTGTAGTAATTGTCTAATGTAAAGATGAGGTTTGGAGTTTGATTGTTTACGTTATCTTTGGATTGTTCGAATTTGTTGATTATACATGTTTACATATGAATTTTGTTTTTTAAAAATCAAAATTTTTTATGGTGTTTGACTATTTCATTATTTGGATTTGTTGATTACACATGTTTGCATATGAATTTTGGTTTTTAAAATCAATATTTGTTATAGTGTTTGATTGTTTTCGTTATCTTTGGATTGTTTGAATTTGTTGAATATACATGTTTGCAAATGAATTTTATTTTTTTTAATCAATATTTGTTATGGTGTTTGATTATTTTCGTTATCTTTAGATTGTTTGAATTTATTGATTATTATACATGTTTGGACATGAACTTTGTTTATGAAATCCATATTTGTTAGCTGGAACTGGAATGACAACTATTAAATCAATTCATTATTTAGTTACAATACAAGGAGCCTTGATGGAGTATAAGGATGACAACTGGCCAGATATGATTCGGGTATGCCAATACCATTCCCGCCCCCATTCCTGTTTAATAGGTTTCGGGGAATCCCCTCCCCGTACCCGTCGGGGGAACATCCCCCACATCCACCTCGATTCCCCCCAATTTTCTATTAAAAAATACTTATTCTCACATTAATTTATCATTGACACATTTAATATAATTATAAAATTCAACTCAAATACTCAAAATCGCCTCAATCTCAATCTCACAAACACATTTAATAGTTGAAAGCTTCATCATTTTATAAAGTCCATCACAATCTCACAAAAACAAATAAGTACACAACTTAATCAAAATAAACACAAATAAATCCAAGTCCACAACGTAGTAGAAAAAAAAAAAGCTTCATTTATATCACAATAATTTTTGTGAATCTTGTTAAAGTCTTTTTTTTTCTTCTTCTTCTTTCTCAACACCAAAACTGTATATGGATATGACTCTTCTTCTTCCCTCCATATATGAATATAGATACCTTGATTATGAGAGTAATTTGTATTCCTTTGTCCATCTCTATCATAGAGTGGTATGTGATTACTAATCTACATTAGTCATCCAATTGATGAGTACTTCTAATCTACCTCCTACATTGATTCACTTCGAGTGTTTTTGTTGCGGTAGTATGTGTAGTAGTTGTCTAATGTAAATGTGTTGTTTGGTGTTTGATTATTTACGTTATCTTTGGATTGTTTGAATTTGTTGATTATACATGTATACATATGAATTTTGTTTTTTTAAAATCAAGATTTGTTATGGTGTTTGACTATTTCATTATTTTTGGATTTGTTGATTACACATATGTTTGCATATGAATTTTGCATATGTGTGCATCCAAAGCTTGATTCTCCTCTGAGTCACCTTCATTGGCACGTGCATTGATGTTCTCGTGGTGTAGCCTACAACCCTTAACCATTTTCACACACAAAATTGCCACTCGAATAACATGGAAGGCAAAGATCACCAGAATCATAACAAACCAAATTTTCAGCCATGCAGGAATGGAAAACAAAGATTCATCCTAAATCCCTTCGGGTATCACCAACCAAGTCAATAGCATAAACATGATTGACATCAATATGAGACAAGCACACATAAGCATTAATGAGATGAACATGAGTATACAATGTTTTGTAGGGAATCCGTTACAAATCATAAGATTAATTGTCTGACAAGTGCAAAAACATATCATGTTAAACATACCGAAGTAGGAGTTGGTATAGCTTGACCAGCGTGAATTGCCAAGCAATGTGGTTCCAACAAAACATGGTCTTTCTATGGAGCATTCTCCATAATCAGCATTTGTTGTAGTTTGTTGCCGAAGACCTCCTGGTGGGTTAAGAAAATTTTGAAAACAAAAGATGGTTAGCACGAAAGAGAGAAGTAGCAACTTGCCCTAACTTTATTCACCCAACCCTTGTGTTCGAAGAATTCTGTCAATTTGCTCGCAAATATGCTTGGAAAACTTGCATTTCCTTCTACGTTGCCAACAACAGCAGATGATGTTGGGGGTTGGTGATGACGTTTAATGTTTCCTCTGACCTCCATCGACTTGACAGAGCTAATCTTGTTTGCCTCAGACAAGCTCTCTGCATCTACAGTAATATGCAAAAATTCTTCAACAATCTCCATACTTTAACAATCTGAAAAAATGAAAACTAATCTCTAAACTTAGTCACTTCTTATTCTCTCAAATGAATTCAATAAGAACAAAAAGACTCGTCATTCTTGTCACTCTCTCAAATGAATTATGAATTCTCTCAAATGCCTCAGACAGATGCTTTAAAAGAAGAACTAATGCATTCTCAGAAACTGTGGTGGTGCTGCGTTAATGCACTCATTCTGTAAAAAGGTATAATGGGAAGCTAGCTCCTATATTGCCTGTTTTTACCAAAGCTTGCAATTGAATCCACTCTAACTTAACATGCTACTAACTATACCATAAAACTTTTTCTATGTCTTAACATAATTTCTTATGTTATCCGCACTTACTTCAATATTGAATTGTGTGGACAATATAGCTGCATTGATGTTATAAGCAATTACTTTCTAACCATCATCTCCCTTGTGACCTATTTGATGTTCTTTTGTAAGTATATATGCTAAAGAACGCTTCATTAGTATGTTCCAAGAAAAATAACCTTTGTGATTTACTTCATTTTCAGTACCTTGCTTCTCTTTTATTTTCATGTGCTTTAGTTTGGTTGCTTTCTTTGCCATCTATGTATTTGAAATGATTACAACAACTACATTAATTAAACAAAATCAACAAGAATTAGCTTTCCCCATCCAATCTTAAGAAATTAATATTAGTTAATTGTCACCTCACTTTACTACATACATGACAATGACATAACTTGTTCACACAAGTTGCCAAAGAATGTGGTTTTTAAATTGTGATGTAGTGGTTTGGAGCATAGTATAAAATATCGATGAAATATCGAGGATATTATCGTTTTTCGAGTCACGAATATTTCGAAACGTATCTATACACATATCGTATAATATCGATAATATCGGAAAATATCGATGTTAATAATTTCGCTTACACTTCAACAATATTTTGTCAAAATATCACTATAATATCGATGTAATGGAAAAAATAAAATAAAATAAACACAAAGCACACACACAAAGGGAATTGAAACCCTTGTCATTTCACTCCTCCAACGCATTCATCACCATGTTGCTTATGTTTTTGTGATAATATGCTAAAATATGTATATTTATATTGTTTTGTTTTGAACAATTACATGCAAAATTATTTTTGGAGATTTATCATTTGATGACTACTCTACGCATAAAGATGATGAAGATAGTGAAAATTTTGAACCTCATAAAAACTCTGTGTGATACAAAGTCACTCATGTATCTTACCATATAATGTATAAAGTGTAAAATATTATAGTTTATCATAATATATAAATGATTATGGCGTGTTTAATCTTCTTCATTAATTACTACATATTTTCTACGCTCACAGTGTTTGTCAGCTCGCTATATAATCAACTTAAATCTGTTAACCCATCATGCAATGCATTTCCTTCCAATTTTTTGTGATGAACTAATAGATAATTGACTAAATAAACATCCTTCAAAATTTCAATAAAAATTCCCAAGTTTTTATTACAATTTATGTGGTTTTTGTTCAATTTTTATCAATATCGATTAATGGTGGGCACGGTCCGGTTTTGGCCTCAAATTAACCGAATTTGGTACTATTTATCTGGTTTGGTTCGGTTTGGTTTTAACAAAAAAAATTCAAAAACTGTCCGGTTCGATTTTGAACCAGATTATTAAAATTATTTTTTTTTCAATTATTTTTTAATACAAATTTCAACTAAAATTTTATTTTTTTGACTTGAAAATTAATAAATTATTTAATTTCATATAAAAATAAATATTAAAGCTAGAAAAGAGAGATGTTTTGAAATTGAACTTGGATAAATATTAGTTATCAGATTAAAAATATAGCATTGAATATAAATAAATATTGAAATTATATATTTTTTAATTTGACTAGTTCGGTTTGGCCCGATCTGATTTTTGAAGAGATAGAACTGGATCCAAAATTGGTCCAAACCGGTCGGTTCAATTTTTGACCAGTTGTTGACTTTTTTGTCAACTCGATTTTTTTTCCCTTTTTTCAGTGCGGTTTGGCTTGGATTTCCGGTTTGCCAGTTTGAATGCCCACCCCTAATATCGATAATATCCCGATATTTCCATCGAAATTTCCGTGTTTTTGGACTATCAATATTTTCGATACCATCGATATTTTAGACCTTGGTTTGGAGCAATGGTTCTCCTAAAAAAGATTCAGAGTTCGAGTCTTAACATTCATATAATGCGTGTGAGTTTAGTACATTATCGCCGCTCTCAATAGATTACTAAAAAAATCAGTAGAAATATAAGAAAAAAAAGACAAAAAATTAAATAAAAGAAGAAAATAATTAAAAGTGGATGACTGTATGGTTCGCTGTGAAGATCAAAGATCAAATCCACACCACACGTGTGGCATATTTACTCCGTCCGTGTACGTGGCGTACTAGGCAAAAGTAGGAGACATATCCGGTATTTAAAATGAAGATATACCCTTGAAAAGTGAAAATGCCAGTGAAAAGCCTCCCCACTACTTTCCCACTCAAATACAGTTTCTTGCGCTTTCCATTTCCTCAGTTATTTAGGGTTTCAATTTTCCCTCCCAATTACACTCCCAGGCTCAATCTCTCTCTCTCTCTCTCTCTCTCTCTCTGTCTTCATTTTCCCGAATCAATCAACTTTCTCTCTCTTTCTCGGCAACCAAACAGTCGCATACCCTGTTTCGACAATGGCTGTGAAGCTAACAGAGGGGGCGATAATGAAGATTTGCACAGGGGAGTACCATGACGAGACCTGGAAGCCCATCTTGCAAGTGCTCGACGTGAGGATGGTCAATACAGCGCGCAGTGGGGCCCAGCCGGGCCCCGATAACGAGAGATACAGGGTTTTGATCTCGGATGGTTCCCACCACCAGCAGGGGATGCTGGGCACCCAGAAGAACACACTGGTTCAGCAAGGTCTGCTTCAGAAGGGCTCCATCGTTTGCTTGAAGCAATTCACCTGTACCCAAGTCCAAAACCGCCTGTATGTGATATTATACTATTCCATCCTCGTCAAATTTCACTCCTTTGTTGTTTCTTTTCTGAAATTTTATTGATGGGTATTTTTGTTTCGTTTAGTTTTTTTTTGTTGTTGGGGGGGTTGGGTCAAGGGAATTGAGGGAGAAGGGGTTGTCAAATTTATGGTTTAGTTGATTAAGAATTCAGGAATCTAGTGATTTTGGTTTCAGTTAGTTCATTATTTGCAGTCATGGTTGGTTAAGCATTGATGATGGAAGCAAGAAGGAAAATCTGTAACATTTCTAGAAGAAATTAATTTTAAGTGCACCCAGTGATTGAAAAGTACATGATTTTATATATATATATATATATATATATTATTGTTATTGTGTGTTCTTTCAGCTTGTATTATTTGTTTTCTTTCTTTTTTTTGTTATGTTAATTGAAAAGTTGTTCTCTTCCTCAAAAAATATGCGAATTCTGTTTACTGCTTGCAGGATCATCATTATAATTGAATTGGATTTGGTGCTTGATAAATGTGATCTCATTGGAGAGCCTGTAGCAGGACCTAAATATCTGAATGCACAGTCCTCAGGGCCATTACCTGGAAATGCCCAATCTATTGGTGGCAGTGCACATTCTGGTGGCGCAGTTGATCAAACTGTGACTAAAGCTACTCCAGAACAACCTAGAGTAAATCAATCATTTGGTAGTGCTTATTCTGGTGGTTCTGACCCAGGAAGACATGCAACAATGAGTACTACTCCCAATCACCCTAAACCAGAGCCTGGTTTTGGTTTTCCTGGATCAGCACCATTAAGTGGGTCATATAGCAATCAGAACACAGGTTTTCGCAGCCCTAGACCTGAGGTTCCACAGCCAACTGTAAATGCTTATGCTCGGCCGCCTCAGCCAACTTATCAACATCCATCTCCAACGTATCCTAATAGAGGACCAGTTGTCAAAAATGAAGCCCCTCCTAGAATAATGCCAATTGCTGCTCTGAATCCATACCAAGGGCGGTGGACAATCAAGGCTAGAGTGACAGCTAAAGGAGAACTTAGGCACTACAGCAATCCTCGTGGTGATGGGAAAGTTTTTTCTTTTGATGTTCTTGATTCTCATGGTGGAGAAATTCGAGCAACCTGTTTTAACGCTGTGGCTGATCAATTCTACAACCAGATTGAAGTTGGCAAGATTTATTTGATCTCCAAGGGTAGTTTAAAAGTAGCCCAAAAGGCTTTCAACAACCTCAACAATGACCATGAAATTACTTTAGATCACACATCGATAATACAGCCGTGTTTTGAGGATGATGACTCAATTCCAAAGCAGAATTTCCATTTCTGTCATATAAGTGATGTTGAAGGCTTGAACAACAACTCTATTGTTGATGTAATAGGTGTGGTATCCTCCATCAATCCCCCTGCTTCTATACTGAGGAAAAATGGTGTTGAGACTCAGAAGAGATCCCTCCAGTTGAAGGATATGTCTGGTCGTAGTGTTGAGGTAACTCTATGGGGAAATTTGTGCAATGCAGAGGGACAAAGACTGCAAAGTATGTGTGATTCTGGTGCATTCCCAGTGCTGGCTGTAAAAGGTGCTAAAGTTAATGATTTCAATGGGAAGGCAGTAGGGACCATTCCTAGTAGTCAGCTTTTTATAGAGCCGAATATCGAAGAGGCTCGCGAGATGAGGAGTTGGTTTGACAAGGAAGGAAGAAATACCTCATGTATCCCTATTTCCAGGGAAACAGTAGGTGTGGGTAGAACAGATATCCGAAAGACTATATCTCAAATTAAAGATGAGCGGCTGGGGACTTCCGAGAAGCCAGACTGGATCACAGTTAGTGGAACTGTTTCATTTATAAAGGTTGATAGTTTCTGCTATTCGGCATGTCCGCTCATGAATGGTGATCGACAATGCAGCAAAAAAGTTACAAATAATGGAGATGGCAAATGGAGGTGCGATAGATGTGATCAGTCCGTGGAAGAATGTGACTACAGATATTTACTCCAGTTACAGATACAGGAT